CTTTGGCGCGGCTCCATGCGGTTGGCTCCACGTTCTTCCGCAGGGTCGACTTGAAGACGAGGTTGGTGTCGTAGTGCTCGGGGTCTTCCTTGAACTGCGTGGGGAGTGGAACTCTTGCCGTGGTTGCGGGTGTACCTGATGCGCTTGGCGCTTCTGGAGGTGTGCTGCATGGTGGCCGCATTGGCACGAGTTGCGTAGATGGGCTCGCTGCAGGTGGAGGCAAGGGTGGCCATGCCGGCAAAGGTGTTTGTGGCCACCATGTTCCTTCGCCCTGGCCTTGATTGGAAGCGGCGCTCGCTGCGCCTCTGCTGTCTGGTTGCCACCATGCTGAGTCCTGCGATCCCTGGGACCAGTATCCAGTCCATGCGTTGGCCATTCTTTGCTATGTGTTAGCGAATGCTTAAAGTACACCTTCTTGACACCAAAAGTGCTACCGGAGAAGCGCAGTTAAAACAAGAAAAAGCGAGTGGATTAGGTACTTGCAGCTGCATGGAGGGCATGTGCATCTTTTGCTGCGAAGACTGCATATCTGCGGCGTCGCAGTCTGTTGCCGGCCACATGGCGAAGGAAGATCTGCAGTACATTGCCGAAGGCGTTGTCAAGGAAGATCCTGTGCAGGGCTGCGCTGGATGTGCAGCTAGAGTAGTGCAAGTCTTGCTCTTCCTTGCGGGGTAATGCCTGCAGCTTTTTGGTACTGGGAGATGAGGGTATTCGCTGTGGAAGGCGGCGTCATCAGCTGCTCAAACGCAATGCATGTAAAGCAATACCGGTTGCGAGATACGCAATAAGCCTTTGCATTTGCATCCTTGAGCACCTCATCTTCCTCGGTGGCTGCGCGAGCTGTTTCATAAGATCCACCAAGGTGTTTGCGGAGAGATCCCCATGCACGGCCACCCACGACGATGCCTGCCAGGTTCTTGGCGCTGCGTGTGGTGTTGAAGATCACCCGGGTCAGGTTGTGTTCGTCGATGTCGGACCCGGACATCTCGTGTCCTAGCGCATAGAATATGTTGCAGCCGAACCCTGCCACTCCATGCGCGTTCATCGGACGCATGTTGCGCTCTTTCAACATACACCATAGCGCCCCCACATCTGTTGCATGCGACCAGAACAGGATCTTTTCTTGCCGAGTTGGTAGAGGAGGGTCTTGCAAAGTAAGATCAGAAGATTGCAAGAAATGGAATCTCCTCATTGTCTCTGGCGTCGGGTCTCCTCCTCTGTCCCATGTAAGGTCATACTCCAGGAGAACTCCAGAGTTGATCCTGAACTCCGCTGCGGCACAGAGGGCATCCACATACTGCTTGGTAGAGTCATGTATGGGGAACTGCGGGATCTCAATGTCCCTCCAGTTTACTCGGAATTGTTTGATGTTCTTGTTGAATGTAATCTTTGAGGGCATCCGCGGAGTCTCGTATAGCTTGGGGTCGATCTTGGGTCGTTGTGTAGATGCCGCCTTCGGTGCTGCGGTAGTGCCTGTGCTGCTGATACCCGATGCTCTTGAGCGCTTCACTGTCCTGGGGGTACGAGATCTGGATGTTGTCGTGGGAGTGCGAGATCTGGATCTTGTCTTGGGAGTGTGCGATCTGGATCTTAATGCTGCCCTCGGTCTGGTAGTTCTTGTAGTTCTTGAATCACTGGGACTCCGTCTTTTGGGGCTTCGCCTCGGGGATCTGGAGGTCATACGCCTCTTACGCACCAACAGCGGTCTAGAGGGTCGTGCGCTTGGTGATGTCGTTGCTGGCGCCGATGGTAGCGCCGGTAATCCCGAAGAAGTAGGCCTCGGTGTGGGCGGGGCTTCTCCTGCTCCAAGCTGGTCGCTTCTTTGAAAATAGGGCCGAGGGGACATAGTGCGTCCCTCGTGCTTGCGAAATGCAGAGAAAGGCTGAGCTTTCCGCTTGGCCTTCGCGCCAGATCCAACTGCACTCTGCTCGGTGTCCTCGGCCGTGGAGTCTTGCGTTGTCCCTTGTGGGTTCGCTGCCTGTAGCGCGCGGAGCTCTTCTTGACTGAATAGTAGGCTCGGGGATCTCCTTGTTGCCGCGGTCGTGGTTCGAGCTTCTTTGCGGATTCTTTTCAAAGGTGGCCTCCCTTGGTCAGTTTGTAACAGAAGAGGCTGCAGCCGGTGGTGCCGATGGTGCCGAGGATGCAGATCCACCGCTCAATGCTGCAAACGCCTGCAGCAAGTCTTCGGGCTGCGCATTCTTGATTTGTATGTTGATCTCCGTGGCGGTGGGACGCAGCTGCTACGGGCAACTTAAGGCCAACAACCAAAACGAAAACAGAGAAAGGAGCGCTTACGCACGAAAGAGGAGCTTAAACAAAAGAAAAGAGTGATGAAAGCCCAGAGTCTTGCACTAGCAGCTTTACACTATGCTTAAACTTATCAAGCTCGTGCGTGTCGATTTCAAGCATACTTCAAGACACATTGGATTTCAAGCTGACTGCGCTGGTCCTCTTGATCAGCAGGTGCTTTCCAGTCTCAAAACATATACTTCCCGCTCTGTTGGTGGTTGGGGCCTGTTATGGACCTAGCCAAGAATCTCTCGTCCCACTCGGGGCACAATTTCAAGGGATACTGCCTCGAGAGCAGCGGTAATGGCGCCGTGACGGATAAGGCCATGCCCATTTCACACTCGAACACCCAGGCTTCCCTGGTGGAATGTTCATCCGTGGTCAATTTCACTCATCATTGAGTTCAAGACTCCGATGAGAAACTTCAAAGAAAATGTTGGATGGCCTTCAATAGTCTCTGGTTGCCTTGCTGATGTTTACTAATAATAACAAAAAGCCAAGGATCCTGAAGCATTGTACAGCGAGTATGTCAAAGATGAAGCATTGTACAGCTTATACTGTGGCTGATGTCACAAGCAATCTGGCAGGTACGTGGATTGAGCGTCCTCAATCCATTTCACGACAAACTGGAAAGGTCTTCGTTGGGCAGTGCCTTCCACAATGTCCACTGCCCCCCTGCACAGTCATATGTCTAACCTCAATGTCACTGTCCCGTTGTAGTTTGGGTTCCCCACACACACACAGACACAGACAGACACAGACACACAGACACAAACAGACACAGACACACAGACACACACAGAGAGGCAGAGATACAGAGACACAGACACAGAGACGCAGAGACACAGACACGCAGATACACACAGACACCCACAGCCCAGACACCCAAACCCCCACATACCCCCGCACGCACACGCAGACACACACGCAGACACACAGGCAGACACACACGCGCACACACACACACGCAGACAGAGACGCACGCTTGTAAATTCATCCGCAGCCTCCACCCATGTCGTTTTGGACTTCTGCATAGAGCCAAGCTCTATGTTCGGTAACCAGGGGACGCGGGCCAAATAGGACTCAAGGCTCAAACGATGGTAGACTGATCCTTCGCGCAGGGCGGCTAGCTGATCTTGGCACATAATCTGAAAGTGTGAGGACTGGGAACTCTTGGTAACAGAGACACACACGCAAAAAGCCGTGCTGGCAATGTTTCAACGCTTGCGCCACGACAGCGGAGGCTCCACCCACCAGACAGACGTAAATTATTCTTCTGATCCCTCCCCCGATTTAGGGAGGAGAAAAGCAGGGCTTGGCCCCAGGCAGTGCTGTGGTGACAGGTTTAAAGCGCACAGCACGAAACTCATGAATCATGAAGAAGGTGAAAGCGTAAACGTGGTTGAAAGGCTTGTCCCTCGGGGAAACGCGCTTCACCATAGACGGTTAATCCAGGCACGAAAAGTCTCCTGTCGAAACACTTGACAACCGTAATGAAAGCTGTGAAATTTATACGACTGTGCTTGCAGCTCGCAGTCCTTACAGGCAGCTGCAGCCCTGCATTACATGCGTAATATTACGGTCAAATATCTGCGGACCGCAGGTCTTACAAGGCTGCCGCAGCCCCGCAGTGCTTGCCGATAACCCGACGAGTGGATAATCAGTCAAAGCATTTATATCAGAGATTTCAGCCCCACCTGGCTCTAAATCCCTGGGTTCCGTATGCAATTTGGCGAATGGCTTGTTATGCCCTCAAGCTGCCGCACAAGACTCATGAGCAGCATATTGCAGTTGCTGACTTTGGCATCCCAAGTTCCTTGAAAACGCGCTCTTGTTCCTCAACTCAAAAGCAAAACAACAATTTGATTCGGCTATTTAAACGGATGGTCTGCAATCAAACGAGCAAAAACCTTGGTGGTCTCAGGGTAGCGCAGCGGTCTCCAGGAGCAACATGCGCTGTCCCACTAGCCGCACGAACATACATGTAGTGAGACCAAGCAATTCAACGATGACCTGTGTCCCCACGGATGGTCTTGGGGATGCGCCACACGCTTAGGACTTGTATACACCCAACCAATGATGGCTTGTCTCCGAACTTGTGGATCGAAACCCACGGTAATATAACAGTAACTGGTAGGAATGTGAGCCTGGCTACCCCAGAGAAGGTAGCGCCGTACAGGAATGTACAGGTGAACTCTGAAATTGCCTGGGACACGCTTGCGAAATTCATCCGCAGCCTCCAACCATCTCGGCTTGGACTTCTAGATTGAGCCAAGCTCTGTGTTCGGTAACCGGGGTCTGGGGCCAAACAGGACTCAAGCCTCAAACAATGGTAAACTGATCCTTCGCACCAGGTGCGAGAATGGGCTCCCCAAGAAATCCCCGCACGGGGATCCAAGCGCGAGCATGCAGGTACGGTTGTACCTCCGCTGTGTCCGGTCTTCGTTGGCCGGGACAGAGACTCGCAGATTCTTGGCCCTCTGCAATCTACAAGTGTTGGGAACTCTTGGTGACAGAGGGTGACACAGACAGACAGACACACACACACACACACACACAGGCACACCTACACCGGACAACAATGAAAAATGCAACAATGATGGTAGAAACTCGCACACAGTCCTGAAAACACGTGAACCAGATGATACCAGATGGCAGTAGGCTAGTCATCGAGTAACAGTGATGGTCTGCTAAGAAGCGTGCTCAACAAATTAAGAAGCTGCTCCTTGGACTTGGCGCGCGAACAGCACCAGTTGCTTGGCAGATGCTTCCAAGAACTCGTTGTCCAGGTGCTGCGCGGTCGCAAAACATTTAAGCTGCCAGCTGCCAGTTACGACACTGGCTCGAAGTTACGTCAGCTGAATACTCCACCAGAACCCAAGCAGACCGCACAAGTGGAACAAGTGGAGCTGGTACTGGCCCTGGTGCAAGCCTGAAGCTGGGCCAAGCCCTTGAGAGCATCGCTCAGCACCTCGGCAGAAGTTACCCTTTCCACACTAATTACTAGTTCATACTAGGTCTGCCCTCTTGCTCACAGCGCAGCCTCTTTCCTGATCAGCCCTCATTTGCCAAACTTGCAAAAGCTGCACCGAGACTTTGACACCCGGATCGAGCTCTTCCGTCAATAGAAGAGCCTTGAGTTGCTTGACCTCAGAAGGGAGTGTGCTCCGAGTCGAAGAACACGAGCAAGGCCTTGCTTTTCCTTTTGTGCCTTCTCGGACACACCGCTCGGACGTACCCACAAGGTGAGACTCCCCCGCAAAAAAAGAGGTTTGCCGACGCATCCTTTCAATTTCCTCAAGCATGAACATGGGTGGCTTGGCAAACTTCCTGATGCTTCATTCTGAAACATTTTTTCAATGAATGAAGCAGAACCCGTGCACGGAAGCCGACAACTCTGTCCCGATCTTGCGGACATCCTTCGTCTTGGAGCTTTGGCTTCCGTGATGCACATCCAAGGACACGGAGGCATGCATGTGCTTCACCCCCACATGCCGGCGACTCCTCATCGCGACTACGACAGCTGGCTCAGCTGCGAGTGGCTCCATTTAGCCCAAGACCTGCAGGTCTTCCAGGACGTGCAGCATGAAGTAGAAGCGTAGCAGACATGCAAAGCTCACGCATGTCACACAAACTAGTACTACCCTGGTATAATTGCAGAGTCTGACCCGGCTCGAAGCCCATGACTCCACGCATGCAGGGGTTTTGTGGAGTGCAAGCTGCAAATCTTCAACATCCATACACAAGACCACCTCCACAACACTAGCCCTGTGTCTTGATGAAGTAAAGACGAACTATATTCGCGAAAGGATCTAGAGGGACAAGCTGCGTGCTGCACCTGCGCAGCGAGCATGTGCAGTTCTTCAAAAACCGCCCACGGCCATGCTTCGCTCAAAGAGCTCCGTGTTCGCCTCGCAGGCCAAGAAAGGGTACACTGCTACCGCTACCTACACAGCTTTTTTGGGCGTGGGCTGCACCTTTAGGAGTCCTCGGATACTCAGTCTAAGTGCAGGCCGGTCATGCAATGCGATGCATGAGAACTTCTTCGTGGCCGAGCCTTGCTTCACTTACTGTTCTGAATCCCCAACACAGCGGGTGTATCGTTGGCCAGAGCACTTCTTCGGCATTCGGTGGCTAGACTTTTATCAACATAATCAACATTCAATGTGGCACACAGGAGCGGACTCAGTTCAGAGTTTCCCCGCAGGGGACATTTTCCCTGTTTTCTATCACTCTTTCTCTGGGCCTCACTCTCCTTCTGCTTCTCTCTCTCGAGGCTAGAGCATACGGAACGACATGTACAGTACCTGCGCTTACTCACTGCCATTCATGAGAAGCCTGACTACGATCATGAGAAACTGTGCGACCATCTGCTGCTCAGTTCGTGCAGCAGTCCGAAGCGAACTTCTAGACTGCGACAGAAGATGGCCACTGTGGTGGGCAAAACCAGGACATGCCAAGCGGCCGGGCACGAAGACTGCACACGAAGCAGTCGTTTGCTTTTCGCTTTGACCTCAGTCCAGGGTTTGTTGCGTCAGCCTGTGGTGTCGGAAGGTAGCACGGCATGTGGCTGACTGCAAAGAATCCCCCCTGCCGACATGATCTTCTGCAATTGATGCGTGTAGGTTACTGCAATGAATAGCGCGCAGCTTTAGTGCTAGGTAGGAGCCCTTCCCCGGAACAACGATGCTGCCATGCTGCGTCTGGAGCTGCTGGTACTGGTGCCGGTGCAGACGGCTTTTCGCACGAGGGCTCTCGAGACTCGCCGTTGGACCTCGGCCAGTCAGCCAACACACCTCCGTTGAGATCCGTCTTGCATGACTATGCAGCTTAGACGAAAGCTGAAAACGTCACAGAAATCACATGCTGTTCATTGAGTTTCGCTTCCTTCCCAAGTCTCCCGAGGGCCTCGCCAAGTCCTGCAAGGCCCCGCATGCTGCTGCGGCATCCAAAGGCCCGGGCTGCCTTCGGGCGAAGGAAGCGCAATGGAAAGGCTGTTCTGGTGATGAGAAGTTAGGTGTCCGAAGAAATGGTGTACGGTACGTTAGGAAACACTAGTTCTTCGGACACCTGCCTTCTCATCGCAAGGACAGCCTTTCTATTGTGCTTCCTTCGCCTTGATGGCAGCCCAGACCTTTGAATGCCTCAGCGGCACAAGGGATACTACAAACATAGGTATCAGTTTTGTTGTTTGGCCAAAAGGAATAGTATGTCTGCACACACAGAAATATACATATAGCATATATATATATATACATACATATATTTATCTATACATCTAACAGTCTGTATACACATATGTATACACATACATGTGTCATATTATGTGTACACATGTGCATATGCACATACACTGACATACAAGTTGGATGTGAAGTTTTTCATCTCACAATTAAAACTTACATGCTGCAACCTTACTTAAGCGTCTAAGTACATCATGTCATTTCCGTTTCACATCACTATCTACTGCTGCAACTCCTTAGATCATACAAGTGTTTCTCAACACGTGAAAATAGAGAGGGACCTTACGTGTAAAGCCAAAAGACAGGGGCCCCTAAATCCCTGAAAGCCCCGAAGCCGTACAAATAGGAAGCCGAGAGCCGAAGACGCGTAAAGGGCCCACGGCAGCCAAAGCCGAAACCGAAACGGAAGAAATGCCCTCCGAAAGATCAACAGCTCCCCGAATTCCCGCTTCGTTAAACCTGGGCCCCAACAAGCTCGGCCGACGTGATTTCACTGGCGATGCAGGCCTGAGCACGTGCGATGCGTGTCTGGGTCTAGACTTGCACAAAGGTTAAGTCGAGAATCGTTGAGACGACATCCGTCGTGCCACAGCTGGCTGCATGCTGTGTCGCAGCATGATGCAGCCTGGCACTTGAGCCGATCAACGCGCACTATGATCACAAGGTCCCAGGCTAGAAGGGATCAGCTTAGATGCCGCCTGCTGGGCAATTATGGCAATTGCTCCTACGAACAGAGTATCGCCTTCTTCTGAGTTTTCGCAAGAATACCGCTCATGTTCATGGCAGTCAATGCTGCTTGACCCACCTGAAGCGTTGGTGACAGCACTCGGCTCTGAAAACAAGTCCGCAAACATCCATCTACTGGCTACCAGGTGCTGAGTGGCTCTGTTCCATGTACCCAACACCCTGACGCTGTGTCTTCTGCAGATTGATATGGGTCCTGCCTTTCAAGCGTATTCATGTGAAGCGGGTCATCGATGGATTGGGGATTCCAGAAAAGGAATAGCTTCCGCCGCAAAGGATTCGCATCATAATCCACGTCGAACAATCGCCTCGGATGCTGTTTGCTCTGTGCAGTCTTGCCTAGCGTTTCTGATACGTAGGATGAAGATCCAAAGATGTGAGAAAGTGCTTGCAGGTCACGGCTTGCCCTCTTTGTCATGAAATACAACTTTCTTGATGGGATCCTCGCTGCCCATTCCATAATGTAGTTTGCTTTCAACACATATCAGTTCGCAACGCGGAACTTGCCTCAGTGCTCGCAGGGATCGTGGAGTAGCTTTCCGGACACTAAGCGCCTTACGCAGTCCGACTCATCCGCGAGCTTTAACATGCTGCGAGTGCGTATAACTATCGTGGACCAGCTTGGATGGCAATCCTTGCATGAAAGGATTGCAAGTTTTCGTGCAGTGCGCGCCTGGAGGAGAGCTTCAGCGTCTCCTCCACGAAGCTCTGGACATCGGGCATTTTGAATCCTGGTTCTTCCTGCTCCGTGGGGACTTCCCAGGTCATCACATTGCGCCTGGACGGCTCTCTTGATGCATTATGGTGTTATCTTCCTGCTGAACCAAGCGTGCGAAACTTAGAGATGTTTTTTGAAGGAATGGCCCAGGCGCATGAGCTTTCGTTCCAGGAAATGTTTCGTGTAAGCTTCGCATGCTTCGTGCAACTCCGGAATTTCGTTCTCCAAGAGCCGAGTCTCGACGAACATATCAGTAAGCTTGGCATAAGCCACGGTGTCACAGGACAGCGCAGCTTCAGAGATGCTCATCTTCTTGCCACTTTTTCCGGTGACTCTGATGGTCTGGTCCATCAGCTTGAGAATGTCTACCATGTGCGACTCGAGCTTCTTCACGGTCTTGTGCTGATAGGCGGTTCTGTGAAGTGTCTTGCGCAGTTCGCAGAGGTTCTCACGAATGTCGTCTTTCAACTTTTCTGGAGGAGATAATGTGGTGATGCCATGGTGGTCTTCGATCACAACCAAGCTTTTCAGGTATCTGTGGTGGTCGAACTGGCGCGCGATGCCCAAGAAGTATGCATCTCTCCGAAAATAATCCATCTTGTCCACATCTATTCCTGATCGAAAATTGGAGACAATCTCGTACATGTAAGCCTTCTGGACAGGCCTTCCCTTCATCAGGGATGGCCAATGCTCCTTCAATGTCCCGAGGTTCAGAAACCTCAGCAAGCGAGGGGCCTTCGAGCTCAATCAAGCTGAAGCAGCGCATAGACGGAAAGAATCTCCTTTGAAGCCCTACAGTACCGATGATTGCTACTGATGGCCTCACCAACTGGCCAAGGCACGTGTTGAGCTCCTTTTTCGGCGGGTCGATGAGTTCAACGATAAACTGTTCGTCATCGCCCTCTGCGTCCTTTGTGAGCAGCGACAGGTTGACACTCCTCAGGACTTCCTTCACGAGCACTGTTGAAGCCTGCTCGTGGGTCCATGATGTGTGTCCGATGCTTGCCATGAAGGTCTCGAACATATGACTGTAGGCTGGGTGGCCCAGGTCGTGCATGAGAGCGGCCAGAACAACGCACACGACGTCTCTGTCACTGATACAAAGTTCTGGCTGGTTGCTCCTGAGGTCCTTCATGAGGTTGTATGCCAAGTGGGCCGTTCCGATGCTGTGAAAGAACCTGTCAGAGGAGATAGATCTGCAGTGTCCAAATTATGGTGTACCTATTCAGACACTGTCGCACTTGCCGTTGTGAACAGCCGAACAACCTGAACTACTCCGGTGCGTTTGCCGTTAACACCTTCGGCGCAAACCCTAAACCCTAAACCCTCAAGCAAGGCACATATCGCAAACGAAACTTGGAACATGCCCTCGAACTTGAAGAGATAGACAGATTGAGAGTACACCCATCTGTTGGGTTCCCGACTCTTGTCGAGACTCAGCTCCAGAGTGCACCCATCTCCGGCTTTCGAACCACTCCGCTTGTTTCGGAGATGCAAGGCTGTTCCACATCGATAGACAGTTTCCGAGGTTTGATTTATTGCCGATCTCAGGAAAACAAAACATGTGCGGGCAATATACCTTCCGACGATGCCGGTTGTTAGCTTCGGAAGCTGGCTTGTAATCGCTTTCGTTTCTGAATCCGGCCTTCTCTTCCCCCCAAGCCCCGTCACACGCCACCAGCTCTCCACCAGGTGCACGTTCGGGCGAATGCAAGGCTACAACTTCGTTTGCAAGACCCTGCCTGTCGTGCTTCGCACCAGGGAAGACGAGTGAGCACACACCCAACTGTTTGATATGTCGCATCCTCTGAAACAGTGCAGTGTCGACGACCATCTTCACCTTGAGCAGTACAGATGCTGAAGTTGGGGCACGCTTCCGAGTTTTAGGCCTTCAAGAAATAGCAAACAATTCTCGACTGATACAGGGGACGAATCCAGGCAGGTGCATGAGCCCGTGCACTGGACAGTTCGGAGTGAAGTTCTCCTGCACAGATACTTGCAGGAAAAATCTCAGCACAGCAACTATTGATAGGCAGTGAACTAGAACATCTCACATCCAGGAATCACGCCATGCTTGAGCAAGAGTCTTGTCGTGACAACTTCCTCATTTGCTCTCTAACAGTATTGAGTCCTGCAACAACAGGGATCCTGAGTTGAAGGGCTGAAGCTTCCTTCGCTTCCTGTCCTGTGCAGCCACAACGCTGTGACGAGCGACGTGCAAAGCCCAAAGATTGCAAACGCAGTCGCGCAACGACGGATTCCCGCTTTTTCCTCCTCGATTTCGCGGGCGATGAGCTCCTGGCAGCTGCTATTCAGATGCAAAGTCGCAGAGAAGCCCTCTCGCACGGGCGACGGTCTCTGTTGCAACTTCCTGCACATCGGGATTCTCTTTCAGCGTTAGCAGCTGCCGCTTCCGATCCGAATCCATTGCTCACGCTGCGACTTTGTGCTTCACAGATGAGTTGGACTTGGTTGACAACTGTGGTATGGCCACTGGAACTGTCAGTGTTCAGTAGAGCCTTATGGCCTGCAGGTGTACGGATGCAAGTGTGACTTTCAGTGTCAGCAGCCACAAGTCGCATGAGGACTCGGACTCGTGCTATACTAGCAGTGTCCGGGCTCGCTGCTGCATCATCGATGGCCAAGTCATTTTCTGCGAAGTGGAAGTGGCCCAAGCCTCTAGCGTCTGGATGGAAAGCATTTCTGCGCAGATGCAAGGCCAAACTACCAGTAGGAGGACACCTGCACCAGATTTTGAAACCCTTACAGACTAAGAGCTACACACAGCAAAATCTGACTCAGTGTGGAGGCAGGCCTCGGCCGCACAACGACTGCCGGACAGGAGCTGAAGACACGAAACTCGGGCAAATCATTTGGGACCAGGCATAGCTGTTGCTTTCCAAGACGTCGCTTGCGCAAGCATTCCTGGGAACTCGATCTGACGCTGTATTCTTAGAGCAGATGCCTTGAACGTCATATCGCCATTGGCATGGCCGCGCCTAGAAAGTTCTGGTCCCTGAAATCCAACCTGGCTTTAGTGGTCAGGCGGCATCTAGACCCAATCTTTCGGGACAGACAGGAAGGATGTAGTGTATGCTTTCGTATTCAATCAACAGCGTCGCCCGTAGCGAATGTATGGAGGATGAGTCTTCTCCACATAATGCACCAGACCGTCATCCGAATGGTGTACCAAAACAATGTCCGTGCGACCCGCCTCGTTACCGAGAAGGCTAGCTTGGCAAGGTCCTTGCAACACAGGCTTGCAAACAGCTATAGCAAGCTCGTTCGGCTTCTGAGCAGTCCGTGTGCTGGAAGAGGCCGATGTTGTTCGCGGCTTTACGAGTGGCCACTTGCAGCAGGACTTCATCCCGCCTCAGTGTATCCAGGCTCTGTGGTGAGAAATGGGATCCCTTTATTTGTTGGCAAGGGCCCGACTCGTTGAGAAGAGCACTGCTGTAGAGCATGTCCGCCCTCTGTACAATCACAAAGAAAGAATTCCGGACATTGCTGGATGATACTGGATGCTTGCAATGAGGAGATTTGACTGGGGTCCCTTGCAGCTGTGGTCCTTTGAAGATATGTTTCTTCCTGGCGGCGATCTGCAGAACTCGCCGGAGGAGTTCGCGGTCCTCCTCTTGCAGCTTGTCCTGGCATGCCCGTTCCTTCCCTTCCAAAGATGCTTAGGATGCACAGCGTCCTTGCTTTCCACCAGAGAGTGGACCACATCCAGGAGACTCTCAGGACCGAGTCTTCTGACTTTTGACGATATTGCGCTGAGGCATCGTCGTCTGATCGGGTCATGACCTGCAATAGCTATCAAAGGCTTGCTTATCATGGCAGAACCCACTGTGCGTGTTTTGAAATAACATTTCTGGCCTCCCGGCAACGATGCCAGGATTTTTGGTAGATCCGCCACCAGGAAGCCATATCCTCCTCTGAACAGCGCATTGGGTTGCAACGCCTGCTCGATGGCGATCAGAGAGCTATCCAAGAGTTGCCGGCCTGGCCCCAACGTTGCCAAGACATCGAAATAACTTCTGTGATGCCCGCCCGCCTTCATCCAGCATGCCCAGGTCCAGCAGCTGATTTCCAAGCTCGGCACTCTCGATCAGGATTTCTGCTGCAAGGAACTTGTTCATCTTCCGCACCATTTCGATCTGCAATATCCGAACACGGCTTGAAGTGTCAGCTGCTGTGGCAGAAATGGTCATGTGATGTTACGGCGATGACAACGTGCGTCGACTCGCGGCAAGAGCCTGCGATTGTGGCACGTGCCGACTGCCGATACGTGATGTTCGCTTACCGACGCCGCGACGATCTCGGATCACTGAGTGCCTGCATGGTCACTAGGTGCTTGAAGTCCTCCAGCTGGGTGAGCTGCGCCGGCTCTGTCGGCTGCCATGCGTTCCTGCCAGATCGACTCTTGTCACCACCATTCACCGTCCTGCCTTTCGTCCCAGCCACGCTCTTTTTGGACATATTCTATGTAGCAGATGAAACCTGAAACTAGTCAGCATGAACCGCATATCACTTCAGCCAAGTAGGGACGCAGTACAGAAGCCCCCCCATACTCCAGTGTGCAGCGTTGTAGCAAAGCTATGCGAAACGGGCTGAAATGCGGCAGTGGCTGTGCTGGCAGCGGGACAACCTTCTTCTGACTTGCTACGGCTAGGGCCAGAGCCATGCTCAGGCCATGCCCTACATTCACGTCCCCGCCATGAGAACGGGGCTTGATGGGCCATGGGTAGCGGAGGGTAAGGGAGGGGAGGGACAGATGCGAGGAGGAAGGGAGAGAGGGACAGAGACGGAAGAAAGGTACGGGAAAGAGAGCAGGGGCGGGACAGGCGATTCTCGACGCCGGGACATCTTCTCCACACTTCATCGCAACCCATTGGCCTGGATCTTGGGTCTGGCCTCACGCAAAGCGACTCAACTGCTCTGGCAGGACTATGCAAGGCCTTTTAGAGAGATGGCCCTGGCAGGGCTGTCGAATTCGATGGACATCCGATCCAAACATCCCACCTTTGCTCATCCCCTCCTTTCTTGGACTCTGCTCATCTATAAAAAGCATGCCTGTTGGCTGTCAATGTCAAGCATATCACGAGTTGAAAAGATCTGCTTCCATCATCTGCCGGGTGGTGTTTTGACTCCTTGGAGCATGCAGCCTGTTCCTAAGATACTTACGGGCTTGTCTGTGCTCCAAGGAGACAAAAGATCGTACAGGAACCCCTCATCGCCTCCCAGTCGCTGCATACCCTGCGCCAAAGGCGGCGCTTTTGCAACCAAGCTGCTTGTGAAGTAGCTTCTTGAGCAATGCAACAGCATCCGCTGCACGCAGATGTTCCCTGACACATGCTACATCTTTCGATTGCGGGAGGCGGGTCAAAAAAGCCTTCAGTCTCTTGGGTCAACCTTCATGAAAGTGTCTGTAGCTGAACCACGGGGGATTGGGATCACGTAGTAAGCGACACTCCGACTCCTGCGAGCCTGTTCTGATTCTGCTGATCGAAGACTTGCTCGGCTGTTGTAGCTCGTGACAAGACCTCCTCGAAAGTCTCACCTGAGGTCTGTGGCTAGTGTTACAGCAACACAAGTTGCTGAGTTGAGCAGTCAGTTCTTCATTGCCATTCACCTGTGGCACGAAGCTGAGACGGCTTCTCGAGACAAAACATGTCCGAAGTACAGTGCCAAGCTGCTTATCGTCGACTGGACAACACCGTCAGCGTACTGCTTCTGATCTTCTGCCGCGTTGCCGCGCGTTGCCTGATTCGCGGCAGATTCTGCGAGAGAAGCATCGCGGCTATGCAGCAGTGAAACTCAAGAGTGTCAACAACTGTTTTGTGCATATGTGTGTTTGGCATGGCCACCTATGTATGAATGTCTGCTAACATTCTGTTGAATGAACAGTAGCTCAGTAGCTTAGATCGCAGTTCGCCTCCTTTGCAATGCACATGTGACATGCCTCATGGGAAAGCCCGTGAGGCTCACGCATTTTGGATTCCGCCATGAACTACGGGGCGTCCGAGACATGCAGAAGCACACGAGCGAGACTGGCAGACAAGTCGCGTGCGAGAGGTCATCTCGAGTCTTCTGCAGTGTGGATCCTTCCCGTCCAAAAGTGAATGATAGGACGTTCACAAACACACAAACACACGCATCACAACAAGTGACCCGTTAGGCAGAGTGTGCTGTGGTCACTCACTTCATGGTGAGACAGGAGCGAGCCTGCAAAGCAGGGAAGTCCCCACAAAGATGGCAGCAGCGCGACTAATAGCACGGCCTTCCCATTCGATGGCAAGGTGCTCCCAGAAGAAGGATCCAACGTAAACTGCAGGGAAACTCAATTCGTCTCCGAGCTGCGCTGAGTCGAGCATTGGCTTTGTCCGCTTTTCGGCGGCCGACTCGACCACTCGCCATTGCTGAAAAAAAGCACGTGTTGTAGTCTTCATAAGCAATGCCTTTAGTTTGCCAAAGTCGCAAATGGCCTTAGTTCATCTTAGTGCTTGTGAAGGATGACGAATAGTGTGCTGAGTTACTTTGCCAGGCGAGGTAGCGCTCATGAACTTCATAAACTTGTTGAGCCAGTCTTGGGCCTAGATTTTTTGGATCCCGGCTACCGCTCGATCCTTTTAGCAGCTGCGTTGGCTTGTTTACTTACACTCCTGGGCCGACGTGGGATCACCCGGACGACTGCACACTTGGAATCACCTACACCAGAGTTTCGACATGGCATACCGGTGTTTTTACAGTGCGAATGCGGCGGCTTGCAAGAACGGAGCCAATTTATACTGCCTTCTAATGCATATCTTTCATCCCGCTGTTGTGCGGCAGTGCGCATGCTCAGAAACTCATGGCTCCGTCCTGCACCACAAACCTGTAAGTCTCAGCGGACATTTGTGGGAAGGCTTTGTCCACAACTCTCTGCTCGCTGCTGGCACGTGCAGTGCATCCGGGCCAGAACGCAGGCAAGCAAGCAGTGCTGGCAAAGCAGATGACATATACCGGATGAGCCGTGTTGGCTCACCTTTTCCGGTCATACAGCCACCTGTACTGCGCAGGCTTCGACTTGCTTCCTTCAGCGACCTGTCCAAACAGGACACTCCCCTTACGTAGCAATTAACATGAAGGAAGCATGGGGATTTCATCAGGGGTGCTGCAAGGAGTGGAGTCAACAGCTCATTAGGCATGTCCCATGGCTCCCGCCTGAATCGCAACTCCTTTTTTGCGGAGGTTGGTGCGTAATTCCAGCTCCTCTCCTTGGTCCATGTTCAGCGCAATCACAAGCCGTGCCAACGCAAAAGTACAAAGATCTCCGGAAATGCAAAGGCGAGGGCGCACTTTTCTGAGCTTCTTGGCTCGCTCCTTCGGAATGTAATTTCACACTCTTGGTTCAGGGGTACGAGCGGGATGAAGAGCCCTTTGCCATGGGGTCTCTGATATGTGGGCATGCCCGTGCGCACTGAGGGCCTGCAGTTGGAAGAGCTCGTGGTAAGCTTCCTTTGCCTCGGCAACGGGCTGCTTGCATTCTGCCTTCACGACGTCCTGCAAACACGAGAGAGGATCCGCAGGGTGGCGGAGCCTCATTGTCGGCTGCGCGTGCCAATTACCAGCACGGACCGTGTAGATCCATTTTTCGGGAGCGCTGTTAGGACAAAGCTGGGGCTATTCATACGGACGGCCAGATCATGGCATCAGCTCAGATCACTGATTTCGGACGATGCCTGGCACGCGGCATGCAGAAAAAGCTGTTCTCCAACCCAACTGTCGATACTGTCGGTGTCACGCCGCACCGATTCGGCAAACAGCAGCAGCTTGTTCCACACTACCCAGAGCTGCTATTTGTTATGCGTGAACCGAGCTTTGCTCCTCTATCTGCTATCTCCTCTTCACGCTCGCATGCTTTCGTTTCACATCTGCTCCGCGAAGGGCGAATGCCGCGGTCTTGCTGGGCGTCAACCTTTGCTCGGCACCCTGGCAATTCAGCGAAACCGAGAAGGGGCAATCCGCTCACTCTACTTGCATGATTTGCCAGTCCTGCTTTGCAGGATTGTTGCAGGGAGCAGCCATGATCCCCAGGTTGAGGCATAACGCTGTCTCAGAGGCCGAAGACGTCGACTTGTTTCGGAGACAAATCCGCAAATCATCCTTTTCTTCGGACCTTACCTGGCTGGACGGTCTGCGACACCGGAACGGGTCATGTTGTGTAGCCCCGTTGGCCTTCCGCACCGCTCGTCGCCTGGCAAGCCGTTGAGCAGCACCGGAATCACATCATGGGTAGCGTCGACATTAGGTCAAAACTCCTGTGCTTGTTTTCGAGGCGGGCCTCGGGAGCCCAAACAACGAGGCACGTCAGCCGGCTCCTCAGTGTCAGTGGCATCAGGGTGCAAGCGATACTCCAATACGCTATGGCACTGACGGTCGCTGGTGTGAAAGATTCTCAGAGTTACAAGAGATACAGGAGCCCGTTCTCAGTCGAGCACTTTGTCTCGACCACGCGCAGCTTCTTGAAGTCAGTAGGCACGGGCGGTGCCTGGCCGCAAAAATGAACTTGTGCCACCACTAGCAGGCAAATGAAGATGTGTTTCCATCAGTGTGTCCACTCGTGTCTGCAAGCACTTTCCTGACTGTCGATGTCATCCATGCTCCACATGTTGTACTGTTTGCGGTCATCTGCCATTGTGGTCTCAACCAGCGACTGTGCAGGGGTCTATTCGGGTAATGCTCTTCGTGGTGCTGCTGTTTTCCTGGTTGCCGCCCGGCGATGACCACATCTGCAAACCGCGCTATGAACACTCGATGGCCTTCGGCCCAAACTTCTCCGGCATCAGCCAAACCTGCAGAATGTGGGGAAAGCTTGGCTACTGTAGGATCTCGGCAGTTGCAGCCATCACACATGTGCTGTCACTTATCACACACTGTTCCCTGTTGGGTGCAGAAGAGTACTGGCCTCCACTTCACCACTGCTCAGCCCTGGCATGCATAGCTTGAACGCCTCCAACTGCCTCTTGGCGTTCTGTGACATTAATGCAAGAAACCCCGTCGGCGCCTACCAGCAAGCGGCCGGTGCATGCAGCCAGCGCTTTAACCCTGGTAGATTGTGCCGCAGATTCCTTCGGCAGCGTGCAAGCCTGCACAGATATCTGCAACTCAAGCGTGCTCTGCAACCCAAGAGAGACAATGAAACAATGAGGTTTCACACCGAGCTTATCCCGATTGTGAGCTGTAGTCGGGTGGTGTCAGGAGTTTTCCGGGGGCGTCACCTTTGCCGTTCTCTCTCGTAGCCTGAGAAGAATACTGTACCAGGCTGTTTTGACTAGGAAAACCAGCATTTGTCGAGACATCCGCACCAACGATGGAGGCCTCAGGGTGTGGACTGATATGAAGACTTCCCGGCGCACCCTAAGTTCCCGTTACACCCCACATGCTTTCCAGGCCAAGCTGCCTGCGTAAGCTCATCGCTGCTGTGGGAAAGGATTCGGACCTCGCCTTTAGTGTCGCCAAGCGCCAGCCTCGAGAACCCCGCTTTCACATCCTTCGTGTTCGTGTTACTGTTGCTGGAATCCCCAACGGTCGAGTACTACGGCAGTCGAATGTTTGAAGTGGATCTCTCTGCTTCACCGACTTGTTTGTAAGATCGGCCAATTCTGCAGATTAGCCCGCAACCCAACCCTGCGTAGAACATTTGCTAAGTTCTTGGCATTCTCGAAGACAGCCACACCATGGATGCCTTGGTGCGTACAGACAGGGTACTTCGCAAAGCTGTGAAGTAAAGCAGGCCGGCAAGGTTGCGGCAAGATGATTGGAGCACAAAGTCATACACAGCTAATTGCAGCAAACAATCGCCAACCCCCAACCGCATGTCATGCCATTGTCGGGGTCTCAAGTGTCACAGCTTCGTCGCTGAGCCTGTGACGAAGTTGGTTCGAACAATGCCTTCCTCAGTTAGACGTACGGCGAGCTGCGGATCCGATCTACAGAGCTACCAGTACAAGCACATCACGATCAGATCTCAGCTGCTGACTGACGATGGGTCCTTCAAAGAGGCTGTTGCAGATGTTTTCACCTGTACAAGATGGGACTGGCACAGCACAGCACTGCACACTAGAGACACTTCGCGTTAGGAGCGCTTCGCCGTGGCGGCCTGTACGGCCATGAGCTCACGGGCGCTCAGAACAGCAATGCTCTCACCGCATGGAGACCATTCCAGGGCCTGCCGAGATGGGCCGTGGTTCGGATCAAACGAGCATGTGGCGGATGGTGTATAAATGGGTGCATCTTACACAGCTGTCAATGCTGGTATGGAGCAGACACTGGAACTGGGACTCCACGGAAGCTACAAGTTACAAGCTTGGGCAAAAGGCGGGCCTCCGCAACGTCCGGGATGGTGAGGTGGGCGGCCGAGGTGCCACGCGTTAGATCCTGAAGCAGGTCCATTGGATTCTTGCTTGGGCACGGGTGGGGAACAAAGGATAACGCGACAGCTTGCTCAATACAACGGTCGGCTTGCAGGAAATCCTCTTGAACGGTTTCGCACGCCGAGACCCAGGCCCAAAGCTGTACCCGTTTGTCGCGACCAGCACCTTACAGCAACCCTGCCACCAGAATTATGCTTGTAACTCCCTTGAAAGAGATCTTCAGCAGCGAAACCAGCAGTTGCAGACTGAATGATACTGCCAGGGCACTTGCGACCATGCGCCCAGACGGATGCACCTCGGGCACTTGTTACCGTGTCTGGAATCACTGAGAGTTGTGCTTCATGTGGCATGTGGGCAACTGAAAAGATTTGCCTTCCCACCGCTGCCAATGGCACACACCATTGGGCCGAACATCAATGATACAGACTTCCGACGATCATCCTAGCGTTGCCTACTATGCTTTCTCTTGCAACTGCGGGCCGCGGGATCTTGGATCTAATCGGCATCTGGCCTAGAACATGCCTCAGGTGCGAGCAGCCAAGCTGGTGACTGCAGCCTCCACTCGCGGTTCACTCTTGCCCATACGGTGATGACGGCTTTCAAAACAAAGCATCGAGCACATCGAGAAGAGACGAATCACTGCCTTGTGGCCTTGGAACTTCAGGAGGAGCCTGGCTGCTACAAGGATACCACAAGCAGAGATCTTGCACAAACTACAGATCTTCTGACTCCTGACTTCGACTTGCCGTGCTTGCCGCGTCAAGGTAGCCAGCCGTGCTCGAAATCCCCGCCGCGCCAGATACAAACCTTCCACCAGGTTGAGGCATCTGGCTGGCAAGGGCGGCGAAAGGTCCAAAGCCCAGAACAGGCCTGCCCATCGCTGCTGGCCGTGATCAGCGTGCCTTTCCAAAACTGCAAGGCCGACACCGAGTCCTCACAGAGGGCATGCTCCGGCTACTCTCAAGGCCATGCTAGCACGATCTTGCACAGCGCTTGACGTTGGTCCTGATGTTCCTGAAGCTCTCCGAGCTCGACCCTCTTGGCCAAATCGAAGAGTCGGACCTCGAAGTCATGGACCGTCCGACTGCGTTCACGGCTGGCCAAGGCAGTCCTCTCTTCACTAACATTTCGAATTGGCCTGGCCTCAGGGTCAGGTTGTCCGCGTCACTCTCATACAACGATGAACAATGAACTCTGCACGGCAGCGCTCAGCACTGTGTCGAGCTCTTTGCGCTCCTTTTTTTTCGCTCGGAAGCGTCGAGCTGCACACGGGCATGCTGTAGGTGTGCGGCAAGGGACAACGGCTGTGAGGCCTCAAAGTTAGTCCCCTACTTTTTTTATGTTGGTTTATACTTGCTTTGGGATTCGGGTGTGCATTTACATAGGATTCCCCTAAGACTCGCAAGCTAAACACCTCCAAGTGTGTCTTGTTAGCTTGAGGATATGTGCTTGGTTGTGTCCCTGCATACGTACAACATGCCATGCAACTAGAAAAGTCTTCTCAGTGTGTTGTAAGATACAGGCCGAAGTGCTCTGTAAGATAGAGGCGAGCGAGGTCGATCGTGCAACTCCTCATCAGCGTGGGCCGGCAGCTGCTGGCCGACGCATGCTCTTCTTGGGTGCAGCAGGCGACGGTTCCGGTGCTGGTAGCTTCTGGCGAACCTCTTCCAGCAGATCAGGCGGGAGTGCGTCGAAGCGCACAAAGAGCATTGGCCAGCAATTGGAGCCGTCGTAGTCAGCCCTCATGTTCTTGCTGGTGGGCCAGACGGGCTTGCCACGGGAGTTCTGCTTCTGACCGCCTGCCTCACAACAAAGCTGGTAACACCGACTTTTCCACTCCTCATTGCTGTTGCACCGGTCGAAGGCGTAGCGCTCGAAGACCGTCTCCTGTCTCGCGGGCGGCGGAGGCAGAGGCCCAGCCAAAGGTTGGTTCCATCCAAGGTAGGACTCGCGAGCTCGCGGCAGAAAGAACGTCACCAAGCTCTGCTTTTGCTGTAGCAAGGTCGAGTAGTCCCAGGCCGCCACCTGTTGCATGATCTCCAGGATCTTGCTCTTGGCCGATGGACGATATACCTGCCAGAACTGGCTTTTCGCGCCAAGGCTGTCTCGCGGTCGATGCCAGCAGCTAGCATCGCAGAGCAAGAGCTCGCGATGATAGCGGAAGAGCAGTCCATGGCAAGACTGCTCCGCCAGCCAGCCAGTCGTGTCGCTCTGACACAGCAAAACAGCCAGCAGGTGCCATTCGTGCTCTGTCGACTTGTAGCCAGGGACCGACTGGCAGTAGTGGGGCAGGATGGTTGAGCATGGTACGGACCTGTCCGCCAGCTTCGTGTTCCCAAGAGGTGCATCCGCAGGAGCTCATGGCCGCTGTAGCTAGGGACATCTGCGCACTGGTCATGGATGTCCTTGGATATGCTGACAGCAAGCGAGAAAGTGGGCAGACACACGAGACCACGTGGGCCGACAAAGTGGGCAGACTAGCGGACAGCAGGTAGTGGACACCACGAGTGGGCAGACAGCATGTGGGCAGACAAAGTGGGCAGACACACGAGACCACGTGGGCAGACAAAGTGGGCAGACCAGAGGACAGCAGGTAGTGGACACCACGAGTGGGCAGACAGCATGTGGGCAGACAAAGTGGGCATACACACGTGTCCATGCCATAGAGGCATTCAAGCACCGCCGTCCCGACCTTGTTCGCGGTGGTCAGCATGAACATCGGCGCGTGTGGAAGATCCTCGTCTTCTAGCTTTACGACGTCCAGGCGTGCCCGCACCGGAATCGTCGGCGGGATCTGCTGGGCAGGCCGTGCCGCTGACGAGAAGATCTCGTACATCTTCGTCTGCTGCTCCAGGCTGCTCTTCTGGAACTCCATCTGCTGAGCCAGGCTGCTCTTCTGGAACTCCGCCATTTGCTTGTTCTGCTCTCTCATCTGCTCCAGCATCTGTCCATTCTGCTGTAGCAGCTGGCCATTCTGCTGTAGCATCTGGCCCATCATGTTGAGGATGGCCACTTGCATCACTGCGGGTCCGCTGCCGTGCCCGCCGTCTTCCGCTTTCACGATCTGCAGGGACGGGACAGCACTTGCTACGTTGCCCTCGCGTGGACGAGGCTCCTCCTCCTCCTGCTCTGCCCGCTGCTCAACTTTCACAAGGTGTCGGCCGACTCTCGCCAGATCCTCTGACCCCGCCGGCTCCGTCTCTGACCTCGCCGCCGCCGCTTCACTGTCTGTCCACAAGTCCAACAGGTCTCCACTGCGTAGTTCTGCCTCGTCCTCGGCCATTTCCTCCTCCTCCTCACCCTCTCCGGCTAGGTCGGCCTCGGGAGCAGCGCCGATTCTGTCCAGATCCGGGCTGGAGCCGTGGTTCTCCACATCCTGTGTGGTCAAAGGCTGCGGCGCCTCGGAGCCCTGGGAACTATCTGCCCCGCCACCGCCTCCTAGCACTTGAACAGACAGCCCCATCTGTAGAAGCCTCCGTCTCTTCGATGCCTGAGTAGCATCGCCGGCCTCCCTAAGCAAAGGCTCCTCGGAGGCTTCGGCTCGGAGCCGATCTTCCATGCTCGCGCCGACCAAGCCTAAGGCTTCTCAGCGCTGCGAAACTACAACCTCGAGAGGAAACATCAAATGCGAGGAGTTGCTGAATGGCTCGCTGGCAATTAGCAGGACCGTGAAATTAACATTTCGCTGAGCAACCAACCGCGTTATCCGTAGCACCCGATGCAAGCTTACCTTCCTGGCGCAGTATGGCAGAAAATCGACAAGAGCTCGCAAGGTACAGCTGCCAACCCAGCGATTCCGCCTTGTTGCAGTGCACTGCCTTGATGCAGCCAATGTGGGGTGCGTAGCCAAAGGTCTGAGCCTCGAGTGAAACTTCACTCGAAGACGAGCTCTTAGTGCTGTCATCGATCAGCGGCGTTCCTCTGCAAGCCTTGCGGGAAATCGCCTTGGACCCAAACTCCATCTTCCAAGCTGAACCCCAGCAGTCCACCGTCGTACCTTCAACCGCAGTTCAGAGCTGCAACTTTTCCTATGGCAACAAGAAGCGTCGAGTCTAGGTCACGTTCCAACCACGACGGTGGCTGCCAGGGCCTGCGCAGCTTCCAAGCTTGTCGTGTGCAAGACACGTTCAAGGTGTGTACAGCCTCCTCTTTGCCGCGCTGTCGCTTCTTCCTGCTGCGATTATGAAGATTACTCGTTTCTCGGCCAAGGGTCAAGAGACTTTGCCTTCGGTGCAGACATATGTGGACATGCAGGATAGGCACACTGCAGGAGTCCAACCCGGGAGGAGGCTCAACAAAGGTTCGGAAAATAACTGCAGCCGGGGAAACCGCGGCTGTGCTCTCGAAGGCTTGGGCGGCATCGAACCTACAAGCAAAGCCTCATCCTAAGAGTGGCGAGGCGTCTTGAAGCTTAGTGTTGAGGATGCTGGTTGCGGTGGATAAGATAGCTTCATCTTCTGACTTCTGCACTTCTTCTCTTCCGTGAGGTTTGCGATTGGCCATCTATCTTCAGCTCATGAGGAACAGGATCGGTCGCGGCATCAACACAAACACGAAAAAAACTCTTAGGTTCACTATTCACCTGTCATGATTGGTGCAAAATTCCACACTGCTTTTGCTTTTGCGCAAGCTCGCATCTCTCAAAGGGCAAACGGTGCTGCCAGGGCAACCAAGACCGGAACCACGCCCAACTGAACTCCTGAGACAGCGCGCGCTCGAACAGTCTGGACTCTTTGGCATTCACAATGTCATAACATGCAGAAAAGAGGGGTGTGTACTATGGCGAACTGTCTGATGGTCCAATGAAGCCAATGCCGGGTCTCGATCAGACCCACTGCCTGGCCGTCGCGCATTGGCGCTGCAGGAGCACAGGCCTGGCTTCAGCCTGTTCTTTGGGGCAGCTGCACAGCTTAATGAGTGCATCTGTTGCTGCAAGAAGGCGCGTGCGGCCTTTTCGGGAAAAGACGTGCCCCAAAGAAGTCTTTGCATTGTTGATCCTCGCCATTGATGAATTGCTCCTCGGGGCACTCGCACTGAGCTCGCCCGTCCTTGGCTGAAAGCAGCACCTAGTGTTGATTTGCGATGTGATTTGACTGAGACGAGCTACTTTCTCCACTTCGATCGCACCGGAAGCAATGTCGCCGCAGTTGTGAGTGACCAAAACGTTCGGTTGGCAGGAGCACTCCTGCAAGATCACTGTGATACCATATCCACAACCGCGCACCGGCATTCAAACCAACTTGTCCTAATCAGTGGCAAATGGAATGTCGTGTTTTCATCTGATTCTCACACTTCTACCTGCCCAAATACGTTTCGGATGCTGTGCTCACATCTTCGAACGGACATCTTTGTCAACGGAGGAGCACTCGTTCCCTTGGTTAGATGCGTTGGTGATATCCGCAGAGTGAGAGTAGGATTTCAAGAAACTTGGGAGGGGGTGACACAACTCGAACCCACGCGCCTGAGGAGGCAATGTGTTTGGAAAGTAGCGCTCCCCCAGGAACGTCGAACATTGGTGTGCCTTTCGGAAACCAACGCTTTGCTGTGTCTGGGCGGCCCCTGAAACTAGCAGTGCCAGTTGAGTCAATCACTCTAGACCTTAAGCCATGCCGCACAAAATGCGGATTGCAATGGCCTTGCCATCGAGAACCTCGTCCGGCTTCTCACACTTGCATGGCCTGGAGTTTGTGAGCTTTAAGTGATCGATGAAAACCAAACATGTCGAACAGGGGCGTTGAATGCACCCACCAGCCTGTCCGCGTTCTTGGATGCTGAATTTCGCTTCTTGGCACCTGCTGAGCTTGGTGGCTGCACGTGCCGCCTGTTTGGTGCTTTCTAGCATTCAGCACCGACCGAATTCGAAGCACTGATGCCCAGCGGCTACGTCGCAAGGCTGTCAGAGAACAGACTTCTGCAAAACATGTGCTGTGCTACAAAGCCGTCATAATTGCAGCACAGCGCGCCTGCAACCATTTCCTCGCACTTGCTAGTTGGCTCGCCTTGGAGCAGTCTGATGTCTCCGCGCTTTCGGACTGGCTATAGACATGTCTTGTTCGGTCATGCGGCAGCTGCAGGTTGAGATTGCCATCCTACTCGAGAAGTGACGATGCCCCAGAGCTTCGCTGCACTCCCACGACTTGCCAGCCTCGGGCCGGAGGCGTCGTCAACAGATCAGTCACAGGCTTGAATGCACCAGACCCTAGGCCCTCTCTTTGCGGACAGGCGGCGACAACGTGATCTGGTGGGCACTTGCAGTTCTTGCTGCCAAAGTGCCAGCTTGTCCTGTCTTCCGCACCAGCCACCACAGCATGGCAATCGTGCTTCTCCTGGCAGCAGCCAGCTTCGAAACTACATGCCAAGGAAGAATGCCGAATGATTTGCGGCACCTGCTTCTTTTTGCCACTCAACACCATGTCGACACTGGAGCTGTTAAGAGCCTGGGCTTGAGCATGGAGTCTGCACCCTGAAGACTGCTTCACTCTCAGTGTGTACCTCTTGCATCCCTTTGCGCAGCATCAAGCTTGAGCAACATTGAAAGAGCCACCCTGCTCGCCCAAAAGACCTACCTTACCTCGGCATTGCCAACATAGGAGAGACGGTCATGCGATGTTGCTCCTGCAGTGAGGTGTGCTCAGGTCATGTCAACATCGAGCTGAAGCGAGCTGATTTCAAGTCAGAACCTCCAATCTGCTCATTCTCTGCTCATGTCTGGCTCTCGAAAACTGCATACGGCAGCTTTCTGGCAGTTCTCAGCCCCAACGGGATCGATACCAGTCAGTAACGGCATTGTCCAGGCCTCCAAAAGATGTATGTATATGCAGGTGCTAGCAAAAACGCATGTAGCCTAGATCCAGACGTCTCTGTTCAATTGGTGCCATTTCTTGGAGGTGCAACCTTTGGGGGTTCATGGAACCAGACTGCTGCTGGAGATATGCCGTGGAATCAGCTGCTACAGTATCCAAATAGCAACTTGAGATGTTAGCTTGTCATGATCATCTTTTTGTGTCACTTCGGAAAGGGGGTCTTTCACTGGCGCTCGACCAAGCTTGCTGTCGAAGGCTCTCAAGTCCTTAGGTCCTAGGACTTCCGGGCAGCCAGGAAGCCTGCGCCTCGTACTGTCTTCTGAAGAAGTCTTGAACTTCGACCAGACCTTGAGACATCTGAAGGCACCGAGCTTCCAAGCTGGATCTGAGGAGCTCACGCGAGGCGGCGGTGCCTTACTTGGCTTCTCAGGGATTGTGAACTGAAGAACTCGAATCGAAAGCATCTTCAAAGATACGTGCCGCACACGAGGTTTGCAAGAACTCAATATCCACCAAGCGGGTGATCCACTAACGTGCCAGGTGCCTTGAGCATGCATCAGCTCGAACTGCAATGAACTGCAGCCAAGGTGCTTTGCGTACCAAAGGCTAAGCAAATGCATGGCCATATCCGAGATGTGCACATCGTTGAATCTCCAGACAACGCGGGCTTGAGCCCAATCTGCAACGAGGACATGACAAGGGCTCCATGCTTGCCTACGTGTATCCTTTCATGGCCGTGTCGAACACAGGCAGGGCTTGCCTCGCCACATGGTCGCCTGGCCAACATGAAGTCTGGCTGGTCTGCGCAGCAATGACTTCTTGACAAGCCCTCCACGTTTTAGCTGCCCCTTCTCTCGCAATTCTCTAAAACAGCGGCTGCGTTCAGTCCTTTTCGTCCTTGCACGGCTCGAGCTGGTACCGAGCAGGGGTATTGATTTCGATCTAAACCGGCACTTGATGGTGCATGGCATATCCTACAGGCATCGAAGCAGAGCCACCCGACCCGTCACGTGACAAAGCGGACACATTCACTCGGACTGCCCTCATCGTTCATATGATGGGCGCCCTCCTATGCGCTTCAGTGTGAAGGGTCACAGCCAAAGCTGCATTGTGCAGCGCTAAACATTGCCATGCAGGGCCAAACTGGAGCAAAGCCGAGCAGAAGATCGAATATCGGGCCGGCACTCCGACTTGAAAAGCTCATTCGAGCTTTAGCAGATTCCCGACTCTTTGTGACATGCTTCTCGTACGAGGCGGCGAATATACTGTTGAAGCAACATGAAGCAGTGTCGCCCGAAACGTGGAGGCTGCAAGAGTAGGCTTGCATTTTTGGCATCAACCTCCGCAAATGCAATGCACCGCAAAGCATTGTGCTCTCGGTCTCAAATGGGCATGCCTCGGGTGCTCAGATTGAAAAGACAAGCTTAAAACTTGTTCATCAATATGCGTGCGAATTCTGCGGTCTGTCTCAGCAGTATCATATGCGCGCGTGCATGTCGCAATTCAGCTCTGTTCATGTCCAAGCATGCCCATTAAGGTAGCAGTGGGCAGAGTGTTGAGTGCGAAGGCTTAGAATTGAACTGGGAAGGTTCCATACGGAGCCTCTACAGTCAAGAAACATGTGTCAGTTTGTGTGGCGGGATATACGGATATACGCTTTAAAAGCTTGATACTTCAGCCTTGGCCGGATTTGGCCTTCGACAATGGTGGGGGATAAGCCGTGGGAGCATGTTGCAGGCTTGTGTCTTTGAATTTTCATGAGGGTTTGTGGCTGCGACATCATTCTTGCTTCGTTGGACATTGGAATCAGATACATTCCTTGGAATCTTCTTAGAACTTCGAGCCAAAGGCCCGTGAGAAATCAACCAGACTAACCTCTGCACTGCATCCCGCCAGATGTATTCAAGCAAGACCGGCACATGTGACATCGGGGGCCTGGCTACCCTTGACATGTTGACCAGGGGTGGAAGCACTCGTAGCGGCAAATGATCCGGTGTTGACAACTCGGCATGCTCTCCCCATGAACAGAGCGTGCTCGTAGGGAGCTGCTTACTTTGATTGTGTCATCGAGCCGCATGCCCGGGAACACGGGTGTCGGCAGCACGGAAAGGCTCCCTGGCTTGTCACATATCAGAAACCTCTCCCGTGATCCCGGCCTCCGCTCTTCAGAGAAGATTTTTCTATGAGAATACATTGCTACATGAAGAGCCTCTACAGAGCGGTCAGATTCGGCCTTCGAGGGTCCGTCCCCTGGGCTTTCAGTCGTCCTCCATGGACAAGTCGCTACTAGTGCGCTGCAGGGGCCGCAGGGATGGATTGGGATGGATGGGATTGCATGGGAGGTTGACGTGCGACCCTCTCGGTGCCTGCAGCCTCCACGAGCCTTTTGGCAGGGACGTCGTCCTTCTCATCCAGGAGCATCTCTGCCTTAGACAGAACTCAGACTTACCGCACACTTCCGGATGAGTGTGTAGGCACTGTCTGATGGTAAAGAAAGCTTCCTGAATCTGTAAGCCGCTGGACGAATCCCCGTGCAATGCCGACACATCACCTAGTGAAAGGACCCGCCCGTCCAGACAAACGCTAACTTCCAAACTCTTCCAATAATTCCGTAGCTTTCTGCCACAGATGGACCCATTTACTGTATCTGGAGGACACAAAGCGTGTTCTTGGATCCACACTGAAGCGATGCACTCGGAGTACTTGCCGCTGAAGAAGGCCTACACAGTCAAATCGATGTCTATGGTTGTGAGTTTGGACAATGGCATGCCGAGTCAAGCAGGAACATGCTCATGCGATCTCATGCGCGCAGCTGCATGTGTACGAGACACCGATTGCCCCTTATCTCTTTATGAATTCTGACTGCTTGCATGCCTACCTGCCGTTTGCTGGTTTGCTATATCGACACATGCATAGGAGAGAGAGAGAGAGAGAGAGAGAGAGAGTGAGAAGATAACAAGAAACAGAGACTCCGCGTGGGTCTGCGTGCATGTGTGGGTCTACCTGCCAAGTGCCTGTCTGCCGGCTGGTAGGAACGTAGGCATGTGGGTAGATGAAGTAGGCTCAATGTTGAAGGGTTTGGTGAGTATTGAGACGCCTCCTTTAAATTTAGACCATTTGAGAGTGTGTATTCGGGGTAAGATTTGGGGTGCTATTCTGAGAATACCAGTCAAAAGCAACAATCCTACCCCATGAAAAGTTGCAAACCAGACGGAGCTTGATTTGCAAAGCAAGGCCACCTTCAATGCGCTTTCGTAGAGTCCTGGATGGATGCATCTTGACAGCCAGTCTGGCAAGTGCCTCTCTCTCTTTCTGCCCCCGGAACTTTCCGATGCAGGCCCAAACCGTTCATCCTGGACTCTTGACCATGAGCCATTCTTGACTCTTCTTGGCTCTGAACACATTCATTCGCTTTGCTTGATTTGCTTGACCGTTCTATGACCTTCGTGGAACCTTCACATGTCAAGGAGACATGGCACCCAAACACCGACACAAGACCCTACAGAGAAAGCATTACATGTCTAGCAAAATCCGCGTATTGCCTGAAGAAGGTGACAAGTGATAAGACAGTGAGGATGACGATGTCGATCACGATTGCGTTGCTGATGCTGAGGGTACTGCTGCTGCTGGTGATGATGATTATGAGGGGCGCTGCTGCCGTCAATGATCGGGAGGGTGACAATGGTGTTACACATGCTGCCGGTGGCAGCAACCAAGATGCTTGCAACGATGGCCATGCTCATGTCCCGAACGAAGAGCTCTGTGATGTGAACATGCCTAGCAATGTCATACTAGCGTGCCTGACGAAAACACCGATTACGATGGTGATAATCCGATCAGGACGAACAGATTCTGACAATGATTGGATGACAACGATGTTTAGGATCTTGTCCTGGCTGCTGCTGATAGTCCTGATTGTGGTGGTGGCGTGAAACTGTAGCGACGATCTCAACCTCTCGGCTCTCGCACGCAAACGGATCCCTGCGCTCTGGGGTGGTGCTTTCACCAAAACTTCAGACATCTGTTCTGCCTGCGCTATAGTTTAAGTCATTTCTACATTCCATGCGCAATCTGCCGACCCCGTGCGCGGGCTTCTCCTACGTGTCGCCGTTGCTGCGTAGTCACGACCTGGTCTCTTAAAGAGGTGAGCATCGGCCCCATCAGAACATGCTTTGCTTGGATGGCTCTGAGCATCCGACGTCCCTGTCCTTGATCCGTCCTCTCGCGACCATCTCCCTGGGACAGACTCAGGGTCTACTGAGTCGTAGCATTGGTGCCAACGAACGTTGCAGCAAGCTGAGGACTTTACACCAACTGACCTGCTGATCTTTCCGACGCCAGCGCATCATCGACTGAAGGGCCAGCAATACCGGCCTGAGATGAAATGCACACTGCAAACCAGACACTGAAACAGTACAAACCGCTCATGTCAAAGTCACAGTGCAGAATGCATGATCACACCTCCGCGGTGTCTGCTGCCGGAGCTTTTTCCACCCGCCGGCAGGGTGTCGGATCAACATGTAAACGTACCAGCTGTGCATTCCGAAGTCCTTCCGCCGACGAGAATGCGCTGGTGGACATTCTAAGCCTGGCATGTAGGGGCTCAAATGGGTGCCTAGGTTGGGGGCTTGGCGAATTGAAAAACAACGCTCGCTGAGCTGCTCTGGCTTCATTGCCTAGGGCCTAGGGTATTTCGAAGCCCAGAGACAGGGCCGTGAACGCCATGAACATCTCGCCAATGCGGCTCAGGACGTCGGGTCCGTTGCTTGGGTAACAGAGTTTGCAGTGGCAGTGTCTGCGATCCCAATTGACTGGTCTCCTGCAGGCAATGGGCCGTAGAGCTTTGCCTCCTCAGGCGGATCGGGAGGTGCCCGGGCTGTGCCAGGAGTCTCTGGATAGGCTTTGGCACAGCCTGCATTGTGGCGCTTGGCACCTTTAGAGCCCCTCGGAGCCAGAGCTCGCCAATAGCACTTGCTGCAGCAGTACCCGCCCTGCAGCGGGTCTGAGCTGGCAAGGAAGGGACAGTTGGGGTTTGCGCAGCACAACTTGCGTTGGAAGTGGATGCTGATGCTGGTCATGCTATCAGCCACTGGGACCGACACACCTGTCAAGAAGCTGTGCGAACAAGTGCAGTGTTCGTAAGGGCTCCGCGACTCCCCGCCTGTGGCCGCTGATGTGTGATCTTCGGTCGGGATGGCCTCTGGTTTTGGCGGCGCGAACGTCTCAGGACAAAAGCTGAGATGCACTGCCTGCTGCGACGAAGTGACATCCGCAGCTGTGGCGTCAATGATGCGAGCCTGTCGAGTGTAAGGCTGTTTGTGTTTCGCACTACAGGCTACGGCATGGGTTGGGTTGCATGGGTTCAGGGTTTAGTCTCAGACCGTCAAGCCACTCCCGCTCATAACAAAGATTAGCAATACCTTGTCTCCCTTGTCTTGCAAACATTCGAGGCGGGGAGGACTTCTCAAAACTTCCGGGGATTGTCATGCAGCTGAGACCACAGGCATTCCCTATAATACCTGACAAGAGGCCACGAACGCTGCGGCAAAAAAAGGAACCAGAGTCGACAGAGCTCGGGCAGCCTTAAGCCTGCAAGATCACAGCATTATTCTGCTTTGAGGTGGGCCACATTAAGATACACCCTGTCATATCGTAGTGCCTTGACCGACCTCATTGCACGTCGGAGTGTCGCTGCGTAAAGCAATAATTCGGCCATCTACGAGCAGCTTCGATGTGTCCTGGTGGCAGCTTATCAATTACTGAGGGGTCAGACGTGAAACTTGCCATGTTGCTCAAACAGATGGACCATGATGGACCTTGAGGTGGGGGGGAACCTTGCAGTAGGGACGGGCGCCCCCCTACCTTACACAATGTTGCCGGGACCTTGTGGGCGGGGGTCCCCTTCCTGCTTGGCTGGGAACCAATCGCCCAATCGCTTACGTGCGTGGTGGCGCGGGTGCACCCCCGCCCATCCCCCCCATCAACTACTGATTTGAACGGGCCAGATAAAATCATGCACGAAACTTTGACCTAGTTAGGACCTAGTTCTCTATTAGCTAAGTGAATGGTAAACGACAACTCTCGCAAGCTCCACAGAGCTAGCTTTCGGGATCATCCTGCTTGTTCCATCTTGTTCCCTGTTTGGCATTCGGTTCCTCTTGAAGATTAAATGCAAGCTCCAAGTTCAGTAAAGATTCAATGGATCGATACGTCGCATGTGCGAATTGTGAGATGGAGTTGGAAACTCTGGCACACGGATGGTTGGAAGATAAACTGTACTGCATGCGGGGCATCCAGGGCTCTTCTATGCTGTCATGTGTGGCGGTGTTTGTTGCGATGTGCCGTGACTCTTCTTCCAAGTGGGTCAGGGATCGGCTTTTGTCGCACATTCCTCCGCTTGACCAGCATGAATGGTGAAAGACATTTAAAAGAGTAAGCGTATCCAGATGCCAGACGAGGCGCTGCTGCTGCCTCCTGGCTGACATAGTCCTCCGCTGGAGCCACTGCTGCCGCGAGCGGTGCAGTCGAAGACGCTTCGATCTTCGCACACTCCTGCGCTTCTTTCGTGAAATCACGCAGTGCAGGTCAGGGATCAAGGGTCGCAGGTGACAAGGCAGGAGCAGCACAGTTGAAGATGGACATCACATCCCCATCTGCTGATGAGAAATGCCCGGGCCTTGTTGTGTGCCTTCCCAGATTTGAAGCCAGTTGCCTGCCAAGGGATCACGCATGCTCACGCACAAGACTGGGCTGCGAGATCCGCACGATCGTCCCTGCTACGTGAGCCAAAGTTCTGCCACCAGGCTGCATGGCGCCAGTGGCACTTCCTGCAGCAGTAGCCACCATTACCTGTTTCCGGCGAAGCTCGAAACCAGCAGGAGGGGTTCGCGCAGCGCTCGTGTGCGTCCAGCAGCGGCGAGCTTGCACTTGGCTGGCGCCCTGCGACTCAAGCTCACAACCCTCGCAGATCCTCGTTCCAAACGCATGTGGAGCCGCAAGCACAGCAACATTGTAACAACGCAAACAATCCAGATATGTTAGACTGCTAGACGACCGGGTGGCCTCGTGACCGGCTTCTGGACCTGGATGCAGCCGTCCGTATCGTCCGCTTGGGGGGTTCAGTCGAGTCGGTCTCGTCGGTCTCTACTCTCAACATGCCGCGCTTCAACAGGACATCGAGCGCCTGCTTCAGCACTGTTTCGGCAGGTTGCTCTCCGTCCAAAGTCACGCATTTCTCCTCGTCTTCTGGTGCCGCAGAGCCTGCCTCGTGATCACCTATGACATGCCGCCCCAATAGCTTTACCCAGTGCTTTTCATAATTACCGTGGTGGTGCCACATGTCATTCCACACCTCATGCGTGACAGATTTGTTCCTCATTCGTCGCTTTTTCGAAGTCTCCTCGTTCACCCGGATCCACAAGATGAGATCCAATTCCCTGACAACTTCTTCGTCCCAATAGGCTTTGAAACCTTCGAAGATGATGAGGTCTGACAAACGGTCGCTGCGCTCATCTCGGAGAGTTTGCAATACCCAAGAGTGATCAATGGCCTCCGGAAGCTCCCAGTTACGCTCTCCCCCTTTGAAGTAGGAGTCTTGGCCAACAACGCTGATGCAAGAGCCTGCAGGCATCGGGATTGGTTGGGTACAGAGAAAGTTTACCGATTAGATTAGCCGGCCATGATAGCTTGGCATTTCTACGGCTCCAGCACTATCCCGGCGAAGACCCCAGCTGCATGCCACTGCACCCCCCATACCCCGAGCTGGGGCCGGACCACCTGTGCCTGTGGACCAAGGGCCCTCTGAGCAGTTAGGATCCCTATTGCCAGCGCTATCTGGGGAAATATCGCTTCTGCCGACATAAACCGCCAGAAGCACTTACCAACAGTTGTTAAATATTATTAATTAAGTTAAGTTCCGCCATGCATGTATGCCTCCTCGCATCGAGGGCTGCGCAACGTGCGGACAACAACCAAAAGGTCGTTACCCTCAACTAGGAATGCCCCCAGTGCGCAACCGCTGCCTGACATCTCAAACTCCCGTTGCTCGGAGACTTCGCAGACAAGGCTTGCCAGGGGTCACTTAGGAAAGATGTCTGAACAAGAAGACCCTTTCAGCAAGCGAAGCCTCTGCCACCAAGAAAGCGTTCTACACGATCTCGGCCGAATTGCGGCGGTAGCTTTCTGTCGCTCCCACAAATCTTGCGGGCGATTCCGCTGGCCAACGTTGTCTTACCAGCTTTTGTGGGCCCGGATATTCCGATGATTTTGGGCTCGCTTACATCGACAGCAAGCTGCATTCAGGCAAGATTACTCCAGAACATGCGACATGCCAGCTGCATCTGCTTCTGGTCGAAGGTGTTGCTTACAGCACCGCCAAGGACCATCCATGGCGGTAACTCTACTGCACACCTCCGGTTTTCAATAGCGGCTGCGCACTACGACAGTAAGGCCTGGGGCCTCCTTCCGCTTTCCGCTGATGATGGGCTGACGCGAGTGAGAACGAGTGGTGAGTCGGAGTGGTGCCTTGGAAAATAATGTGTCATGAGCAAGCGCTGCTGACTTGATGGTCGTCTTGCTCGGCGACAACGAGACAAGACCAAATTCAAATTGCGGGCACAGACAAGAACTCAAAGCGAAGCACGAAGACTGAGGAAGCCGACGGCTTGCTCCTGCAAAGCTGCGCCCGGTGATGTTGTGTGGGAGATTGGGGATCTTTTTCTCTTCGGATGATGTGTTCAGGCGAGTGGCTTTGACAAACATCTGAATGTCTGAATACATGGTCCTCCTCGTGGGCCATCGCATTCAAATAGCGAAGCCAGCGCTTCATTGCCTGCCGCCTTCGGACCGGACATCTCCGGCATCCGGCAACCCCCAGAGCTCCAGACCGGGCCTTTGTGGATCCCTGCTGCGCTCAGGACGAAGAGACGGAAGCCGCTGTATTGACAGGCCAGGCCTCAGTGCATGCTAGTGGCCAGTCTCTACGAGGATGGGAGCTGAGAGCTGAGTCTGAGGGTGCGGCGAGGTTGGTGAGGCACTCTCCCCAGAGAAAAGAGATGGATACGAAACTCGGTTACCAAAGCAGAAGTTGGTGGAAACTGATTTCCCGAACACCAACCAAGTGATTCAGACTGCAACATCGTTTCGGTAGGGCTGCGGCGACATCGTTCCACGGACGCTTCCTCATCGCCCCTGGAGACGGTTCGTGTCTTTACGCTACTGCACTGCACTGGCCACAGGGTCTTTACCTGAAATGACCCCATGTCCGCTGCTGGGAAAGTCTTGCTGACTTTTTTTTGGCTGTGTGTGTCTGTGTGTCTCTGTTCCTTCGACATTGGGCCTCGCCTCGCGGATGCTGTTGGGCTGATGATCGACTCCTCCTGGCCGTGAGCTGCGCTTCTCGTGTCGTCTGCAGCATCTCATTCGTTTTTTGGTATGACCAGCACTGACCGCATGTTTGGGGTGTACCGAAACATAGTTTCAACAGCATGGAGTATTATTCAAGCTGGAACCGGAACCTGTCCTCCAAATTTTCGCGACCTCCACGGTGGGACGGGTGCGTGTCTGCCCCATGCACTGCTCGTGGCTGCTCGCCGAGGCTGCTGCTGATTACTTCATGAACTCCAACCATCTCTTCGTCATCACTTCGCACCTGGAAGGGATCTGAGGCATTGCGTGCACAATCGAAAGGCGCAACATGTCCAACCTTCACCTTGCCCAACCAGCGCATGAAGAACTTGCCGGGGGGAATGGCGTTCTTTGTGTCGGAAGAACCTGGAAGCTCGAAGACTTCACAGAATGGCATCCATTGCAAAATCCTTAACCGAAGCACTCGCAAAGGCCGACTGCATTCTCTGAGTTCTTGGGTTCAGACAGATGACGTCAACCTCGTAGTACTTACAATGCTCCTATCAGATCAGGGTTGATGCGCTCTAGGGTGCTCATGAACAGCCAAGTACTGTAGCTGCATTCAGGTCTCCTCCAACCGAATTGCGAGCTGTTTGGTCTCACCAAGACCTGAGCTGCAGCGGCCAGATGGCTGTGAATAATGCGGTCTTGTGGAGGGCTAAGGACCATGCAGCCATACTTCATCTTCCTCAAGAGCACGGAATCATAATTCGACTGCTCTACAACTGCGCTCTGCATCCAGGCTACGTCATACTGCCAATGTTGCCCAGGAGTGATGACCTTTTACAGCGAATCAGCAGCACTACGGACAGGCATGTCGGTCACAAGATCTTCGCAAACCTGCGGCAACCGTCTCTTGCTCGGTCCATAGCCCGGTGTGTATGCCAATTCGGATGGACAAAGGCGTCAATTCCTTACTCTCGGGACTGATCTTGCCCTTGCGATTTTGTAGGGATATTTTTAACTTCATGCATGCATCCAAGCTCCAGGCCAGAACCTTCAGTTCATCGTTCACGTGGCAAAGTGCCTCATCCAGTTTGTGGCAAGCTCTTCTATGTTCTTCTCTAGTCTGCAGCTTGCTGAGCACGTCTGAACCGGTATAGTGACCACTGTCAAACATGGCAACCAACTAAGCACAATGTTGCGAGGCGAGGGACAAGACGTGCAGCCGCAAATCTTAGGGCCAGGCCTGCTGTTGCGTCAGAGCTGCAGCACAGGCGGCGGTCGCGTGATCGGCAACCTGGCTTAGCCATGCGAGACCACACCAGCTCACGGGGAAAGGTTCGCCTTGCGTGTGAGTTCTTCTCAGATAAGTCTGCAGCATGGTCGGGCGCATTCCACAGGACGATCAGCCCGTCCCCAAGGATCTCGGAGACGACTCCTGGCATGGCGCGTGGTTCGTATGGTGCCTGAGCGCCACAAAGCGATGACCTTGGTAGATCTCTACCACGCTCATCATCACCTCAGCGCTGCCCCACTCCCTCGCAACTATTGCTACATGCACGAGGCTGGGACTGAGAAGTAGCGAGTGAGTATAAAGTAGAGATCCCGCCTGAGAAATGAGGACAAACCACTCTTTGCAATCTCAGCTCACTTGAGGCGTCGTTGAGCGAGCTGCAGCACCAAGAGTTCAGTGATGCTCGTGAATCCAGCGATATCCGTGCACCTCATGTCGGTCTTTCCAGACGCACACATTTGTACAAGAGCCTTATGCTGGAAGTTGCAGCAGACGTCTGTTGAAGCACTTGACCGAGGATTGTGTCGGGGCAAAAGCCCAGTCAATATCATGGATCTGTCCGCGGTTCGGCAGCCCTCACCTTCTAATGGACGCAGGAACACGCTCGGTGGCGTAATCTGCGTTTCTGCAAGTTACGCTTCGTCCAATCACAAAGGCCTCCCCTCAACACACAGGAAGCTCCGATGCCGGTTGCTCTGCCACGGTAATGCCGCTGGTGATGTGGCGTGAACATCGTGAACTGAGATGCCGGCATAACAGTGACGACTCGTCGGTCGACCTGCGATTTGAGCCGGTGCTGATTCCTTTGCCTTCATGTTCACTACCTGTTGGGCTGCTGTCGTGTGGAAAAAACATTCTTCGCCCTTGAATTGGCAGAAACAGACACACAATCGCACACATACTATGCATATACACACGAATGACGAATTAACAACATAGACATGTTCTAGTTTATCTCACTAGGTTATACTATATTACAACAGAGTACAGTGCAGTACATTATCTGAACGTATAATATATACACACCCGTAACGTAATATGTTGCCTGATTTCACCATATGTAGGTATATATAAGTATATAAGTATAGACAATAGAGAAGAGGAGGAGAGAGGACCATGACAACTGCCTAAGCATGTCCTTACAAAGGCCTTCAGACGGGTAGCGAAGTCATCGCCCTGGCTCACAATGTTGCGGACCTTAGTTCGCGGTGGTACGTTGGGCCGATGCAGCATGCGGCAGATCCAAACTGATCGATCAATCCATGTCAGGAAGCCACATCGTATCAGCTTCGGCGAACTGTACTTGCATTCTTCGAAAACTGTCCAAATACCGAACGAGATGATCCGCAGAATGCGATTGAAGTGCCTGGGAAGCCTGATATGCTTCGGGAGAACTGCAGATGAAGAGTTTCTCGGCCTGCCTGTGCTTTTGACCGACCCTGCGCCGCACCAATGTTCGGTGAATGGCAGAAGTCTGGTGCAACCGCAGCTGGCCAGCAGAATGCTTTCCGACACTCCCAATACATGCGGGGAGAACGCTGACAAAGGCCTGAGCCCCGGCGTTGCGAAACAAGCCACACGAGGCCCGAGCCACCGTTTGTGGGACGAAGCGCGCAAACATCCCGATCCCACGTGCCAGGCGCCCGAACCTGATTCAAATATTCAAATCGTGTGAACTTCAAGCGCAATGCTGCAAGTCCTAGTTTCTGAGAATGTCGCGCGATTTCCAGCTCAGCCACGTCTTGGATGCAAGAGCGCCTGACCACGAACTCAATGCGACACAGGTGTTCTCACTGCATGGCAGGCTCTCCTACTTACTTACCAGCCAGTCTCTGGTGAGTGAGCATGGGTGAGCATGGTGTCCTGGCACCGCGGCTCACGGCGGTTTCAGGCCTCAGCGAGGTGCGGTGAGCTCCTACGCAGGTCTGCGTGAACTGCGAGGAGTCGGCTCGAAGTCCAGCTCGCTAAGCTTGTCCATGAGGTCGGTCAAATGTCTCAGACAAAACACACAGCAAAGACGATTCTCCCGGACAGCTCGACTGCCCCGATGCCGATCGCCCTGAAGCGGTACTGTAACAAAGTGGCACCAAAGCTATGAACCCTTTGTCGCGTCATCGCGTGAATAGGGAAGCACTAGAATGTTGAGCAGGTCAGCAGGGGTTGTTACCAGGCGCACGAGCTCACAAAGAGCCTGGCCTGAGGGGTCCAGCCACCATGCGGCCCACCAGCAGAGACGTCGCGATACTGAGGAGAGTCATCACCTAACGCAATTCGGTATGACGATGCAGAAAAAACGCGGGGATGAACCGGGCATCTTGCGAGCAGCACGTACAGGCCCCTCGCACGGCCCTGGATGCGACGCTAACTTGAACGCAGTGGGGATGTGGGACAAGCTTGGGTCTAATTACCTGATACGAGTAACATGCACTGACATGATGTTGACTGCTTCTCACCCTCTTCTACTACATGCTGCTGATACCATGGATGATCGCGCAGGCATGCGCCGTTCGAATGCTGTAGCACGCCTCTTCCAGGCTTTCAATGGTCGACTTCTCGAAAGAAGCCACCTGGGACAGAAAGTCGAGAGCTTCAACGTTGAATGAACAGACCTCTGTCTACCCGGAGCCTTCTGGTCAACCTCGTTCTCTACTTCGACCTGACTGCGCATAGCTCATGGCAGCAGGACCCTGTGTGCCTTTTCCGGGTCCTAGGTGTTCGGCAGCACTTCCGGTGAAGATGCCAGAGTGAAGAACGGCAACGACGAGCCACCTGCAATGCGTCAGCCATGTTGCCTTGAAGCCCTGCTTCCTCTCTGAAGCCCCTAAAGTCTACGAGTGCTTCCGTAGCATGCCGGGATAAGCCCGAGCCTTGTGCGAGAGTCCATCTTGATGGACGAAGTAGCCACCAGGTAACAATCAGATTGAAAGCCTCCATCGTCCAATGAGTCAGCTGACAATCTACAGAAACCCTCCCTCTTCCTACCGGTTGGCCTCTTCTCTGAAGAGGTGTGCAATGAAGGTCTGCTGCTCCGCTGGACACCGCTGCCCAGCTGAAATTCATCACTAACCTGAACATAGTTCAATGGCCAACGCCATAACTTCCCTTCCTTCCTGGAAAGTGCGAGCTGCGGTGGGCGGTGGGCCTCGGCTTTGTTTCCAGGAGCGATGCATTGCTCCAGGAGCCAAACCTTGGAAACTTGCAGGTCAGCGCAGATGCAACGGTTCTTGACATTTTGTAGCAGTCAAGCACGTGCACCCGCATCCCACGATTCTCTGCCACTTTGCAGCGCACCGGCGGAGTATGGCACGCGAGGCCATGTCTGCGAGGCCCTGTGCAGATCAATATTATTGAGACGGATGAAACGTCATGTGGCTGGACTTGCTGCCGCTCACCGAACAATAAGTGCAGGCTGTGGTCATGCAGCCCAGCCTCCTTGTTCTGCACGTCATCAGAAGGCACCTTCATACCAAGGGACTACAAGCAAAGTCGCACTCCGAGAAGGCAGCTTCCAGCGAATGGCTCGCGTCGCGCTTTAACTGGGCCGGTTCGAACGGTTCAAGACCAATCCAGCTTTGGGCTTCGTCTTGCACGGTGCTCACATCGCACACTGAACGGGCTGTACACAACAGCCGGCAAGTACGCAGCCGTAAATTGCTTGCAGGACTACCTGAGTAGCAACGAGATCACATCGAGTTGCGAAGCAAACTCTGTCACATGCATGTGGGCTAGCAAGGGAGTCAAAGGCCCAGCTGCACTTCAGCGTCAGCTTGCTCGGGCTGGGCTTCAGGATCACGCCTGCGCAAAGAAATGACAGCATTCCCGTTTCTCAAACCTCCATTGTGCCCAATGCTCCTACCAGCTATTCACACTTTGGGCTGTCCTGCAGGCACCACGTCCGTGCACGAGACAAGTATCATTGCAGAACTGGAGCCAACACCAAGACAGTGACAGCATGATCGCTGCAACCCTGCGCCTGTCACGATCCTCCAGCGTCGTCTGCAGATGAGACAAGAAGCATGACAAGAACTGCCAGCAATTGAATGGTCTGATTTTTCTGTGGCATGAACTGACTCCGACTGACACAACTACTGTGATCAATGCAAACCGGCTGGAACACGGAGTCTGCCCTCTGAGACCATGTGCAAGTACGACATAGTACGACTGGCCTCTGTGCTCTGCATCGACTCACGGCTGGAAGTGTCTTCTCGGCGCTGAGATAGGAACTGCAGTCACGGAAAAGCTGACCACCATGACACCATGGCTACTCTGGTGATGACGGGCATGGTCCAAGACTGATTGTAGCCCTCCTGGAAAGAATCACGTAGAGCCCCACGCTATCAGCCCATCCCGCGGGTCGGAAGCTGCTTGGGCACTCATGACATAATGAGGGCACAGCGTATGAAAATAACAGCGCATCGGCAGGTACCTGTCCTGAGTTTTCCACTGCACACCAGCCCTCAACTGCCCGGGAAGCGCCTGTGAACATTCATTATGCAGATGCATGCAGACACGTGTCTCAAGGCTTGTCTGAGCGAGCGCAGCATGCTCGAAACTTCTTGACGGTTGGGCCTGCCCGGATGTGATTGATTGGATGTCAAGTCAACCATGCTCTATCACGCCCTGCACTTTGCACATCGTGCTTCTGCATGAGATGCTCAGGGAGTCTTCAACTGGTCGGTGTCGAATGGTCCTAGTGCTGTATATACAACCCTCTGTCAAGTTTACGTATTCTGCTGGAGACACAACACCATGCACATCGAGATGAGCGACGATGAGTGAACACGGTTTGAGCCCTTACCCGAACAAAGATGAGAATTTCTCAGACCCATGCCGCCTGGCTCTGGTGAAGATCTCCACTTCTGAATCGTGCAACTGGCTCTCACGCATCTTCCTCGGCTTCGGCTCACTACTATTCCCACCGATGCCCAGCCAGTAAGGCAACAACGGCTTGACATTCATGTCAGGAGGGCTTCTCTTGCCAACAGGAGTCGTGAGCACGAGCCCGAAGAAAGCCAGATCAGACCTCCAGCACACAAAGAAATAAGCGCCTCTGAGGACGCCTGACAACTCTCCACAACTGACTCTCCGAACATCTTCCGATTTCCGACTCTGAGTCGTCCAGTCGACGCGTCTCGACGCTTGAAGAGCCGAGGAGCGCTGGAACGTCGGAAGGTCCTGGCTCCGCCGCCGCCGGGTGGTTTGGTTTGGGGTCCGGGCCCCCATGGCAGTGCTCCTCCAACAGAGTTGCCGGAAGGAGCAGGGCTGAGCGGGAGCGTTCCCCTCTCCTCAGAGGCTTCCGGGTAGAAGGCCCAGCCCAGGTGGCGGTTGCAATGGCAGCCTTGCTCGCAAGTTTCAGTGGTCCTCGTCGCCTCCAGGGAGTAAGGCTGCGGCAGTGGGCCATTGCCCACGCAAAGCCCGGAAACCAGGAAAACTCTGCAGTCGGCTTCCCCTCCTTTGTTTTCAACTGCTGCGATTTTGCTCCAGAAACATGCCCGAAAAGCTGCAAGGCTCTCAGAATGTGGCGACGGCGAGACTTCGGTTCAAGCCCGTCGGGAGCACTCGGACCTGGATGCGCAGAGAGGGCGAAAGCAATCGAAGTAGCCCTGCCGACCCGGGCTGTGCTGCCGGCTACATCGAATCTGTGGTCGTGGGCATTAGTTGCAGAATAGCACCTGAACAACGTAGAGGTCCCAGTCACGGCGGCCATTACTCCCAGAACTTGAAGACTGCAGGTTCCAAGGCACCAAGTTGGCAGTTCCAAGACATCGAGCTCGTAGACCCACGTCACCTAATGATGGCTTGCCACAAAGCACCTTGTGAGTGATGCACGATCCATCGTGTTTGACTTGTTGAGCTAAGCATCATCTTTCCGGCATTCAAACCTGAGCCAAGCGCGGGCATCACAGAAGCCTTCACACAAATCCTGCAAATGCCCCCCCCCCCGTCAGCCGAGGAACTTCTCCTCAATCAGCTCATCAACACGGACAAGTGGGTAGGCGCAAGCAGCGCAGACAAGCCAGGAGCTCCGAGGCCCCTGACAGGGAAAGCACCCCTTCACTCGTTCCGCGTGAGGTGCAGGTGACCGTAGGCCGTAGACAGCAGCAGGCCATCCGTACGTTCTTGCTGCATCCTCAAATGCCGAACATGCAGATCAGGCCTTGTCCTCAGGCTCCATGCCTCTGTGGTGGCGCGGCGTCAAAGACTCATGGCTTCACAGCATCGACTTGCTTGAGACTGCTCTTGCTGCGTCTGAATCCTCAGGGCAACTCGCCGACTTCTGTTCGATTGCTGATACATACCTTGCATTTACCTGTGCATGACTGCGATAGGGCGCACGGCTGCAACATGAATCCATCTGGGCAAAAATAGCAGCACCAGCAGCGAATGTTCACTTGTGCGCTATATTCAGCGAGCTGGCACGGTCTAGACCACCCTTTCGATGCCTGTCCAAACTTTCGCTGTAATTAAGACCTGACCTGTGGTGACAAGGCCATCTTGCTTAGTTGCTTGACTGCTTGATCGACCAAGGGTGAAGTACTTACATAGCCTCACATAGATCATCTTGGACCACTCGCTACAGCTCTTGTCTTATGTGGTGTTTGTCAGGACAATCCACTAACCATGCTGCCAAATTCAATGTCTCACGCCCTCAGCTGCAGCTGAACCTTGCCTGTGCGATTTGCAGACCCTGTTGCTCAGGGAAGCTGTCAGACACCTGCAAAGTTTTCAGATGCCTGTTTTGCCGTGTCTTCCGTGTGCAGCCGTGCCTGGTTGATCAGCAAAATGCTGGAGGCGTTCCTGCATCGATACACCGTGCACCGTCGCTGAACCTCAAACCTGACACTCCAGCCCAGGCAAACTACGTTTGAATGTGCAGCTAGGAACAGTAGGAACCTGTCTCACGATGTATGCCACACATTACAGCTCGCACACAAACCAAGGAACAGCAGCAGCACTGCCAGTTCCAAGACAGCTTTGCCGAGTGCAGATAAAACCACCCGGGCATCAAAACTACATCACCAGCAGAAAAGTCAGCATGCTCTTCCGCTGGAAGTCTCGTGTGGCGAGGGCCCTCGGAAACTAGTATACCACTAGTATGTATCAAACTCAGGTAAACAGTTAAAATTGTTTATATATACATGTATATTGATTACCCGAGGGCTATGGTGGTCCTAATCCCATCGCTCACGCACTGCTCGTGCTGAAGCAGGGCAGTGAGCCGTTTCTCCCTTCTTCCCTTGCGGTGATCCCGGGTCCTCGTGGGCATTGTGAGTCCACTCTTGAAGAACAAGGCCTGGGCAGCGAGCTAGCAGCATGGCGCACTGCCGAGCAAAAGCGCAGAAGTCTCGAAGCATCAAATCAAAGCCACGTCCAACTCGTCTTCGATCGACTTCTTGATTTCTGCGGCCAGGCCTTTGCTCAGAAACATCAGAAGAGCATTGAGAACAAGCTGCTCGCGAGGCGTCTGCTCACTTCGGCTGCCACGACGCCTTCAAGGCAAGAGTACTTCTTGCAGTACCTGCACTGACAGCAGCTCAGACATGAAACTATGTCTGTTCCAGCCCCATCACATGGGAAGGCCAGTTTTCCAGCAATCAGAAGTTCGCCAAAGCTACGTCTGTCCGCCTACTCTGCGCAGCGTTAAGTGCCAACTTCTTGAAAGACCACCCGCAGCCACAGGGTATGCGAAGGTATGCGAGGAAAGCCATTACACTTCTCCAGAAGTTGAAGGGCATGAGATTGCTGAACAACTGTAATAGCTACAAGCTCTGCCTGGCGGCACGTAGTTTGGGCAGTGTGGTTTGGGAGGGTGCGGGCATTGCCGAAACCTCGGAACTGCAAAAGCTCTGCCTGATGCCTATTAATTTGGTGGCATGACACTTCAAGATGCAACTACATGTGGTCTTACAGGGTAGATGAGTAGATGTCCTAAGCTCACAACGCTGAAGCTCGTCCGAGAGGAGTTTGTGTGTCTTCTCATGACGATAACTTTTGTAGAGATTGCACGCACACGCCGTGGCTGCGTGCGGTGCACTATCTGTCACTAGCTGTAGAGCAGTGGAGCACGGAGCGCGGTGTGCGCTTTCCGAAGGAGCCGGTCGCTTGTCTTGCAGAATATGCACAGTTGGTTGAAAATTATGACAATGAAGTGTCATTGGCCGGTTCTTTCGTAGCATACGAATCGCTTTGCGATCGCAGCAGTCAGGAGCCGGAATTGAATTGTCGTGCTGCACTACCGGATCGATCTGTTTAGTACTTCAAGCGTCGCCTTGGACTTTCACTGCTGCCGACAGCCCGGCTGGCACTTCTGCTTCGCCACAGGTACCTTTACGTTGTGGCAGAACACAGACAAACAGACCGCGCAGGTGAACTCGACTTGGGCCTCTTTCCGAGCGGGCGTCGACGCGGGAGTCCTCGTGAGCTAGCATAGACAAGCCGTACACAGCCGGATTGCAGGTTGGCACGGGCTGCAGAGCGTTGCGGACGCTGTCCTCGACCCCTTTGAGGGGCTGGTCTTCGGAGGTGGTGCCTGCAAAAAATCCCAGTAGAATCTGCATCACCCTGCCGGCAACTTGCGCCTGCTCTGGAAAGACGAGGGTGCCCATCCTCTCATCTTTGGTTACGGCTCCCGGATCTGGTCGGAGCAGCTGCTGGAACTGCCACGGGCAGACCAGGATGGCTTCCTCACCTGCGATAGACACCGCCATATTGCGGGCTTCGATGCTGTCTGCCTTCGACTGCTTCTCATTCTGATATAGTTGTCTTTTGTGGATCTCCTGCCTTTGGCATCACCTCCTCTCCTGAAGTGAACCTGCACGGCTCCAGGGCACATGCTCGTCGAGATATGCTTCACCTGCGCCATTGGCAAGGCTATGCCGGTGAGGGCAAGTTCAATCCTGCTCGATCCGGCTCAGCCCATGCCTCGCCAGGATGCCACCCCCCATCGACGAACACCCGAACTCGGCAGCCGATGGCGTAGCCACCACGACCTGCGACAGCAGCGCTGGCACTAACCGAACACTGTCCAAACGGTCTGTCTCAGTATGTCAGGGCTGTGTAATGTTTGAGCCCATGTTGAGGGCAATGCGCCGTGATGTGCTATGTTTGACTTCCACGGGTGAGTTGTGTGCCTGAGTAAGCACTGTATAGCACAGTCAGTACATTCCTGCTGCAACAATCAGCTGCCTGCAATTTCGCGAGCGAGCTCTGAGCCCAGCATCTTCTGTGTAGGTGCGCCCTTTGGCAGCTTGGTCTTCTCCTCTCGGCAGGTACACGAAGATAGACAGCACTGGCTGCAAAAGGCAGCCAGTCTTGCCGAAAGTCACATGGGCACTGTCTCACCCGTACTGTCATCTGCACAAAAGTGAGCTCACGGGCATGAAACTCCACGCCTGCCACAAGACATGGGGGAGAGGCTGCGTATCTGCCAGGGTGAGTAGATCGTTGCCTCAGATGTCACGGGACGCTATACAGGCTGCACCGAAGCGATTGCTAATCCGGCTCGTTTCGTGTGGAGCATGGTGACCTGCAAAACTTTACAATGCCCTCGCCGGAAGTCGGACACCAGCAGAAGTTTGAAATGATTTTAAATTCTAAGACCAATGAAGAAAATGACGGTCTGGCAGTCTTCATGTTTCAACCAGGTTCGAGGTTACTGAGCTCCGTGGAAGTGTGGAGCCGTGGACACTCTGCTTCGTTGGCTCAAACCTGTGGCTCGAACCGGAGCAGTGTGCCGAACCATGAGTTGTTACCGCAGCAGCAGCAGGAGGACGGTCGGGGTGGGTTGGGTTTCGTTGAACATGAAGCTGCAATAAGCTGCTGCTGTGCGCCGCTTGAATGTGCCATACAGCAAGGGTCGTAAGCCCTCGGCAAACCTGATAGCAAGTGGGCCTAAGGCCCGGGGCTTGACCGATCATCGAGCCTCCCGACAGGCTTAAGGAATGAACTTAGGAATGTGTGCTTTTTGTGTGTATGTATCTTCCTATTCATCGATCGATTGATCTGTCGCTCTGTCTATCGATCTATCGGTCTACGCAGACAATAGATAGACATTGATGGACAGATAGATAGATAGATAGGTAGATAAATGCGTCGATGTGCCTGTATGCAGTTCTACTGTGGTTTTCAGCATTCCTGGCCTTGCAGCTCCTTTAAGGGAGCAGAGAACGTGGGAGGTGTCGCACCATTGGGCCAGCGCTTGCGCATTTTCTCGTGGGTCCCCGGCGTGGCCTGGCGCTTCGACGGTAGCTAAAGGAGCCTCACCTCGCAAAGTCGCTGAACAGTCTTCTCCCAGCCTTGGCGTACCAGCTGCAACAAAAGGATTTGTCCATGAGGTCCTTAGCTGGAGATCGACGGAGGGTGCCGCACAGAGCGGGAGAGAGAGAGAGAGAGAGATTGCGTGGTGCAAGGCTGTCTGCATCTGGCATCCGTGAGAATACAACCCAGGGAGTAGATATCCGCCGGGAAGTCGTAGGGCAGCCGTGGATCCTGCCAGCTTTCTACTCTCGGTTGCTGGCTGCTCGGCCCCCTTCGTTTGGTCCCCGTGTCCTGGATCTCTGGAGCCATGTATGTGGGGGTACCGGCGACTGTCATCGCCATTTCAGAGTTCCTCCGCGGCTTTGGACCCAGGGGCACAAAAATGTCCAGGTCTGTCTGCAAAACTGTGCACCATGCAGTACTGTACAGACTGCCAAGGTCCTCAAGGATCTCGAAAGACCGAAGTCTGCAACCTGCACGCAAAGAGTATTGGTCAGCGCAACCGAAGCAAACTTGCCACCACCACTGCCACTGTGTGGTGAAGACGGCGACGAGCTGCTTGAATTCTTTAAGCTGCATGCTTCTCTTACTCTCAACACTCAGAAATATGACAGAGCTTGCGCTGGGTGCTACTGTTGTACGTAACTAGTGTTTTAAATGTGATGCAACCTGTTGCATGCTGCCTTGGGGAACCGATCGCCTTGCCGCAGAAGGATGTTCTCCTGGGCGCGCAACTCGGGTGAATCGCTTGTCGCGGCACAGGTTCAATGTGGCACAACAACCGACGACGATGGGCGATGCATGATGTGCAATACCATGCAGCAGGCATGTTCGACAGAAACGTAGATACTTGCGTCGGGTAGTGAGGTGTGACGGAGGACAGGACGCGTTTCGGTCAAGAAGATTGGCTCAGAAGAGCTCGCGAACCTGGGAAAACAAGCACGTGACACTCGATACTCGGCTGCCGGATAGAATGCCGGTCTTCGAATCTGAGGCAACCTGTAAGATCCTTTCACCACCTTGGGTGTCCAACCACGACGCGACGGACGGGTTCCTCCAAAACGAGCCTTGGTGTCTCTGTCGAAAAGCTTAGACAAGGCGCAGGCTTCAGGTCACGATGCACGACTCCCATTTCGTGGGCATGCGCCAGGGCCTGTCAGCTCTCAGCTCGCATTTCATGCCCACAGCAGAAACCATAGACCAGGAGCTTCTGAGTGGGTTTGGTCCTGAGCCTCTGGCACAGGCAATGTGAAAGATCATGGGCCGGACCAGGCTCTCCTGAAGTCAGGGCAGTCAGCGCTGAAGTGCACCTATCAGCACCCATCCAGGCAACTACATAGGTTTTAGAATGTTGGAAGGTGCTGTCTTAACTCTGGATAATCTAGGCTCTGAACTCACTTGGTATCACAGATGGACACAGGGCCGCACTGGCAACGTCACCTCTCCATGTCTGGAGACGGCAAGCCATGCAAGCCGCAGGCGACTCCGAGCGATGTCAGTTCTCTGACAATGCCCATCACTGGCCACAGCTTCTACCTGCCCGGTGGCGGAGCTGCGCGACGAAAAACTCCACGACACGTGGATGCGCTGGTGCCGGGACCAGCGAGCATTATCAACTGCTCTACATGAAGCAGCACCGCCGGGGATGTTACCCCATAATCTACAGCGCGTTTTGAACCGCATCTTTGAAGGACATTGGTGAGTTCTTCCCACCAGCCAGGCGCTTGACGGCACCTAAATGGCTCACCAGGAAGTAGCTCCCAAAATTCCTGAGCTGCAGCTGGAGAGCACAACATGACCGTGAAACCATACACCGTGCAAGCTCAGGGTTACACAAGGTGCAAGCAGGATTCCACTTGATGTCTGCTGCCTCTGAGGACTCCTTCAAGAACTTGTACACGGGATGAGTCCCAGGCCCATTTACATCCACCTTTTCCATGAGGCGAAAGCCTGATGGATGTCTTTGTGCGGACACCTCTGGCTCAGATTATTAAGCCGAGCCTGCGTCGGAATCATCAATGGGAGCGCCTTGTGCTTTGACGAAGGCCTTGATCTCCGATGCGCTGCCTCGCCACACAAGAACATGCTTACATCTGCTTGCGGTGTGTGCGTCGGGAAATCAGCGCAGCGAACCGGTCGTACGTATGCATGCCTGCAGGACTAGCTATCTTTTCACCATCTTTCTATCCACCTATCCATCTGACTGAACATCTTTCCATCTCTCCATCTTTCTTTCATAGGGACGCACGTCCTTCGTTGGCTGTCTATGCGGCTTCGGCCAGGCCATGCTCGGCTTGTAGGCTGCGGGCAGGACTACAGCAGCAGTTATCAAGTGCACCACACATTGCGCCCGAACTCTCAGGCGTGATGCATCTCTCCATTCCTCTGTTTGTCTAGAGTCTAGCCGTCTACCTGTCTATCTTTCTATCTTTAAGATAAGGGGGCATGGGACACACAAAGAGCACATATACTTAACCTAAAAGGTGAAAGTAAGGTAGAAAGAAGGGTAAAACTGAGGTGAGCAGCAGGCAGAGGCAAAACTATGGCAAGTTGGAAACGCAAATCAGGTGAACCTAAGGGCATTCGTAAAGGCAAAAACACTGTAACAGGTTCTCGAGTAATTCCTGTCGGTCTGCATATGAGTGTTTCGTTTTGAAGGCTCAAAAAATGCGCGAAACTGTGGTGGCAGCACATGCTTGCGCGTTGACGAAAGACTTTGCGCGGCTGACGATCTCACAATTATTCGCTTGGACGGCCAGTGGAGTACGAGCGACTAAATCCATCACCATCATCATCGTTGGTATCGGACTGCAACATCACGAAAGTACTGTAAATACCAACTAAAACGGATGTGCTCTTAAAAGTACGTCACCAGACCCCCCCACACCCCACCCCTCCTCACCCCGGCCGCATGCTAAAACATGCTAAAACTGCACAATAACAGGAGTCACTGGAGAACCTGATACCAAAAACAAACAAGGTCAGCAGAAAGCAGGACCAATGTAAGGTAAACTGAAGTACACAGGCAGGGTAGAGTCGAGCCGCAAAAACTCAGGCATCCCCCCAAAGAAACAATAAGGTGAACAGAAGGTAGATATTGGACATGTTTGAGGGCTTGGCATGGAACAAAGTGAGTCGACCACTATTTCAATGCACTGTGACGTTCGAAATGACATGCTGCTGCAGCACACCCTGCTCAGGGGTTCGTCCAGATAGACTCGATCTGTCAATCTGCCAATCTGATTCTCTCTCTATCTATGTATCTACCCAGACGTTCTATCGAGTGTCTATCTTCTACGTCTCTATCTGTCTATATACCTATCTGTCTACCTACCCGCACAAATCCCTAGCCACCTATCTATCTATCTATCTGCCTATCTGCCTACCAAACTATCCATCTTTCTATCTGTCCATCTATCTCTCCCTCTCTCTATCTTTCTACCTCTGGATGCATGCATGCATGCATGCATCCTTACATACAACCCATACAACAAACACACATACGTACATACATGCAGATGTGCATGCAACAGAGACTCGTACATCCAAACACACACACACATACATACATTCATACATACGTGCACATACATGCATACTACATACATGCATATGGACATACATACATGCATACACACATACAACAAGTACGTATATACATATGTATATACAGCTGTATACATGTTATACACAACATCATGCGGACATACATACATACGTACATACACACCCACACGCAGATATGCCGATGTCTTGTGCGTGCCTACATACATGAATCCAACCGTGCACGGGCTCGTACACGACATTATAGTTTACTACGCGATATTACGTTTCGTTACGTTACAACAACAACCTATGGTACAGAACGTCAAATATTGCTACATCGCATTATCATTACGGGACACATGAACTTTGCTACATCAAATTGGAGTCCATGAGAATTCAAATTTACATTTGTTGCGCACACAAGCAAACGTATACAACTGCGTCGTCATGCTGTCGTTGTGCCGAACAAGATGGCTTTACAAACTGAAAACTACCACTGGGAGCTTCCATTTCAATGGGGCGATTGCAGATTATTGTCAGCTGCTGACACTCCCGAAAGACCCTTTGCCTGGCTCCTGCTGACCAAACTGGTTGCAGGGGAAGGCGAGAACGACTAGGCGGCCAGAAAAATGTTTGTTCAGCTCCTCAGATCGTTCGCGGCACGATGCGATAGCCCAGCAAGGAGTTCTCGTTCTGTTGAGCTCTGTTGGAGAATCTGGTTTGCATCATTATGAAGAATCAAGTAAGCTGTGGCAACTGACGACGAATTTACTGACTTTCCCATAGTATTGCAGAAATCGTAGACTGGTCGTAGATGCAGTTCAAAGTGACAACACGCTGCACTTGGATAGGACAGACACAACCGCAACATTCTAGAGCGCAGAGGGTCTCAATTTTGAACTAGTCGTCGCGGCGCTCCGAGCATTGAGTATGAGGCAAGGAAGCGGCAGGCTGAATCTGAAGGCCAACCTCAAATTGCATAACATGAAGTCAAGTGGCAATCATCTCAGCGTAGTGTTTCTTGGTAAACCCTCATCGTGAGGCCACGTTGGCAACCAGCACGGCCCGACCCTGCATGCCGGCGAACTGGACAGGATTCCTCAGCTTCTCAACACATGAGAAGATTTGTGGCAAGTGAGGGTGCAGCTGAAATGCCCATCGATGTCGTTGGCAACGAGGCTGTAGAAGCCCTCAGTGGCGCTGCACTCGGTACCTGACGGGAATGGCTCGTATGTGACAAGTCATCGCATGCAAGAGTTTCGCGCTAAGTCTCGCACTGCAAAGACATCGCGAGATCTGTCCGAGTCTTTGCATCCATCTTCCGCTGGAGGCAGCCATTAGCTGCGGTTTGTTATCGCCAAGGAAAAACGATTGCCCTCGAGCCCAGCTGCAGAGCATCTACCGCTTGATTGTGCACTCACAACGACGATTATGACTACTGGTGGTTGTGGTGGTGCTGGTGGTGATGTTGGCCGTGGTGTTGCTGCTGCTGGGCTGCTGGCACTGGTGCTGGTGGTAGCAGTGGCAATGGTGCCTGCTAGATGGTGCTACGAGTACCGCTCGTGCAAGAGGGTGATGCTGGAGGAGCCACGCGCTTGAAAAGAGGTTACGAGAAATGCCCCGCAGTCTGCTGCCGGAGACGAGTGCCGGAACCTCTTCATTGCGACATATCGAGGAGCTAGCTGAACAGTCTGAACCTATACGACATCGGAACCACGGCTCGGATGTTTGATGTGTCCTCGTAGTGCTGCGGCTCACCAGTCAGAGAGGAGAGCAAGTCGCCCCCGGTGACAAGTTCCATGGCCTCGCGGCTCAATTCCAAAGCCATGAGCACGAATGAGCACGAGCTAAGCATGCTGCGTTCAAAGCTGTCCAAGCTCGAAGCGCCGGAGTATCACTCGCTGCAGTTGGGGCCGCGGCGATGACCATGGAGTCGCTGCTTCTGTCGACGAAGGCTTCCATGAAGCGGACCTAAACTCTCAAATGCGAGGTTTAAATGTCATCGCCACTTGGAGCTGTTCTCGTTGCAAGGATAATGATTTTGAGGTACGGCGGGATTCCTGCTCTCCGTTTCTGTGGATGTCCTATACAAACAGAGGACATCGAGGGACGAGTCCCTATAGTTATAGTCACCTAGCACCTTCGTGCTTGCAGCGCACGTAATGCTGCAGGACCCACTGATAGGTTGTGGAGTTGTGGATTGTTGCCGGCCCAGGCTTGTTGCGAAGCCCGGATCAAGCAAGACGCCTAGCTGCTATTGCACATATGCTGAGCTGACTTGTCCAGGTGCAGCTGCAAAGACCGCAAGATCTCCAGCATTCATCCGTGCTGGACGTTGCCAACTCAATCTGCACCAACTTGCGAATCCCCGCCCCATCAAAAGGTCGTACTATGCTCGCGGCTATGCTTGGGTGATCCAAGAGCTTGAGGATGTTGATCTCCTGCAACAGTATGGTACCACTCAATGCGGTCAAATAAGGTTTAAGCTGGTTCATCACCCGCCTCCCCCCACACGAAATCTGGGTGCTCACATCGCTGCGACCCGAAACTCTCAGGCCTGCTCCAGCATCGGTTCGGCCGACGAAGCATTCTCGGAGACCTCTGAGGGCTGCCCAGCACTCCTCCTACTGTCCTACCGTCCTACTCTACCCTGCTGTGGGTATCAGAGCTCTCTTGATCGAAGAGCTCCGAAGGCTGCTCCGCCTTCAGGGCCACTTCGGCGTTGTCACGTCGTCGGGAGCCGCGATAGACAACGCCAAAGGCACCTCACGGGCAGCCCGCAGCCCGCCAGAAATTCGGGGTCGTTTCTACTTCCACCTTTGCCAAGCGCTCCAGCAGGAAGGCTGGCTTTTGGCGGTGGCACCTGAGAGAGGGAGGGGAGAGAGAGACGTAGAGAGACCACAAATCGAGCAGTGACCTTCCGATAAGCGAACGGACTGGTCGTGTCCGGCTGCACCTCCCGAGCGATGGCATATCCATGACCGAAGAGAAACTTGTCCTCAGAGTGACGGTGGGTGAACTTCGTGCACAGATTCCCATGGAAGAGCTTGTCTGCCACTTAGCAGTCTGAACAGCTTGCTGAGGCCTGGTCCAAGCGCTCGTCTGCAGGCTTTGCTCCCAAAGGGAGCTTGAGTGCCTCACATCTTCAGCCCTCTGACATTTTGGGAGGGTCTTGAGAGTGCATACCATGATGTGCATACCAAGTCCTCCTTGGAGTTGGAGACGCGCGTCTGCAAGTTCACATCCTGTTGAGAGGTCACGTGGGGTTGTCAAGTTGCAAGGCTCAGAATTGCAGGGCTGCGAAGCCTCAGGAGCACCTGGTGCTGCCCCATACACTGTCTGGTAGTTGGCATTGTTCACGGAATCCTACAGGCCAACATGGAGCTTGACACGAAACAGCGCCGTGTGCACAACCTGCAAGTTCGTCTGAATGTACCATCTCCCCCTACCGCCATCTACCCCGCCTCTGACATTGGCTTTTGCTCCGAGACAGGCATCGATGCCGGAATAGAGGGCGGCACAGACGCGGGCATCGAGGGCGGTGGTAACGACACGGAAGATGGCACTGACGGAACCGTCGCTACATCAGGCTCTTCTGCATCTTCCGCTGGCGCCGGTGCCATGCCTTCAGGGTAAGGCCATGATCGATGCGTATCGATACGTTCCGCTGCAATAAGTCTATACTACACCCTTGCAAGCCGAGCGCCTTCACTCTCCGCCTTGGCGTCCTGACCCTGATCGCCCTGGCCCTCCTGGCCCTCCTGGCCCTCCTCCTCCGAGCTCGACTCGTAGCTGCTCTCGGACTGAGCGCTTTCCGCAGGTTGCTGATGACTCTGGGTCTGTACAATGCTGTGGGCTGGTGGAGGCATCGCACCGGCTGCAGGGAGCGGATAGGCTGGGCTGTAGCTAACCGAAGGGGGAAGTTGCATTGCGGCCTGTCCGGTGGGTACCATGCCCATTGCTACGTGGGGTTGAGCACCACCTGGAAAGCCAGCGACTTGGAACCCACCAAGTGGCTGCGCTGGCATCGCACCGGGTGTGCTTGTATAGAAAGTGAACTGCGGTTGTTGGGGGGTTCCCTGGGCAAAGCTTTGCACCGCAGGCTGACCGGTTGTGAACCCTCCTGCAGCCTGGGCAGCGGTGGGATGAAATGCTGGCTGCGCTTGTTGCGGGTGTGCATACTGCACCGTGGCAGCGTGGTGGTAAGTTGGATGCATGACCAATGACAATCACAGGCCAGCAGGCATCGCAAACGGAGATAGGCTATTGCAATCACACTTGGCAGGTCGTTCAATGCGAATTCCTGCAACTGCTGGCTAAAGGCGAGCGCCAGGGAGGATTGTCTAAGGAAAGACTACATGACAGCTTTGTCTGCTCCGTGCTTCCTCTCTTGGTGAGACACTGACTCGTTTAGTTTAAAAGCCTTTGGCTGGAAGCCGATCGTGCCGAGACGGAACTAACATGTTTGCAGCAGCAACAAGATCAGCGCATTGACTTGCAGACTCTTCCAGCTCGGTAGGCCCAAGTCACTGGGCGCACGCAACGGGAGCAGTCCAGAACATGGATGAGCCGCCAGCTTCAAGCATGGAAACTCGCGACCTTGTAGCACTAAAGGCAACGTTCACTGCAGGCAGGTGTGGCTGCATGCGGCTGCGCCACCCCATAAAGTCTTCCATCGCGTCTGTAAATGATCCCGAGTACTTGCATGCAATGGTGGGTCCCACACCAACTTCTGGCGACTGGAGTGTCCTCAGGCGTGAAGAGCATTGCAGTATGGTGGCTGTGTAGCTTCGCAAAACACAGGAACTATGCCTTCAAGACGAACAAAGCGGCTGCTTGAACTCTACCTCCCCTACAAATTTCACCAGATCCGGCTTGAATCTTCAAAACGTGGACTCGCCTCGCTGTGCTCTTGGGCACGAAAGGCTTCTTCAAGATGGACGCTTCCCTTGACATCAAGTGCCGGGTGCAAGCATGAACAAAAACGACCGCAGATTTTCAGAACCGGGTTGGGGCGCTTGTCAACATCGTGACAGCTACTGTATGGCCTGGAGCTCGGTGGTACCTTCGCGTCGACCTTGGCTAGTGCATCCACACTCTGATGATGCGAGATGTCGGTTTACGTGGTTTCAACTTTGGATTTGGCCGAACTTGGGATGGTGAGGCGAACTTACCAAGTCGTGTTGTGGTTGGTGATGCTTGAAATCCAAGTTACTGCAGAAGACAGCCCCGAGCTTGGTGGTACCGGACCCCACTTGCAACGGACTCGTCTACCGGCAGTACATTCCTGGATGTACAGGATGGATCGCAAGAGGGTCCCGCTCAAGCGCGCCGGTGCGGTAAGCTCGAGTCCTCACTCCCCAAGCTATCCAGGAACAGTCAATAGCTGCACGCTCTCCACCGCTGCCCCAGGCTCTTCTCCGACACCAGGGCCCAACATGGTTAGGGTTCCAGGGACGGAAGGGGATTCACTGAGAGCAGCATACGAACCAATTGCCCAGAGGCTTGTGGACAGCGCAGCCCGAGTACGCATCACACAAGGGCGCCGACCCGTGGTCAAATCTGTCTTGCGGCTTGATAAAGGAGAGCCTGCCGACTGCTCTGCAAATGCATGAATAGTGTTTCAGATGCGAGATTTTGCAAGAACGCAGCTGCCACATGATGATGATCTTTGGTGAAGTTTTTGCTTAGCAACATCCTGAACCGAACCCTGTTTCGATTGTGCAAGCAGTCAAGAGCCTCCGGCAGGTGCGTCCCAAAGCAGACCGGTTGGACTTGGCAGCCTTGATGGGGGAAGTCATCAAGCCGTACTTAACTGCGAGATTAATGAATTGTGGCCGGCGAGGCTCACTGACTGCTCATACGAGGAAATTTGTACTTAGCTTTTACACGCAGCTGCACCAGACCCAAGGAAATCTGTCAAGGAGCACTGCCTGCCCGGCCCAGTGAGGCCGGGGCGAGGGGTCCGTCGGCGACTGTACTGAAAATCCCGCGAACCTATGGCATGTCACAAGAGGCATGTTGATGGATTCATCAAAGTGCCCCTGCTTAGTGTCGTAATAGCTATGACTTTACCTTCCAGTCTGCGGGTGAACTGCCAGCTGGGACAAGATGCAGGTCGTAAATAGCTAAACATGTCAGAAATGCGCCCCGCTGTCCGAAGCCACGTAGATGCCGCTCAAGGAGCATGGTTTCCCTGGCACTCTGTTTGAAAGGGAATCGCTGCAATTGCTTGCACTTTGCTGCGAGACTGCGAACCTCCGCCGCATTGAGAAGATATCTCAGCCCAAGCCCTGATGCCAACCTGGCACAGCACTGAGCACTGTAGGTGTAGCAAGATGCGTCATTGTAGCTGTCCGTGCCGACCCCGCATCCGGGGACATCCCACGGCATGTAAACAGCACAGCGGAATGAAGGCCTCGCGGCGCCACGCCGCGCCTTGCTATTCACAAGCACACGGACGCACACGACTGGTGTCCTGGTGTCCTAAGCGCTCGGAGCATCTTGACGAGGCGCTGTTGAGACTCGAGGAATTCTCATTGAACTTCCTGCGGGCGATCATGTGCCCCAGGACCTGGCAGACTCAAAACTCATCAGAACTTGTGCATGTCAGCCCATCAGCGGAAATCCTACAATCGAGCAAAGGGATGCAGACTCGACTGCTCTGTCTGCAGGAACTATGATGCTGTCCTGGACAGCGGATGTCACCGTTTGACATAGGCAGTTCGACTACGCTTGAGCACAAAGGCTCACTCCATAAGTTTGCATAATGCGTCCTTGATCTTCGTCGAAATCGAATCAAGAAGACTTGCTTGAGCCACCTTCGGGAATTAGACCGTGGCATGGCTGCCAGGGGCTGAGTTAAATCGATAAAGTTCGTGCCCAGCCTCCGACACATTGCCCACGACGATCCTTGGCTCCGTCGAGGTTCACTAGTCTTCACACTGCTGTGGGCCGCGTTAGCTGAGTTTGAACTCCGACTTGCAGCATGCGAGTCCATAAGCTGCGAAACTCTCACTGAGAGGCAAGCTCATCAATGAGATGTGTCTGGATCTGCCTCGCACCTTAGCGTTGGAGTAAGCTGTGTGGGATCAGAGCAGACAATGCCCACCGGCAGGTCTACCAAGTGTCGGTAGAACGTGACGAAGTGATTTTGAGTGCACTCTACGGAAGCAGCCGGTGTGAGGAGTGGGGCTCCTCTTACCTGCGGTGCTCGGTGCTTAGGTGCCGCACTGCTGCACGAAGTCATAGCATGGGAACGAATGGACCTGGACGTGGCTCTAAACCAACCTGCCCAAAAGGTGCTTCTCTCGGGCTCGGGCTGTGTAAAGTGCTCCAACCTTGGTCCGACAGCTCCGGGCTGCGGCACCACGCTGCGAAGACTCTGAGCCATGCACGGCAGGAACATTGCTGCGCAAGAGAGGAAGACCTTGATAGCACAGGGCGAATGATGAATGGCAATCTCTACGACGAGGACATCCGGATTTGCTCAAGGGTTCTGGCAGAGCAGCTGATGACCGCTGTCACAGCCCAGGTGAATGGGACTTGAATCCTGCGGTGCATCAATGCATCCATCAGCCGATTCAAGCCACTCGGCGCATCGCCCCGCAGCCTGGCTGGCTTCTCGGCTCTTCCTGAGCACGGTGCATCCAGCCGAAGCAGGGTCAACACATTCCCAGCAAATCAGTCGCGGCCGCTTGTCCAAGCTCCACGCGACCCTCCTGAACGGATGGAGCCAAGCGGTGGCGCCATGAAGGCTCAGCCGCCATAACTGCCAAGGCCTTGGGGCTTTTTTTGCTTTACATAGGAGAGTCTACTGTAGGCTACTGACAGAAGTCTTTTATCCAGATGAAACGACGTGCTCAGAGCGATGTTCAATTCAGACCGACACATTGGTGTTGGGCGACGCCGATGGAGGGTTCTCCACATCGGAAGTCCTGCCCAGCTGCACGTTGCTAGCACATCTCGTGTTCTGCCGAACCTACCCACGTCGTGGTCTCTGCAGCCGAATCGTCGCTTCTGAATTCTGAATGGCAGAAGTGACCACCACAGGGGGAAATGCTGTTCAAAGGCTTTCTCGAAATCGTGAACCTGCATTAGCAAAACCAATTGCAGAGTTGAACTCCCAGCGTATGTTTGTCGGCTCCTTGACGGGCTTTCGCACACCCTCACCTTCCTTTGTCAGCAACTTGAAGCTTCAATCCCTTTCGCTTGCAGTCGCTGCATAACTCCGGGACCCCAGCGCTTCTCGGCCGGCGTGACTGGGCCTTTCCTGCTGCATGTGCATACCAGCTACTAAACCGGGGCACTGACGCAAACTGTGCTGGGCATTTTTTGCGACCTGGCCTTAACGCAAGCCCTCAAGGGGAAATCACCAGCATCAGGGACGTAGGCATCTTGCAAGACCGGGATGGCACGATCGAAGCGATCGTATATCACCACATCCTGATCTGAAAAACAGCAGGCACTGGAGTCCAAAACAAACCTTGCGTCTCTACCGTCTGGCAAACTTCGCGTGATAGTTCCTCCGCGCTGTGCCCTTGGATGCTCTCTTGGAGGACACTCCGCCATGAGTCACTGAAGCTGATGCATGTCAGCACCTGCAAGATGCATGCTGGTCAGTTGCAGCACCCCAAACACCCTCGCACCGCTCTGCCGCTGCTTGTGCTGCCATCACCATCTCTACAGCAACTCACACACGGAAAAGGACTGTCATCTTCACTAGTAATCCATGCCTTCTAGCAGGCACGCCTGACAACCCCAACGTTACACCTGCCGATGGACGGATGGATGGATGAATTTCCATCGGATACCATGCTACAATCGCAACGGAGCCATTTACACGACTTCGACGGATGCAAGAACATCGCCGGCATCACGGCCGTGACTACCGTCACCGACTCCAAGGATTACCCTCCCCTACTTCTTCAACAAACACACATAGGAGAGAAGCACATCATTCTCTGCATCGCCATGATGACGACGACAAAGGCGGTTATTTTGATCACAACCACGCCGGTAAGTATCCCATAAGTATCAACTTCGTTGTCGGAACTGAATAGATGCGCTGATGCCAGTAGACCTAGAAGCAAAAGTCGCTCCAACAAGTGCTGCAGTGTTGAGCTGTTGGTGTGGACCGTAGCAAGCACGTGCCATGCCAGCAGTTCGATGCCTATCTTGACAGGCAGCGCATCAGTTGCTACGCAATGAGCACTTCATCTTCAATGGATCATCTCCACTGATACTATCCTCCCTGGACTGTCAAATGCCTGGAACTGACACGCATGCTAGGCCTGCTAGGCATTTTAGAACTTGCTTCGTTCAGTTTGGTGGCTGCATGAGATGCGGTCTTGCTCTCAGGTGTACGGGATGCCTGAGGTCCGTTGACTTGAATTCTCGTCTCTGCCTGGACCTCGGAAGTTGCGCCAGCTCGCTTCGACGCTTCGCTTCTCCAAGGCTTCCAAGGCATCGGCGAGGCTTTGCTCGTCAGTCGGACGCAACATGCAAGTTCATGTGCACCTGAAGCGAAGGGAGCGTCACTACTCATTACTCGGAGCTTCCGTTGTGCTAGGGGCTGTGCACAAGACTTTCAGTGTGCAACGCCAGCTTCTCGCGTTTGAGCCAGATCGAGCGCAGATGAAATTTGCAAGCTGCACTGAAGATCAGCAAACCTAGTCCAACTCCGCATGCCTGGAAAGGTCCGCAGACGGTTTCACGAAGTAGGTTTCTGTACGCCTAGAACTTGAGTTCCCGCTGCTTGACGACGCTGTCACACAGCATCAAAGAAGAACCATGATGAACCATGCTGAGTGTGACCTGGCAGCTCCTGGAACGTCTCCATAGCACGGACTCAAAACCAGACAGCGGACGGATCGTAACTTCAGCCTCACATGGCTCACCTACAGCTGTCTGTGAGACTAAGCATGCCTTCATCGAGTAGAATTCCTGCTGTGATGCACCTTCCTTTACAAATCACATGCTGGAACAGTGCTGCGAGCGGCAATGCTTTTTGCATGAGATGATCTGTACTACTTTCTGCGCTGCAAATTCAAAGCGGTCCAGCTCGTTTTGCAGGAGCTTCAGCGCAGCGCGCTTTGTCATAGCACTCGAGCCAGAAGGCCGGGTAGCAAGTTCAGGCTTTGTATGTCGGAGAGCACAGGGATCGAAGACCCGGTTCATGGGACCGCAAAAAACACTCAAACACGGAGCATGGCCTCTTCTTGCCCTTGACGAAGCATTCCAGCTGTAGGCTTCCATGGCTGAGGGCTCGGCCGCCATCGACTCGGGCTGCGTAAGGAGCTTGGTCTCCAGTTGTTTAAGCCGCAGGCGGTTGGCCTTGGCTACTTCTGGTGCAGCGGTGCAGAAGCTTGACACTTGCAAGTCCGTTGGGCAAGAGCAGACGTGGACGCCTTCCGCTGCAAGAGCATCGGATGCGTGTCGAAGTACTCGGCTAGGTTGAAATCCTGCAATCTAAGCTACAAGACTGGACACGGTCCGACGGTGCGCATCAGGCCAGCATGCCTTGAGCCTCTTCCCCACGCTCTGTGAGCTCGAGCTGCCTGAGAAGGTGAGTTACCGGACCTATAGGACAGCTTGCCCGGCGTGCAACTGAGCTACTGGAGGATCCGGGCTCGCCGAGGTCGTCCTCTAACATGAGAAGCGGTACCCAACACAAGGTGGCACGCTGACTCCCGCGCTTTAGCTCTCGCTGCATGCTTTGAGACTGCTACAACAAGTAAATGCAATCGCGGGGAAAGCATCGTGAGCCGAAGCGTTCTACGAACGGCGGTCTTCGCTCAGTTTCCTCGTCCACGAAGACCACGTGTTTGTTCGGCTTCTCAGCATCCAAGAAATGCAGCCTGGATTCTCAAGAACTCTGCAGCAGAATTCTGATTCCCACCGTGCACTTACAGTCACAGGAACAAGCTCTGCCAGCACCTTCCAACGCATGTAGAAAGAAGCAGCCCCCTTGTTCTCTTAGGCCAAGCACTGTTGCGTGCGTTTGTGAACCGCCTTCTTGTCAATCTGTTCTCGCATAGCGACGTACTGGGTATCCTCCGAGAGCTGCGAAGTGGCGAGGATCAGTACTGAATAGATATATACAAGCTGATGCAACCTCGGGTTTTGACCGTTTCTTGGTAGTGCATTGTGGATGGGAGGAGCCTGCGACTCGGCGAGCTGCTCTTCCTCCTGCGCTTCGGCACTTCTTCTGCTGCTTCTAGCATCTGACAGCTGACTTGGAGCGAAACCCAAACTTTTTGCCACACATTCTTTGCTCATGTTGGGTTTCTGCGGAAACCTGAGACAAGACGCGGACCTCGACCAGCACAGCGGGCAAAATCACGAAGGACTGGCAGCCGAGGCAGCGACCGAGGCTGCGGAGATCCTGCAAAACTCCGGCACCGAGACCTCAGGTCTACCGGGTCCTGCCGTCCTGCTCCGAGTGCAACGGCGATCTACATCCCTGGCAGATCTTGGCCCGCCACTCCGGATGTCACTCGCTGACTGTCCAGCACCCTGTGATTTCAAAGCCCACTCTCGCATCCAGGCGTCCTCATGTTGGCTCACAGCAACGCTCTTGACGACAGTAGACAAACACCAGGGTGCCACTTCTGAGTAAGATCGCAACCGGCTGTATGTCCACCATCTGAAGCTTCTGAAGTATGTCTGAGACCTCCCGTTGTCTTGGTCTTAAGTCTTGGCTGGGAGAGAAGCTTTGCGGCAACTGGAGATACAGCATGCTAGACTCCGCTGCATAGTCAGACTTATCATCTAACGGTTGTTGCAGTAATTCCACCGAGCCCGTGCACATGCAGAAACCCAAACTGTCCAACAAGTCAAATAATCTCGGCTCGAGATTAATCGTATGGTCAGAAGCTGCCTCGAACCAGCGTCGGGACAGAGCGCAGGCTGCCAGGGCCGCCCCGGCAGTCTGGACCTTTATCTCATGACATGCTGCTGACTCTCTGCGAATGCTTTAGTATGAACGGCAAGCCACCAGCTGAAGCAGCAGCAGTTCCACTCGGAATGTCCGCTGCGGCAAGACACAGATTAACAAAGACTACTTGAGGCTCTTTGAGGTACCGAGGGGTGTGGCACTTTGTGCGCTCTGCATCAAGGGACTGCTTCAATGTAATCCAATGAGGAGCAGGCGTCAAGTCCCAGAGAGCTCTCTGAGAGTGTCCCGAGTGCCAACAGCGATTGCTCCTAGCGTCGACATCTCTGCGCGACAGGATCACTGCAACAGAACGATGCTGAGAGCCCTACCCAGAAAGAAGCCTTCTGAAAGGCCGTCAGCAAAGCGCCGAAGCTCACCGAAGTTGGCCTCGGCTTCGGCTGCTCTGGCAAGCATCGACAGACGCCGGCGAGGGCGAGGACAGCGCCGCATCCCTTTGACACCCACTTGGCAGGCAAGATTCAACCTCAGCTCCGGGATCGACGCAACCTGAAGCTTGGTCCGACATCGGTGAGCGCCCAACGTGTACGACCAACTGTTGCCACCTTAATATCAGGAGTGGTGAGATCGACCGGTTCTGTCAGTTCGTCTGCAGAGCTCATCTCCGGTGTGACATGCTTTCTCACACATGTTATTAGCTGTGGCGGTTGGAAAGGGAAAGGACGACGAAAAGGAGACGGGCAGCTCGTGGCGACAGAAAGCAACGGCCACTTTGCGATGCTTGTCACGTCAAGCGAGGGTGATCCACTTGCCACAAATGTGACAAATAATGTCCTCTAAGTTCTGCAGCTTCGGGTTTCAGGAACTTCGCCTTGGGGAGGCTTTATTCCGGGCGCTTTCGGTTTGCAAAGGTTGTTGCCACAGCTTAAGGGCTGAGAAGGCTTCAACTGTAAACATCCGTTCGTCGCATGAACCACATATGGCCGATGGCAAGCCAACGTCCTATGCACTCAGCTGCAGACGGCATACAGCAAACTCAGCTCAACACCCTCTAAGCAGCGAGTGGAGATTCTTTCCAAACGCTGTGGCTCGGACCGGAACCCCGCGCGCATGCCGACATAGCAGCGCTGCTGGTTACGATGTTCGCCTTCTCAAAGCACGCGGTTACATGTTCACACCTGCGCGGTCTTGTGAGGTCCCAGAACTTTTCTCCGAGCACAGCAGCTGGCCAAAGTGCTTTCGGCACAAGGCTGTGGCTGGAAGCTGAATGCAACTTGCACGCATGCAAGTCAGGCCACATCTGCACAGGGACCGGAAGCTAAGCAGTTGGAGGGCTGCCGGGTCATTCGCCCGAAGGCAGAAACTGATGCCACCCATCCACTCTTGACGTGTTGAGTTGTAGCTAGCATCGAAGATCAAGTTTCGTCTTTTATGCTTCAACCGTGTTAACCAGCTAGATACAGGAACACAGATTGGCTGGCAGGTGTCAAGGTCACACGGGCATACTGCCTTTGAGCAGTTGTCAGGGGCCTTGCTGCACACTACTGCCACTCTCGTTGGGGAGGTCGCGACGGGAGCTCGCTGGGCGGTTGGGCGCATGCAGTTGCTCAGGACGTCAGTAGATGTCTTGTGAGTCTTGCCCAAGATTGATTTATCAATCGAAGCATGCCTCAGATGTGTCAGGAGTGGCAAACATCACGTCAGCAGTGAGATTTAGTAATCTAGTGCAGCTGCACTCCGTGATGTCAAGTCCAGACTTGAGGGATGTGCAGCGAAGGAACTGTGATAAAATGCAAAACCCCTGCAGAATCTCCTGTGAATCCGAGGCTCCTCAGGAATCCACACGCCGATAGAATAGGACGTATGCGGCCTCCATGCGCTAAGCTCTTCATACGAAACACATACATCGTACTCCATCGAGCACCGGGAGAGAGACTTTGTTGACGCAGACACGCTCGCATATCATACACATCCCCGTGCGTGTGCTGCAAAGTGTAGCCCGACGACGACAGACTCATGCAGGAGCGCTAGGTGCCTCCTTGTCAAGATCAGTCTCGCTTGCCTTCACAGGATATGTAGCCCAACAGCAGGTCTACAGTGACTGAGCCGTCAGGCTTTGCTTCGTATACCCTAGGCCCTAGACACAATGCCAGCAACTTCTGCAACCCACAAAAGCCTTGTCCACCACAGAGTCGTTGAAGTTGTACCACTCTCCTGGGTCGAGCCTATCAGGAGCAGGTGATGTCACAACCTCAGTTGTTTAGACACCCAGATTAACCAGGTCCCTTCGCTATCCTCCAAAGATGAGCTTCTCTATAATTTGGCAGGCGACGGCATGTGCTGTGTAGTGTCCACCGCCAACGTTGCCGTGGTGGTTCACGACCCCGTACAACTGGAATCTGGTGCTGGTCGGACTGGAAGAACACATGAAGTCCTGAAACATCTGCATGTGTGCCAGTAGGTCTGCGTCTTCGATGCATGACTGCACATGAGACCGGCCTTCAAATCCAGCTCCATCTCGAAATCAACGGCACAGCGAAGCTTGACTAAAGGACCATCAAGCCTAGCAGACAGGTTAAACTAGCGGCTGGGTTCGAGGGCTTTGAATTGCGCTTCAAGATGGGGCCGTACGTAGTAGACTTATGCAGAATCATTGCAGCTACAATGAGAGATTAGAAATGCGCGCCTTTCCCGGCCAAAGCGTTTTAGATGGACAATCAGCAGAGGGGGCAGAGACCACAAATCCAGTTTCTTGCTCTGGCGACGGAACTCCTTGCACTTCCGGCAATACACGCTGTCCTCGGTTCAGCAGCCCAAAACATCGAAGGCAAAGAGGTGTCGCTTATATAGCTTCCTTTACAAGGATGCCCAGTAGCAGGCAAACGTACTTAATCGTTCTTGCAAGCAGAGCAAATTCGTGTTTTTTGGGAAGGCTGGTGCTGCCCGTGGCACTGCTTCGGCAAGAATTTCTCGCTCCGTCCCCTTCTTCAGACAGGAAATGAGTGTGGTGCCAGCAGCTCCCTTGGAGCCTTTGCCATTCAATGGTGGCTTCGGCAGTGCCTCCTTCAGCATGTCAGCTTGCTTCCTGCGGGGCATGGAGGCAATGTGCACTTGTTACTTAATGCACTCGGCTTGCCCTTCCATTCGCTTCTACGAGATCTTCTTCACTGAAGCTCTGAGCCAAGCTTCGCTTGCACGAAGTCAATTCCCAAAGTTTGAGGTGGTCGTGGCCCAGACCGGAAAGGCGTATCTCTGTTGGGCAGCAGCTCTCCTTCGCACACTGCAGCGGCAGCAACTTCTTAAAGCCTGCTGTTCAAAAACAATTTCATGCCGTCAAGACTCCGCCCTTCATGCCACTCGGATCCAACTCTGCCGAAATCTCGAATGACCAAGGCGGAGGAATGTTGAAAGAGCTCAGCATGTGCTCGGCCATCTTCGTAAGTTGATCATAGACATCGGAGTTGGACGCGTTGCGTGTGACGGCGATTAGCCGGGGCGTATCAAATTTGTCATATTGCCATGCAGAACCCGCAGCCATTGTCGCCTTGCCTCTTTTCCGCACCACCACATCAACGAAATGGTGATCCGCCAGGCTGACATCGGGGCTGAGCGGTACCTCCGGCTGAGACAACCTACCGATGCTGCCACGAACTGGTCTGGGCACCCAGGGCAATGGAAGCCGTGGCTACACAAGGGGCACCGCTACCTGGTTTCTAGGTTCGCAGAAAACTGCAGGTTTGCAGCCGTTCACGTTTCAATCCGCAGCCTGCTGTCCAAAAAAACACTCGGTCAACATGTTGACCACGCACCCGGGTTTGCTGCCAGGTTGGACCTTCAGTCTTTCAACCCTCCTCCACTGATAGTCTTTCATAGCGTCAGCATGCTCCAGCACTTGGAACGGCTGAAAAGACTCCGAAGGCCTTACGTGTGATACCAAGGCCTTTGAGTTTTGCATACGGGAATATGCGGTGCCGGTGCACAATCTCCGTGCACCAGCATTGACTCACCATGCGTGGATCCAATGTCCATAGTAGGGACTCTCCCCCTGTGGGATCTATCGACGCAAGACGTCGCATGGGCTGCTTTCAGTACCCATCAGCAAACACGAGTTCACCATCATGGTCGTCATCATCTTCTTCTTCAGTGGCAACAGCATCTCAATCATCATCAATCGGCATTTTCGGGGTGGGGGCACGGGGGTGATGGCATACATCGGGAGGACAAAAGTTTTGACCCGCTGGACTAGCAGAGTACCGAAAAGTGCGATTTATGTGGCCTGGCCACCGGAATATTTTGCAATTATACTACTTTAATGTTCCGGAGGAGTAGCCGGTTGGTCCTGTCTGCTAGGATTTGTCCCGTCTGCCAGGATTCTATGGGGAAATGGGGGCCTGCATTCGGCTAAAGAAGGAGTCGGTCAAACTTTCGTGCTACCGCAGTACGTGACACAGTGCAGGGATTTAGTGGCTTCGTCAGGACCCGGTTGGCTTCCACAGGATGACATTTTCAAGCAGAACTTTACGTTCGATGCACTGCACTGGGGCACATCCATGCCATCAATCAATCAATCAAAGTCAGTCAGCCAGCCAGTCAGTCAGCCAATCAAACTTGACCAATCAACCAGTCTTTACAATATTGAGAACTAATTATTAATCTAGTTTATGGTTATAGATCGATCGATAGACAGATACCTTGTATTTGTCTGTAATCATATCTCGCAGCTATTCATACATATGCATTTGGAATATGTATGTGTGCCTCTGAATATGAATGAATACGGGTGTGTACATATATTATATATATACACACAGGTATACTTAACCCCGAGAAACGCTCATGCAGGTCTCTGGGCTTCTAGCTCGCCAGTTCTGAAGACTTGGTATGCAGGTAGACTGTGTTATCGGCTTCGCACTGGTGCTATGCAGCACAATGACGGCCACTACAAGACGATCACGTTTCTTTCCTCTTACCTGCTTTTTCTGACCTGGGCTTTGGTCGACACTTAGCGCAGGAGAGCCGCCTCAAACGCATGGACGTTGTCGCCAGGTCGAATGGTACTCACCAGATTATGCGGCTCAAAGTGCTTGTAGATCCGTCCGTAGCAGACATCGGCAAAGCAGAAGCACGAAGGGATCGATGGAGTACGGCCGAGAGCTGTCCAAAGAGCACCTTCGAGCTCTTCCATAGTGGCCGTTTCAGCGACCTGTCGGCTCGCACAGCAGTCAAGCGACTCAGTGTCCAAGCTTACACATCGTTTGACAGCACCACTACATGTTTTGTCGCTCAATCTTGGACTACAAATCGTCATCAGCCACGAACCTCCAGATCAATGCCCGTCAACGGTGCCAGTGGATAGTCCGCAGGTACGACCCTCACGCTCACCGAGTGCGGGGGCTTTGGCACTGGCAAGGTCAGGTACATGATGGGGTCGAAGGTAACGCTCCTGAGAGGATAGAGGATGCAGGCAGATTCTGGACTTCGCACACGTCTCCCCTGAGAAATTCAGACGTACTCACACTGCCCCGCCGTTTCTGTAGCCGTTGTTGCTTGGCTGCGTGAGTGTGAATCGGTCTCGTCAGGTGTCAGTCTCGCTTGATGTCGTTGCAATTGCATGGTCCCTGGGATACTTGCTGCTGTGTTTTGGTCTTAGCATGGTTGGTAGTCTGATCGCAGAACGTGACATGGCATGAAACAGACGTGAAAGAACCATAAGAATCACAGCTGGAACACTACTGTACAGAAAAGCACGGAAAGAAACCAAACATGTATCCATATCTCATACATATATATATATATGTATATATATATATGTATAAGTATGTACATCTGGGGTATGTACATGTGTATATATGTATATAAATATGTATGATCGAGTCTATGTACACACACGTGCCTGTAACAACTGAAGCTGCAAGTAGTACGTGCATGTGAGGGCAAGGTGCACGTTGCGGCATACTGGACATTCCAGCTCCGAGCGAATCTGGAACTGAAAAAGATCCACAATTTCCGAGTCGCTGCGCCTGCACGGTTGCAGCCATGGAACTTGACAAGAGCATGCAAGCCACGATCGAGATTGCTTGCAACGGTCTCCAGCCTCTTATGTTGGTCCCACATTTCCCTGGCTCGTGCTTCTTCAGATTTTTGGCCATCGTCCTCATCATCGGCTGCTGGCGGAAATGGATAGGAAGCCCGGTTCACGTCTTCGTGCAACGCATCGAGGAGGAAACACAAAAGCTCTTGAGCATCGTGTTGCTGATAGCCTCCGCGCGGCAGCGTGAGCTGAACAAGTCAACTCAAAAAGAAACATCATGAAACATCTCGATAGAACAACGTCGAAACAACTAGAAAAAGGCTTTCCGGCACGTTCCCCTTGCCGCAAACCGACCAGGGCGGCAGACTGCGGAACAGTCTTGCCAACAGGGGTGTCCATGTTCCCCTTTGCGTACCACTAGCTGCCATACTGCATCGTGTTCATTAGATCGTATCGGGAACTTGCTGCGATGTTGGCCGAAGAGCCGCTGAACTCGGGTCTCTTCTGGCCGATGAGCTTCTTCAACGCCGCAGGAGCCACGCTCCGCTTCCTTCATCTGCTTCTTTTTATCCCTCGTCTCATGTTGTTCTTGTTGCTAATTGCTACTACTACAATATTTAATTATTACTACTGTTATGTCATCGTAGTGCTGGGGATGTCGACAATCTGCGTGCTGTGGCACACAGCAAGTGGGTCGGGGGCATCAATCATGTCCCCTTCAGGGCCAAGGCGAGGCCAGGCAAAGCGGGGTTCGTAATCTTCGCCTGTAAGTTATGACCTGAACGCACTTAAGACTAGCTCGAAACTAGTTGAATCAAGCAGTCGGATTCAGCAGGAGTTGAAGTTGGGTTTGCCTGTGGAGTAAGCCTAGATCTGCACAGGTGACTGCAGAGGTACAGCATGCTGAATCAAGTCACCATTAGTGCAGCTAGCACAGTAGCTCTGTGCAGCAGGGCATAGCCACTTCCCCCATCGTGCATCCACGCCGCTCGTTCGACCACATCAGCCGAAGAAGCTGCGAAAACTCCCTGGCGATTCGGCCTTCTGTAGACAGCGGCGAGGTGCTGATCTGGTTGACATAGGCCGGAGGATCACCTGCAGCATCGACTACTGCGAGCTTGATGCAACTTGATTCGCTCCATGACCCCGTGAAGGGCGGAAAAAGGTGAGGACAAGACGGTTTGGGTTTCCTGGGCCAAGTCTCCTGAAGTGCCCGCAAAGAAGGATCGCAGCTCCGTGGAGTTCGACAGGCACTGCCTCGGACTTCTTTACAAGTACCACCTCTCTGGAAGAGCTTCCGACATCTTCCGACGACTGCGAGTACTTCTGCGAACCGAGCGGCAGGGTGGAGTTCATGAAGCAGGTGTTTCCCAAGTTCTGCAAACCGCAGGCCCCGGGACGTGCGCAGACGCCCCCGGTGCTCACCGAGCGGGCCAACAAAGGACTCGGCTCACCCTCGTGCTCGGCCTGTTGGCCTGAAATGAAAAGCAGAAGGAGAGACTTGCGAAGCAAGGAGAATCAAGAGGAAGGAAGAGAGAGAGAGAGAGAGAGAAGGAGAGGGAAGGATGTCGGTGCAGATGACCCGCACATCACTGAGCCCCGCGCTTTTCGTCTCGAATTCGGCGAGACGTTCTGACTCCATCGGCATCCACTCGCGCTGTGACTTTGAGCTAGGAGAGTTGACCTTAGTTGTGACGATCGGCTGTACACTGCTGCTGGTGTAATCGCCATTGACGAATTTCGAACATCATCCTGCACAGTGTTTTGTGTAAGGTTTTGTGCATGCGATCAGCAGTGTCAACATCGGACTCTACCACCAAGTTGCCGCATGTGCTGATGCAAAACAGACTCGGCGGCTTGTCCCAGGTTGAATCGTCTATGAGGGCTTTCAACTCATTATCGCTCCAAATGCTGTGCAACACAGAGTCGCCTCTAGCCATTCATCGCAGTAACACCAGCAAACCACCAGTGCAACTCACGTGTCTACTAAGCTTCCGAACTCATATTTCTCAGAAATTCGTTCGGCGAGTCGCCGAGTTCGGCTGAGTCGTCTGCACAAGCACAGTCATCTCCTTGCAGGTAGTCAATCGCCAGCTTTGTTCGGCACAGAAGGTGCATGGCGCAAAGTTCTATAGCGGCAAACCCCGAATCCAGGAAATGCCAGAAACAGACGCGTCCAACAACCTGCAATCATATCGTGTTCTGGCATGCGTCCTCCCAGTTTACCTCCAGGACCTCTGCTGTTTGCCACTCCATACCGAACCGCACATCCAGCTTATCTCTTCGACGGAAGTCACGGAAACTTCGGGTGTCCTGCAGCACGCACATGAAATGCATGCGATGCTGTGAAAGATCCCTGAGCCACTCATCTCACAGTTCCGCGCTTCGTGGATACACTCGTAGAAACTACGATTAGACAACCTCATTCATCAATCTTGCTGAGGCGATGTATCATGTGTGGCCCAGTTACTACTTCTGTTGAGGCGATGCACCACGTGTGGCCCGTGTGCATGACGACATGATTCTGGTTTAGACATCCGGCAGGGGCTGGCACCTCACATGCCCGAGTCCTGAAATTGGGGCTCTGTCTGGCTTCGGTACTGCGCGAGGCGGTCAGAGTCTCGCTCAATCCATTCACGGCCTGCAAAGCATAAGGGGCTCTGACATGCTCTGACTTGCAAACGGACACGCAAGTCCCCATGGAGGGAGACAGAGAGAGCGAGGAAAGGGAGTGAACAACCAAACATGAACATGAACGGTGCGTATTAAGCCAGCGGCAGAACTAAACGAAAGGACCGCCTTGAGCAACTCTGTATCACTCGTACAAGTTGTGATTACCGCCAGGATCGGATCACACACGTGCACAACATACCACGCTCATGTTTCATGACCATACTGAATCGGGCCGTTGCTGAGTCGAACTTCTCTCAGCGTCTAAGGCTGAGTCTAAGGTGTAAAGATCCACGCGCAGCACGCTTAGCATATTCCAGCGTTTAGATGAGCAGCCACAGGCGGCGGTTCATTGTCGCTTCCACTACCCCGACATCGACACGCCTTGTGCTAGCAGCTGCTCTTCCGGGCTGCGCATTTCCACCTGGAAGCTTTGACTTTTTGGCCAGTGTCTCAGTGTCTCGACTCCTATGGGCCATGGGCGCACAGCTTCGTGTTTGTGCATGACAAGCCACGCCGACGCGCTCGAAGAGTCGCGAGAGCTCCTGTCACACATAACGGCAAGGCGGGCATGCCAAGTTACGGCGAACGAGGCCTTGAGACAGAGACATGAGCGGTGGTAATGAAGTGTGCCCTGTGCCGTGTCACAAATGCCACAAAGGCCCAGACATTCTTGACGAAGTAGCTTTGGTTGTCCTGCATGCGGACCTCGGTCCGGGCAGAGATTCCCCGGAAATCCTTTAATTGATGCTTGAAGTCTTGATCTTATCTGTGGTCCGGAGTCCGGCCTGGGATGCACACTGAAACTCAGGCGGGATCACAGACGAACGAAACTATTGCATTCCGGCAGGCTTGGTTTATACTGAGGTCGGGGATTGCACATATCGCTCAAGCATATTCCAGCACAGCCCAGTATCATTGCACATCAACACTTGCAGCAGAGCTGATCCCGTTTGACCTCTCTACAGCCTAATCCATCCGTAGCTTGCACCCGACAAGTCCGACAACTTGAACTGGAACTTGAGATTCAGAAGAGGTGAAGACTATGCAATCACGGCCAAACTTAGGCTTAGGTGTAGGATTTGGAGGGGGGCATACAGACATAGACCTCTGACATACATCGTCTTTTCAGAAGCTGCTGCAAGCTATAACTATGTGAAGTGGCTGTGGCAAGACGCTGAACATCATGTCATTACAGTGACAGATGGACACACTAGGCTGCCAGCAATGTATTGACGCCAGTACTCCTTGAGACCTGCCAGAGGCACACCTTAGAAGAAAAGGCCCTGAGAAATTTTGATGCATTCTGGTCCATTCTGCCGGGCTATTCACAGGGCGCCGTGGCAAATGCAGCCGAAGTGCCTTCTTCCGAGCCGAAGGGAGGCTTCAGCAGTTCTGCTACCCTGGTGGAGTCCTGGCAACAAGAAGTGCCGCGACGACAGAACAGCATCAGCTGCACTTGGCTGCGCAGCATGAGCCCTAGTCACGAGTCAGCAGCAGACTGATGCAGTCGGCTTTTCCTTGCGCTGAAGGCCGTTGTGGAACTATGCCACATTGTGCTGGCTCTCTTCTAGTCTGTTGTGTGAAAGGGAGCACCACGCAGTGGCCGTCTACTATCAACGAACACAAAAATCATCAACACGATCCAAAGAATATATGCACGATGCCCTGTACTGCCAGCTCGCGGCAACTGAATGGCACTCACACCCCAGACTTTGCTGATATTTGAAAGCTGCAGCAGCACGACACTCAACTCTTCCACTCTTCGCCCACGTAAGTTCGTCTCTGCACATAGTTACCGCTGAAGGCACTCTCATCCGTTGCAGCTTACCTTTGATGGTGACACTTGGGTACAGGTTGTGAATGATGGATTGCGCCAGCTGAGCGCTAGCAGCTGTAGCCGCACAGCTCACGCACACTTTGGAGGCTACGCTTTCCTCCATACTAGTTACTAGCAGCACGCCGCCAATGAACCACTTCGGTAAGATTCTAAGATTTCGACGAACAGAATCTTTAGACAACAGCTTGATTCGATGAGTTACAAACCAGGTGCAACCAAATGCGAAGTGGTGGCGAAGACAGGCTGCGCATCACGTATCAGAATGTTCCGCCAGTGCCACAGTCACCATGGGTGGTTACGGCCAGCGGTGTTGCTTCCGTCACTTCTGCGAATCCGAACTGCTTCCTCAGTTTGCGATACACCAGATAATATTGAAGCTGTCAAACTTCTTTGGAAGCTAAAGCAGCCTTCGTTTGAGGCGAGGCACCACACCCTTTGCTTGACAGGCCTTGGCACGTCGACATCCTCCTCCCGCGCAGGTTCGTCGGGGTGAGGGTAGATCAGCCTCGGGGATAGTGCAATGCTGCGGCATGCAACACGACCATGGGATGCAAAGCTTCAAAAAAATGACCAGCAAGTATCACAATTGTACCGATTCAGCGAGCTGCTTCAAGTACAGGCACAGAAGGGACGAGAGGCAGCAAACAACGTTGGGCGCTGCAATCATGGGGTCGGAGAGCAGCAAACCGCAAATGCACCAAACCACTGCACTTGCCAAGTTTGCCGTGACCAGTGGTCCTGGTATGGCCCTGCTGTCCTTTGAACGAATAACTGCCGGCAGGCAGAAAAGCATGGAGATTGCTCCAACGAAGCTGCAGAACGACGATACCAACCCAGTCATGAACAGAGCTCGCTCCACCGGAAGGGTGGTCAATGCACAGACTTGAAGTAGGATCAAAGCAACAACTGCAGCCAAGTACTTCTGCAGATTCTGGAGCATTTCTTGGTTGCGGCAGTTCCGGAAGTAGGTAATGATGTAGTACGTCCCCAGGATCGCACCCAAAAAGTTGGAATGGACGAGGATCAGAAATCCGCTGCGAGTCGTGATGAAATACGCAAAGAAGCCATAGTAGCACCACTGCCAACCACCGAAGGCGATCGATACATAGGGTGCCGCATCTGACTCACCTGTGCATCCTCGTAGTTCCCACCTCTGCACTTGAGGATAGGGGCTGATTTGCACCAGGATGTTTCCGGCCATGCACATTGCCTTCACCATGCTGGCGAAGGTGAGGCCTAAGGCAATGTATGTGTACACACACAGACAAACAGAAAGCTGCAATCAAAATTTCAAGCATTTGCACACTGCAGTTTCGTGTCCTGCCAGCAGAGACTCCAGAGCACTTAGCTCTTGCCATACTCGCCATGGATTCCAACTCTGCGCTGAGTAGGCCTCCTCCTTGACTGGCAAAGCCGGTGCTGCTGCTGCTGCTGCTGCTTCAACAGGTGCGGCAGCCGGAGCAGTTGCCACGGTCGCAGGAGGTGCCTCGATGTCTGCACCGACAGGGCTTCACGAGAGCTCAAGGCAAGCTAACTGAATCTTTGAGTAGTCGAGAGTATGTTTCGCTTCCAGGCCTTCACTGCAAGGGGGGCAACTGGCGCAGGAGCTGCGGAAGCTTTTGCTGTAACGGCCACCGTGGCTGGAGGCACCTCATGCACAACGGCATCAGTGACCAGTGACTGTTCGTGGGGAGGTCTGTTGGGTCTTGATCGGGCTTAGACTTAGACATGCAACTGGCATTGATACCCAACATAATCGCGGAGCAGGCACGACTGTGGCTTTCTCTTGAGGGGCTTGTCCCTGCGCGGAGCTTGCTGGCACGGTGAGGGTTGCAGCAGGAGCCACGGGAGACTCCTTCACCGCTTGCTGCGATGGCTGGAACTCGGGTGCTGGTGGCAACTCAACTGGAGTTTGCGCCAAACCTGCTGCTGTCCCTACTGTCGAAGGAGCCGGATCTTGTGCCACAACTTGTGTTGACTTCTTTTCCAAGAATTCCCCGGCGACCGCAGGCTGTGCAGAAGACACAGATACGAAGAGCAAGGCAAGCGTGATGCTGAGCAACCTCGCCATCACCATAAGTGATTGCTAAGCCTTGGCTGAGTACACTCGTCAGCAGAATCAGCACATCGCAGCTGTCGCAAGTCATGCCCAGAATATCCACAATTTCAGCCTGTGGCCTGGCTCTGACATCAAAACAGCCATACATGCAGCGGAGAAGCGGACAGTGCATGAATAAGCGTCAGCGAAGCCAACACTAGAGCCGGGCTCAAGTAGCAAAAGACTGAAAGCCGAAATGGTTTGTCGACGAATCAAGCTTCGGATCAAGCAGTACTGTATGCATACAACCGGCTGGCGGGTTGGCTAGAGTTTCTCCTCCGGAATGTACTCGTTGGTGGCACAGGACAACAAGCCACGGAGTCCTCCACCTGGACATGAAGTCAGGCACATGAGGCACAATGCAATCAGGTTGCACTTTGACCTGCGAACCACGACTAGACTCGGGATGACTCGGGCACGGGCGCTCAATCACACCGTTGGAGCCATAACGTGCAAACACCTTCTCGAAAGCCTGTTCGGCGTCCTGCGGCATAGTTTTGGGACCACGGCAATGCCATAGGCTGTTCTTGTGGTACCCGCACAATCTCGATGCGAGTGACGGAACAGCATCATAGCATGGAAGAGTCCGGCGTCAGCATGGACAGCTGGCGCACATTTTCTGGTTGCACAACCTTGACAAAGCAGCGTGATGCAGCTCATGATGGACCTCCGCCACGGCTCAAGACATCCGAGGGTTCTACAGGCCACGTGCTGGGCTCGTCCAAGAGTTGTGCCTCAAACCTGTTGCACATGACATGTTTGGAACTTTGATTTGCAGATGATGGTCTGATACTATTTGAACCGAGCTGCGTTTTGTCATCGTTCTCCGCTGTGATGTTTACCTGCAAACCGCACTTCTTGCAGACAGCTTGCATGTGTCATCCTCACCTATTCCGGTCTAGACGTGTAAATTGAAATTCTGCACTAACCGAGATGAAACACGAACCAGGGAAGATCGGCCTGGTGCCAATTTCCACGACCTTAGAGCTTTCAGCCGGGCCGGGAGCATCAAACAACAAAAACCTATCATAGTTACATTATTATTGTTCTTCGTATTAGTATTATTACTTTAATTACCCGCCACTGTTCTTTGGTCTTCGCATGTCTTCGCCGGGCGGCTGTCCAGCGATTCGTAGTTCTTCCCCACCTGCTTAGAAGGCCGCGACAGCTGTGAGGGCGGGCCTCCGGATCCCAGCCTCGATTGGCTCGGCCTTCTCGCCTTCGACGAGAAGCGAAGCTATGGAGAGGCTCTTCCCCTGGCAGAGACTTGTGCAATCACTTGGGGCGAAAGCCTCGAAAGGCAGTCTGCAGTTGCCTTTGGCTTCGGGCGGTTGTGGAACTGCACCAGGAGTCGCGTTTCCTAAATTGTGCCACCAGATGCATCGGATCAATGCTTGAAGCCCCAACATGTAACGGAAAACATGGCCCCTCAAAACTTGTTCAACAGTCTAGTGGCTTCCGCCTCTGCAACGGTAGCAGCATACCAATGCAAGACGTCCTTCCAGACATAATCTCTCTGGTAGCTGTCCCACCTCTTTCGACAAAATTCGCCAAGAAAGGGGTGCATCGGTGCATGTGATGGGGCAGGGAATGGGCAGCTGCTACAAGCCGCGCAATCTGCATTAAGCTGCATTCCAGTCAAGCCGCTTTTGCTCCTCCGTCGTTGTGCTAGCATCAATCTTGTCACCAACCTCCAATACCACGTTGGCATCTCTTGGATCCTGCAACACGGCCACGGAAGCACCAGCTGCGAAGCACTGCAGCACTATAAAATTCCAAGGGCAAGTCCTTGAAGTTTTGCCGCTTGTATTCCAGTCGTAACCTCTGAAAGAATGGCCACCTCGGAGTCGCGTCAATTTTGGCCAGAGCAGGCTTCATGGCCGTTCCGGTGGACACAAAGTCACAACACAGACCCTCATGCAAAATGCTGGTGATTGCTGGTGTGCGGCTGGTCGACTTTAGACACTGGGGTGCTGGCGTCTCACCACGGCTTCTTTCCAACAGAATGGATGCCCCATCCGCAACCTCTGTTGCCCACGTTTCCAACTGCTCCCAGCAACCAGGACTGGAGTTCAAGCCGCGGTCTGTCTGTGAGCTGGAAGCTGAACTGCTTCAAGCAACATCTTCCAGAGTAGATTCCATCTCCAACTGTTCCCAACCTGCCGGTAGAATGCGAGAGGCCCCTCAAACCGAAGCTAGAAGGGAACGAGACATGCATGTGTCATTGTGCTCAAGACATTTCAGGAGAGTCCCCCGCCCTCCAGAGAGTCCAGGGAGGTCTGATCCAACTCAAAGTTCGGTCGGTGCCACAAGCGCCTCGTCTTCCATCAGCGTTCGGGGTCAATGCTTCTACGCAACGCAGAATTCAACATAAACACAATAAGCTGTAAATGCGAGTGCGAATACAAAGCCAAGACAAACTGCAAGAACGTCATCACAGGTAATGAACCGTGTACCTTTGGTGGTACTGAGGGTGATAAGCGTGATACAGCCCTCCAAACATACCGCCAAAAATACCAAAGTCTCCAGAATACTGGTGATAGAAGGTGTAAGTGCAAACATCTGTCAAGCCTGTTAAGCTCCGCTCCTGGCTACGCTTTTGTGGTTCGGCCACCACCAGTCCCCACAAGCCCAAATCACTACGAAGATCCCAACGTAGTACATGCAACGTGCTGCAGAGGCAGTCGTGCATCTTGTGCTTCGTAGTTGCACTGCATGCACGCCATCCGGGTCCCGGAGGTCCAAATTCGTAACTGGGTGTGGCACACGCACTCGCTGTCGTTTGGCAAGAATCTGTGGACTTGTCGAACAGACGTGCACTGCTCACTGAGCTGTCCATGGCATCAGCTTTTCCTCAACTTCTGATGCTGGGCTTCTTGCGAAGATCTCGGATCACCTGTCATGTGCAGTGCAGAGCTTGAGACTCTCCCGGGTAGTTGTCACGTGACGCTACCCTAGCGTCCCGGCGGCCCCGGACCTGGTCCACTGTCTCATGCGTCGAAGGCATGATCTGCATCGGACGGTCTCGATCTGGGTTGCCATAATCATCGACCTGTTCGAGACGGGGCTCTGCTGAGGATCAAACCGACGATAACCGACGCATGAACTCCAGGTGCTGTGCTCCGTAACAGCGGAAGAAGCTCTTTCAGGAACTTGATGCGCACCCTGTAGTCTGGAACATCCGACGCCCAAACGTCCAATCTCACAACCACACACCCTGCAAGGAGGACATGCGAAGTTCAAACGGTGGTGCGTTTCGTGCTCTCCGGCTCCCCATGAGAGGACTGGACAGGGTTTCCTCATGCTGGGCCCTGAGAACATCAGAACCCCACGGTGTAGCATTGTCCACTTGATATGATGAGTGACATAACATTTCAAACAATGAATAGCGTGGGAGAGCGTGGATGCTTCGAAGCGCCTGGAAAACCGCGAGGCACAGCGGGTAAAGCTCAACACGCCTTGGATTTGCCGATGCTGCAGCGAATTGCGGGCTGCTCTAGACATGGGTTGCACGATCACTTGGCCCTACAAGAGTCTACAATAATGAATTGACTAGATGTGGACCTCAATTATCCTCAATTCAGAAAAAACCCACTGACGCCCACTGCGGCTTGTCTCGCCTATGCACTGGCGTTGATCAGCTGAGCGACAGCTGCGCGCGGTTCTCCCAGCTGCCGATGACACGGCGCCTGCCGCCGGGGGGGGGCGGGGGGGAGAACGGTGATAGTGATGGCATGACTTTCTCGAGAGTTGCAATCGAAGTGTTCCCTCATCGGGCTGATGCGGCAATTTGGCGTCCAGCTTCTGAATTTTCTTGCCGTTGGTCTGATCTCCCAGCTTGAAGAAGCACAGCCTTTCGAGACCTATATGACTCAGATGTCCTTCGCAATTGCTACGTGTAGCAACTTTCTCAGTTAGTGCTGCGACATAATCCAACCACAACCCCCGAACACAGACCTTGCCCTGCAAGAGCTGGAATGTGGCGCAAATGCTTTCAGAAAGTTTCAGGGCTCTGCGCCTCAGTGCGGGTCCACCGCCATACCAACCATGCAGCTTCTTCCATGCTTCCTGGACCGAGGACCGTGGGGTAAACTCTGCAAGCGGGGCAGATCAGGTTCTTATACAGGTTAAGAGTTAAGGGATATCTTTCTAAGGAAGCGCGTCTCACTTACGACTCCCTGGTTTTCTACCTGCCACAGATGTTCAAGCTGCAGACTCCTGCTTTGCGAAGCTCGGTTAGGGAGCCAAGAGCGGTTGGGAGAATTTTTCATGAAGGCCAAAAACTCGTCGGTAAGTCCCAACATGCAAACTCGCACGCCTCGTGCAGGAGTATGAAGTCCTGATTCCTTGGGCAGACAGCCACACACACATGTCTTTTCCAAGAAGTCAACGGAACTTGACTGCATGAGGGCGCAATCATGGATCTTGCTCCTTTAGCATCTGCATGTCAGCTGTCTGATCGCTTCGATTTGTCCAGGGCACTCCACTAAGCCACTTTGAAGCCGAGTGCAATCTGGCCTTGAAGGATGCGTGACCAGAGAGGCCCCGCAGTATCCCACAGTCGGGTTGATTTCCGGTAGTCTGCATCATGTTGCTTCAAAGCCCCCTGTCCGTGTCGCAGTCCCAGCCACATGCTCTAGACTATGCTGGTCTCTAATACACTATCAAACTTGCAGTTCTACAGCACAGCACAATGGTACTTGAGCACCGCCAGCACCGTTTAAGCTTAAAAGCCTAGTGTTCTGCAATAGCCGGCTCTGTTCAACAGAATGCAATGAATGCCAGCCTTGGCAGAAGATCGGAGTTATCTATCTCCGCAGGCCGCTCGCCTTTCAGCTTCAGGTGAAAGCGGCAGCTGGACGGCGCTGAAGTCGCTTTGCGGATTCGTGTGTTTTCCCCGCCTTTTGCGGTGCCACTCCATGATCGTGACCTGGGCAACAATTGAGCCTTGAGTTGATAAAGGACGCCCTTCTTCCGGCCCTTCTTCTGGGCTTGGCCTCAGGAGTTGAGCTGAGCTGCAGAGCAGGCTGCGCTGGCACAGCGGGCTTATCCTCAGCTTGGTGTCTGGTGTCTGCCTTCATGCGGGGAGATCTGTGGCGACTCTCCCAACTAGCTCGACCGAGAACTACGATTGTTGCAGCAACGAGACGTAAAGTGTATAGTCTCTCCACAGGTCCCACCATCGCATGCTCAGCACGTACCAATGATCTCCTTGACAGTCTAAGCGGCAACAACTGGTTTCAACTCGTGCCTGATGAGTATCACTTGATAAACGACAGGTGCCCCTCCTGGCCGCAAGCTGGCACCAACACCATGCAGCACATCGTGCACTTCTTGCGCCTGGCAGGCGGCCAGAATTAGGAGTTCTATCAACCTAAACTTGGATAACGGCAGCTCATGATGTCTGAGACTCATTGAACTGCAAAGGGATCGCTATGTTGGATCGAGGATCTAAACAACCTAAACTGGGTACGTGTCGCATCAGGTTTCCGGGGATCTGAAGTTCATGCAGATTGACATGGGCCCGTGAGGATCTCTCCTCTTGTGGTTGGGGTATGAAGATTCGGTGTCTAGGTAAGGCTGACTTAGGCGAGCGAAGTCTTAAGTTCTGCTTGTCTTCCAGAGGCATGCAAATGCAGGTTCGGAAGCCGCCCTACCAACTATGCATGTCCAATGCCGACTCAGCAGTGTACATGCTAAGCCGTCGTCACCCGCCCACCCCCGCCCACTCAGATTCTATTTTCGCTGGTGCATTCACTGCTTGATGTCTGAAATCCAAGGAGGAAGAAGCTGCTTATCCGAAGTGCCGTAATCGTGGGAGACCACGGCAAAAGCCGAGCAAAATGCAGGCATTGCGACCAAGGTATGGAGCAAGTGTACTTGGAGCTGTCGGAGAGTTTTTGTTTGAGCTTTGGCGTGTGCTTTTGTCAGGGGTGCTATTGGGGACTATGGTTCTTCTCAACTGTTCTGCCTCCCAAGCTAGCCGGGCAGCAGCAGCAGGAAGAGAAGAAGGAGTAGTAGTAGTGGTGGTGGTGGTGGTGGTAGTAGTAAGTAGTGGCAAAAGTAGTGGCAGAATTAGAAGTAGTAGTAGTAGTAGTAGTAGTAGTAGTAGTAGTAGTAGTAGTAGTAGTAGTAGTAGTAGTAGGCCCACCTGCTGCTGGGGATCACTGGCGTCAGCTGGCATCGCTAGCGCCGAAAAGATGCGACTGTCTTCAGATTTCCTTGTTGGTTGCTGAATCCGAGTGCAAGTACCTCAACTGCGCCATCTGTCTAATCGTGTTCTGCATTCTAAGACTGAGCGCGAAAACAAGAAATCGCAAGAACTAGCTCTCCTACCGTTTCAGTCGACTAGGTAGCCAACAAAGGCCAACTGCTTATGAGCTCAAGGCTAGTTAGGTGCCCCTCCCGGGCAGGCCGTGTTCTCCTTGTCCGTGGCTCGCACATGCCTCACATGTCCCTTGAGCAGCTGCGGCTCTTGAGAAAACCTTCCAATAATAGGTTTCCAGAACTGATGACTGTCGTGCACCGGCAAGGCTTTGACAGGCTGGAGCCCAGCAGAGTGAAATGCACCTCCTGCCACGTCCTTTCCCAATAATTGAAAATCTTGCCTGGAGAGAGCGCAGGGGAACCTCGTACAGAAGCTGGAGGGCCTTTGGCAAAAGAAACAAACTGATAATGATAACGGTGATGACCGTGTCAATGATCATGATGATAATGGTGATAATGATGATAATGATGATAATGATAATGATTATGATGATGCCGAGGATGAGGATGATGACGACGATGATGGTGGTGGTGATGATGATGATAATGACGGTGATGATGACGACGACGATGCCGCTTGTAGTGATCAAGGCTACCGTTTGATGGTGGGTAGGGTTATAGCTATGATGCTCCGATTTTCTTTGATGCGCATTGGCTCTTTGAGGCAGGCTCCAGGCAAGGAGAACATGAGGGAACGAGATTCATTAGCTCACCTCACGATCCTTCTCAGGTGGTGGACTTTGCGAAAATCCGCGTCCGCTGCACTGCATGTCTACTAGCACGAACGTACTTCGAGAGCTTGGGCTTGACAACAGCAGAATAAGCACATATCGGCTTCAGGCCATACTAAGCATCCCGCTTGCGACCAGCGGCAGCGCTTCTCGAAAGTACTCACAGCACTTGAAAGCGGCACCACCTCACTCACACGCACTCTTTGTGTTCGCGTAAAGATGTGAAACCCTCACTGTAAAAAGGAACCTGTGGTACCCTGCACGAGCCCACGACGTTGGGTGCTGCTTGAACTATAGGAACTTCGAGGATGCGAAGGGCCATTTCCTCGGCGAGCAGCCGACTGAGTAATGCCTCGTGTTCACGGATTCTGTCAAGGGAAGCGCCCACTCCCCGGCGTTCTCGCAGGATGTTATAAGGGAACTGTACCTGTTGCCGAACACTTCCCACCACATTCGACATGAATGCGGCTACTGCGGAGCAACATGGCACATAGTGCTTCAAGCTTTCACATCTGCTACGCCTGCCGGGCACATGATGACGTTGGCACGGAGCTTTAGCCTGACACAGCAGACACGAGTATAGCAAGACTTCTGCCCAGCTGACTGCTTGAGCCTGCAAGACTGCATCAGAACAGAGAGGCCCTGCTCCCAGGCAGAGGAAACTGCGCAGGAGGCCACCTCATGTCAAGCTCCAGCTGACGCACTGCAGCTCCCTTCAGAAGCAAGGGCTGCCACGGTAGCACCCAGACAAACAGCATCCACCGCGAACTGCTGCCAGGCGGTCCCAACCAGGAGCAAGGCCTCGAAGTGGGAAAGGTGCACAGGTCTTGGCTCGCAGGCTCCAACCAAAACCCCTTGTGGGAGAACGGACGAACAGAGAGAGCGAGAGAGAAAGCAAGCCAGACTGAGAAGGATAGACTGTCCAGACACGCCACTTCACAGCCGCACGGCCCCTTTGCTCCGCTTTTTCACCCCTCCTGAACTCCTTTCCTTCCGTCTCTTGCCTGCCTTGCCACCTTCTGGGCTGGCCAACTGAAACTGAATCTCTCTCTGTCTAGACATTCCTGTCGAAACGGCGTCAGACAAAAAATAATGCAATTGCCATGTAGATCGTACGGAGTGCGCTGGTCAACCACTGTGCACAAACACTCCCTGGAGAAGATGGGTGAGTCAGCGATACGGACAATCCGACACGTACTTGCACGAATCAATCGGGGCTCCAACATCTGCCCAGCGGGCCCAGCCACTTGCAGCACAGCTTTTCAATGCAACCTCCGCAACAACTTTGGGGTACCAGGACCGGTCAATCCCGGCAAGCTACCAACAGCCCTCAGGCGCTTGCCGAGCACGTAACGACGTTTGGCCTCGGGCCCTGCCTTCGGAAGCAGGTCCAAGCACTTTGATTGACACAACAGAAAGCCCACAAATGTTGGCGATCATCATGCAGCCTCCGCATGCTGTCCACCAGGATTCTGGTCTGCTCCTTCACCAGCTGTCGAGTAGTGGCTGCACTACGACGAAGGACAGCGCGCACAGTCTCTAAATCTCGTCACCTTCTATCACAACCTGATCACGGTCTGTGGTTGTTTTTTTTCAAATTCGACGAGGCTGGATGCGGAGCATGGACTCTGGTAGTTTTGACACCCCAGCAGTCCCAGCAGCTTTGTCCGGCATAAGCGTTGACGACTGCAGTGTTCAGTGCCGTTGTAGGCCTGATCTGCCTGTATCTTCGAAAGCTGTTGAATACTTGATACCAAATCATCATCCAATTGATCACAACTGACTCTAAAACATTCTCACTTGCGCCTCGTGCGAGCCTGTTGGAGGAGTAATCCCGCATCTGTCGTGCGCCTTTGCACAACAAAGGCTCTTCTGATCAGTGGTCGGGAAGACGCGAGGTATCGAGGTGCAGCCGGCAACCCCAGATCGGGTGACTTCAGCGGTACGGCTTGAGGCTACGGCTACGAGTTCGCTGCTGAGAACTAGGCTTCGCTGTAGCCAAGGAGTCTGCCGCAGTGGCGTATGTGACCTCGCGGATGTGCAGACTGAATGCATGTGCAAGTAGTAAGTGGCAGCAAAAGGAGCTGCAGTGGTCTTCGTCGTGGCCCTGTATTGTCTTGTCAAGCTACGGCGTCTGGCCGAAGATGTGCTTTCTTCGCCTGGCTCAGATGCATTGCAGCTACACCATGTGGCCCGAAGCCTGCCCTACCAAACTTCCAGAATCCTTCCCGCCTGCTGAAGCAGCTGCCAACTCGTGGCCCACGACCTAAGGATCTGGTGCCTATCTCTATAGGACCTAGGATGCACATTCTGTCATCGCAAACGCTGAGAAATGCTCCTGCGCGCTGCGGCCAGTTGCAGATTAAACTCGAAGATTTCGGGTGAGCTGCGGTGCGGGTTCCTGGCACTACGGGCAAGGCTGTCCGACGACTCGATACCACATCATGCAAGCCCAGCAACAATCTCCCACTCGCCCTGATTCCTGGATGCTCGGGAGAGCTCACTGCGCATGGACCCATGGCAGCTGAGGCTGGAGTCATTATCTCGAGGGCTCGGAGAACTGCCACAGCACCGCAGAAGTTGAAGCTGAGGGCTGAAGCTATGCCAGGAAAATGTGTCAGCCCGGGTTACAATCTTCCGAGAAAACTGTCTATTGCAGCGTGAAGCTGCAGAAACATCGAGCCAGGCAGACAGACGTGGTCAGTGGTCGTCGGAACGTTCCCATCAGTCATCTTGAGTCGACTTATGTCATGCGTGCACGGCACCCAAAACTGTGGTATGGAGTGGCATTGCGGAAAGAAGGCAGGCAACTCAAGCAAGGCGGGGTTCAAAGGACCTGTGACAAATGTCCCTTCTTCTTAAGCTTCTTTCCATCCTGCAGTGTTGTTTCAATAAGTGCCATTCGCAAAAGCAGACGCGGTAAGCCACGGGCTTTCGTTGTGGAATGGCTCATCATGCCGTAGGCGAACTCGTCTTCATTTTTGAAGTATGCCTGCCAGCCGAACGGAAACACGAAACCAAACAGTGAGGCGAGCACTGCTGACGGAGAACCGCAGTAATTGCGACTTCTGAAATCGCACGGCCTTCCGATGCAAACCCTTGATGATGTCTTCCTTCTTGTGGAAGTCTTTGGCTCGCTTCACATAGTCCTGCAGAGGTGCAGGCTTGCGGCGGCGGCCCCAAGGCACTGAATGTGTCGCGAGTGTGCCTTGTGCTTCTCCAAATATCCCAATCTGCGCCGATGCTTGGGCTGGTGCCGCTCCTCGGCCACGTCACCCACCCCAAAAGAAAAAAATGCCTTTTCCCTGCTGCGTCCCTTTTCCCAAAGCTTCCTCTCGGGTTCCCTCATTTGAATCTGCAAACTAAGCCCCAAGCCAAACCGTATCCACGACTGCAAGCACCAACTGGTCATTGGATTGTTTGTTGGTGTTCTCTGCCTCTTTTTTGTGGTTCTGGCACCCATGTGAGGACAAGTAAGTTGGGAGTGCTGGCTGATGGTTGCTGAAGGCGTTAAAGATGATCGCTCTGAGGCCGGTGCCAGGTGAACTCGTTTGTGAACCACATGCCTGAACGCTTGCTTGCTTTGGACGAGGGCACGAGGCAAGGCAACACCGAAGCAGCATTGCAAATGATGTTGCCTCAAGCTACCATCACCCATGGTTGACACAACGGCACGCGAGGATGCGAGGTTCAAGGTCTGTGGAAAGCGATGTCAAGACTCGCCAGTCCTGCACTGCCTTGTCGCCTACATCTCAGCATTCCTGAGCTGCATGGAGCGTAAAGAACCAAATCTGGACTAAGAAGGTGCTGGCACCTCGTTGCAACCAAGACTATGCACACACACTTGTGCAGTTAGGTGAAAGCCAGGTCGTCTCAAGTCCGATTGCAGCTCAAGCTGAGATTAGCGGTGTGTGTGTGTGTGGTCCAGTTCCAAGCTTGAGCCCGGGCGCACAAGAGTGAAGTGATTGCACATCTGCAGGTCTGCCGTTCTGCATGCGTTACACCGCTGCTCAACGCCAAGCCCGGAAACAGCAACCATAACCGCCTTAACAACTCTAAGTACGCTACATCTTCCGTGGCATGCCCCGATCGCTAGTACCGCGCCGCACCTACTCGGCTCTACGAAACCTGCAAGGCCTCTGCTTTTACAGTTCTCTGCTTTTGCAGACTCCGGAGCTCTCCGACTTGAAAACCTGGAAGCTGAAGCCACTCTCAGAGTTCTCGCCGCGATGTATCCGAGCAGAGCTTGATCTTCTTGCAAGCCTCGAGCAGCGCAGGCGCTACACCGCTCGCTTCGTGGCACTCCGGTCGAACCAAAGACAAATTGACACATTGCCGCTCTAGGCAACTCTTCATTGGCATGCACTGGGCTGGCAGAACGCCTTTTCCTCTTCGACCGCGCAGCCGTCGCAAGCTGCAGAATGTGTCCTTTGCCTGCAGCGCATTTGCAGCGGGACATCTCCCTCGCTCAGCCGTCTCCTCGAAGCGCCTGCATGCCACAGCTGGCTTCGCATGCACAGTGTCCAAGAGCTGCCAACGCCGCCTGCTGTTCGATTTCTCCTTCTCGTGCTCGGCAAACGCAATGTCCCCGTGATGAGGACTACCTCGTAGGCTGAAGGGCAAAAGTCTGAAGTTCAAAGAGGACAAGCATGACACCTCTCCCAAGCGCAGCGCCTGTGCAAGCGTCGAGCTCTATTTGGAGATGCAATCCTGCCCGGCATACATGTCAGTCTTGCAATTGCCTCGCTTGAACTGGAATCCTGCCAAAGCAGAGCGATCTGCTCGTCCGAAAGCTGGACGAAGTCACCCGGCCTGCAGATGCATTCAGAGCATCAGCTCAGTGGCACAGGGAACAATTTTCAAACGGAGCAGTCCTCTCAAGGCCGCACTTCTCCAAAGAGAGGCCAGCTACTTCGAGGCGTTGCAGCCGGATGACCTGTACTGGCATGCAAAAGTCTTGGCTACATGACCACGGCTTGGAGGGAGCTGGGACGGCTGCCGACTTCCCAACAGACATGAAAAGCCTCTTCACCACCTCAGCCACTCAAATTTCCCAGTTTCCCAGTCAGAACTGTCTGATGCGAGGCAGCGTCGAGGGACTGGCATGAAACTTGCCCGAGCGGATGCGTACGTCGGCACAGAATCGGAATTTGCGGATCTCCTCGCCTGTCCCACAGCCAATGTGTCGTCGGGCTGAGTGCAAAAGCATACTGCGCAGCCCTCTGTACCACAAGACTGATGCGAATTGCACGGTGGCCAGAAGGGATGCAAGGGCAAGACGTTAGCTGCTAGCTGCTACCTCACAACCCCTCCACCCCTCGCTCTGCCTGTGGGCAGTTGGACACTGGGTAGCTCTTCAGACTCCCTCCTGCGAGCGTAGACCACAATTCACATGTCGCCAGCCTGTCTGATCTATCACTGAAACTCCTTGGGCAGTAACCGGCCACAGGGGAACATTCGACGAGCTGTCCTCTGCACCGTCTCGAAGTTGGCCCACCCATCGCCACGCGACAGGCAGATGCCCTGCAGTTTGAAAAGCACCGGCCATCGGGCATCTGAGGCCTGGCATGGTCTGGCCAGCCTTGCCTCCCGTAGCTGCTGGCACTGCTCATCTGTAAGCTCACCGGAGCTCCTACTTGCAGGCAGGCTTCAGCTTCAAAACTCGGACAGGTAGTAGCATGTGCACGTGTGCCTGTCCATATCCATATGCTAAATTCCTAAATGGAAGATGAGGTGAGCTCAAGTTTTCCACGGAACCCAGTCCTTCCATTGCTGCTTGTCCAACCGTCATACCAAGCTCGATAGGTCTTTGACACATGACCTTGGCTTTCGTTTCCTCAAGCAAAACAGAGTGGAGCCTTGAAGGAACGAGGAGATCAAAGGCGCTCAAAGAGAAGTGTTCCGACCAGCTGGCTGTATACTGCGGCGTGTAGTAACACTTCCCACTGAAGGCCCGACTGTTTAGGTGGCAAGTGAGGCGACCATTGGTCGTGAAGATCATAAGCCCAGTCGTGCACCTTCAGCAGCCATAACATAACACAAGGACGGCGAGGAAAATGAGCTAATCCTAATCACTCTCTCGAGGTTCAGAAACAAGCCGCATGCTTGGATACAGCCAGCCCTGCCTGTCAAGCTGCCCAACTGGCTTGGGGGGTCTCGTAGGACACATCCTGCACTCGCTGGCAGGTCGCACAAGGAAAACTTGAAGCCGCTGCACTGCCTGCCGACCTCCTCGCGATCTCTCCCATACCTCCCTTGGTCATGTCTGTGATCATTGGCCTCGCCAAATTCCATGTGCTTCGTTCCTATGCACACTACAGCAGTGTCTACGTCGCGCGGCATGGCGCCTGGGTTTGTAGAGCGCAAAAGCTACTATGCTCTCCGATTCGTCCGGGTCGCCTGCAGCGTCTGGCAAAATGCAGCTGTGTTCAGGATTTGATGTGATATGGGCATCATGCTGCGCTTGTGCCTTGCGCTTCCTCCTGCTCGCCGGAATCCAATTCTCGCTTCAGCCCGCGAGACGAGCCGCTGGCCATTGTGAACGGGCTCTAGATCCATGTTCCGTGGGTTGAAGAGAGACTGCAATCCGAGAGAGGTTGTCAAGTATTCGGCAAGTTTCGGCCTGCAAGATGAAGCGGCTGTTGGCAAAGATATTGACACTACATGGCTGCTGTGCTGTGCTGCATTGGGCAGCGGTGGGCATCATGATGGCTCTCGCAACAGCTGCAGGTCGAATGTTTCGTTCAGATGAGGCACCACTGACAACATGTAGTAGGAAGCAAAGCAGACAATTTACACGCTGAGCTCCCACAGGAGGCAACCCCTGCATTCACTCGGGCCGCTAAGGTTCCGACTCCATCAATGACCTCTCCGCGCTGGGAGGTATCGTCAGCCTGGAAACGCTAGGCAGGAGATGCTGGCATTCACAAGTGGTCGCACAGCTCTTGGCTGGGAAGCCTGTTTCACTTATGCCCATATGGCTCATATGCACGGAGCCTGACGACAACAAAAAGCGTTTACATATTGGATGATGTGGCTCGGCTGTAGCAGCATTGCTTGTCTTCCTTTTGTCGGATGCTGAATATGTCCTTATTTACTATTTAGCTCTTTGTCATACTGTCGGGATCTGAAGGCTCAAACTGACACACTCATCAGAACTGCTCATCTGAACTGCTGCATCCAACGTGCTCAAGCACTGCCTGAAAGCATGGTTTCTTCCACGACGAAAACTAAGCAAAGATGCCCAAGCTACCTACGACTTGTCGTCCGTGGTGCATCGTCTACTGTTGCAGGTACAGGAAACTGCATCCAGTTTCCCTTCCAGTCATATCCCCTGGCTGCATTGGCATGGCTAGGGAATGACCGCCATGCCCCCTGCTAGCTACAAAAAGCCTTAGGTACAGGGATGACACACACACACACAGACACTCACACGCAAGAACCGCTCGAACATCTGCACACGCAAGACAGACCATTGCAACATCGTGCTGAAGCTAACAGCAATACAGTGTGCACAGGCTAGCATGGCTTCTGGAATCTTCTGGCCTTTGACTTCTTGTTTTTGAGGTGCTTCAGGAAAACGTCCTGGCTTGGGTTGTTTTGGCCCCCCACAGCTCGACAGTGAGTGGCACACAAACGTTTGCAGCACAGGAGCAGCAAACGCTGTCCTTGATCTCATCGTCATAGGGTCGTATAATATTATCGCAAAGCTCCTCCGAGTGAAATTGAAAGACGAGCATCCAGTGCTGCTGAAGGGATGCTGTGGCATCTCAGCGCGAATCCTTCATGGCATGGGTCTGCCATCTCGCTGCATGGTCCGTCCGGTTGGTGGAGGCAGACACCTCCACCACCAAATTCACTGCACGCAAGAATGCAGTCCCAGTTATTCATGGTGGAACACTTCGGGAAACGCCTGGCATGTAAGCTCTCGTTCTGCTTTCCGAAATGCGTCAGGGGTAGGCTGATAAATGCTGATCGGCCGACACAGCAACTTGAGGCTTCGACTGGGACCATCTTCCAGCCGGCGTCGACCTCCCGGTTAATGGTTTACCGATACGCCGCTGCGCAACATCTCCCAAGGCCCTACACTAGGCCAAGTTTAGGGGCAAGAACCTCGAGCAGCTCGTGCTGGGCAAATAGAGCCTCGGCCTGAGCTGAGCCCGTAGAAAACACGCTTTCTGCCCCGGGATTCACTGTTGATGTCGCAAGCTGCCAAGACGGTCGAGTTCGGGAACATCCACTGGTTTGGAGGATGATGGTTTAAAGAGGCTAGGGGCTTGTAGTCTTAGTTGGAATACTTATGTGCATGAGACCACCGGGTGTCGGGAGTACGATCCATAAAGTCTTCATGCATAGGTCGCGCGCATCGCAGATTTTCTCGATGTGATCGTACACGTCGTCCTGTAGAGAAACGACCCGGCTGCAATCTACCGATACAGGCTTCAAGCAAACCTTCAAGCGCGCTTTCCACCCCGCTTGGAACTCCGAATCTCCGACTGCGCTCCCAAGGCCACCTCCGTGAAGCTGAGGCCGACCTCCAGGACTCCACGCCAAGGAACGGGGCGCGGGCGCTGACTCTGAGAGGCTCTGAGAGTCCATGAGAGTCCTGGGTGCTACCAAGAGACAGACTCCAGTGTGTGCGCCACCGTTAGTCTGCAGAGCTCACATCCTTGGCCGGGCTTTGCGGCTTTATTCATCTGTCAGAGGTCTTGTTTTGCATATGTCAATGTAGCTTCCATCTCCGCCACAACACCGCCGGATGCGCAACGGATAACGACATGCATTGGCAATACGTAGCACTCGAGCCCTTAAGCCCTGAATGCGTCGAGGAGTCGAATGAACTTCTGCGCCTCTCGCGCCGAAGCTCTGTTGGTACATGCCCTTTGTCTCTTGCTTCTAAGAGTGACGGCACCTTCTGATACTTGTTCTTGACTTCGAAGTCCTTCTCCACGTTAAATTCCTGAAGGCCGGCAGTCGAAGTAATCTGCTCACAAGGATACTGCTTGCATCTCACATGCAACTATTGCGAATGCACTTCTAAGTTGTGACAGTAGCATAACAGTAGCTGAACCCGGTGTCGCGCCGCGAAAGGCTGTCCAACCACCCCCGTAGATATTTCTACTAGCAATGAGCTAGCATGTGGCCTCGCCGCAAAGCGATGTTGTGAAGACTCGTCAGGAATCGGTTCAGATCATGTCATGGACTTAACCAGGCTGCCTGTGACTCTGACCGTGCGCGAACATGCACGAACGCGGACTAGCAAGCAGGCCTCAGGCATGCGGATGGTGCCGTAGGCCTCCATGCGCAATCTTTCGCTTGCAGGCTTAGTTGCAACGGCCAAGACATACGATTACTAAGTACAGCGACCGAGTCGACAAAGGCTTGAAATCCGGCGCGCACTCGATCCATTTCATGTGACGTTACGAGGCCTGGAGAGCCAGGAGTCCGATGCCGATCACGCCCTGGAGGCGCTGCAAAAAACACTCGTTTCAATCCCTGGCCGCAAATTGCGGCGCAAGCTTGAGGCGAGCACCCGGCAAGAGCAGGGCTTCAACATGACTCCGCCCATGGCAGCTGCAGGCTTGGAGAGCTAAAGGCCGAATGTTTCCTTGGCGAAGCCTTCTGGGCTGACGGAATTCGGGAAGCCAAAAGACTGGTCCTATTCAAGCGGGGTCCACGGAATAATGTACTACTCGAACTGGAAAGACTCGTCCATACTCTTCCGGAGAGCAGGTCATGCATTGAAATCATGCCGTATGCATTTAAGGTCTGCTGGCAGGTGGGGCAAGGCTCTTCCCCATGCGGCTTGAACCAATCAGAATCCAAGGGAATGCTATTGCATAACTATGCGTAACATGATATAACATGAACCTGGATTCTTCATGTCCCGGCCGGCCCTACGCACTAGACATGACGCTCAGGTCGGCCGGGAGCATGCACGGAGACGCAGCAGGCTGCAACATGTGCACCTGCCATGTCTGGCAGATCTCGACAGAGAAGAGCTCATATATCGGACTTCCTGGGCGGCCATGCAGATCGACCACCGTACCTGCTAACAGGCCAGACCTAGTAGGCCCAAGTTGGCCAGGTTCGGGCCCAGCATCACGAACATCATCCGGTTCTCGTTTCTCCAACACGCGACACTTCAAGGTGCACCCAACCGATGACAAAGAGAGCATGCAGCGGTGGGCACGCTGATGCTGTCGTCTGTCGTTTGAGGGATCGGTACAACAACCAGGGCTGGGGCTGGCGATGCTCTGAGCAGCGCTGAGGAGCTGCAAGCAAAGAGGTGTCAAGCAAGCAAGTCGACGCCGCGGGGTCTCGCGCAGTCTCACGGGCGAACAGGTAACATCGGAAAGGCGATGCGTGCTTCGAGAAAGGAATTTTCCACGAACAGTACACACGCTGACAAGCATCGCACACAATCCGTTGACGCAGCTCTTTCTGACACTCTCCTGCCAGAATTTCCGAGTGCGGGTTCGCACATGCCAGGAAGTGCCACGGTAAAATCATTCGTGGCGTCTCGTGTGCTACACTTGTGCTACTTCTACTCGCTGGCGCTTCCTTGGCCTATTGCTCGGTAAACCCTGCTGTGCTGGCGCTGCTGGCGCTGCCGACTTGCCGAGGCAGCCAGCAGGTGTAAACACCAAGGTACTCCGAGTCCAGTGAGACATCTTTGCGAAAACGACGAAAACGAATCTGGGAATATGCCTACATTGCTCTCTGTTGCAGATCCTCTAATGGGGCATGAGGCTGAGCTAATGCTACGAAATACCTCTTCCTGGCCCTACTGACGAACAAGCTGACGCCCTCTCATTTGCCACGCTGCTTCGCGGCATCAGAAGAGGTCTTCAGGCCTGGCAAAGAATTTGAACCCTTGACTGAAAGTCAGCTTGGCCCCACCAGAAGGGCATGCTGAGACCCACCTCAAGGGAAGCTTTGAATCGCGTGAATGCGGTTGTCATCGCCTGTGGGGTGATGTGAAAGCTGCTGGCTGGGCACTGCAGCATTCAGACACATCATGCTGCAAAGCTGTGACAATCCAATTGCTACATCTTCTGCACACCGCGCCTGCGTCTTAAGGACATAATCGTTGTTCGGCGCAGCCTGCGCACGGCGAGGCAGACCACACGGCACTTTCATCCCTTCCCTGTCGGCTCTGCTTGTAACTTGGCCACGGCGGGCGGTGTTCCCTTTGCTGGACTCGCCTGCTCCAGCTTGGCGAAATACTGCTGGAATTCCTCCTGAGGCGGCTGGCTGACGCTGGATGCTCTTATCCTTCGTGACGTTTTCACTGCGTGCCTTCTTCCCCAAGTGAGTCATGCAACAGCACATGTTGACCTGGCCCGAACGAGTTGCCATTCACTGCAGCAGGCGAAACAAGCGACAAGCTTTGCACGATCCACCAGCACATCTGGATCGTTTGGCGCTGCTGTCAGAGCTCTCTGCAGGTCCTGAGCAGTTGCAGATGACCGCACGTGCCTCCACGGCCGCGCATGCCGGGTCTTTCGAGTCTCCTCCACTGCCTCGGAGAACATGCCGCGCTGCATGTTGGCCAGTGCCTGCAAGAGGTCCGCGTAGCAGAATAGGGGGAAGTCGCTGCCGAGCTTCGGCTTTCCGGCAGGCGGAAAGAAGGCAGAAACGCCGAAATCAGACCCAGGGAGCAATTGAGCAAGAACGAACAAAGAGGCCAAAGCAAGGTTCCAAGGAAGCAGAGACACGACTGGAAGCGGCAGCCATGATGAACGCGTCAATGGGGAAGCACATGGCGTTACACGCTTCAGCACAATCGGCTGGCCGAAAATCCAAGCCTTGCCGGTCTGGAGCAGCACAGACCCAGAACCCGAGTCCTTGGCTGCATACTTAGTCTGAGGTTGAACAGCACTCTCAAGGAAGCATTGGCAAAAGACACAGAAACTTCGAGGTCACGACATCGCCCTCGACAGCAGGGAATTGGGAGCAGAGGTCGCAGTACGTCAAGTACCTCGCGTTGCGAATCTTGAGAGGTAATTGCAGCCCAGGGTCCCGGGCGCACGCTTCCTCTGGGTCTCCTGTTGCCAGTTTCACTGCCGCAGCTGCGAGCCTGAATGCTGCCTGTGCAAGAGAAAGTGCAAAAGTAGCCCTGCCGGTTCGCAGCCTTGAAAGCGCTCCAAGTGCCGCGCGGAATCGTCGTTGTTTCCAGATGCATCCTCGCACTTTTCGATGTGCTGTGCACAACTTTAGCTAAGAGTGTGGTATCCGGAATGAGCTGTCCTTCAACAGCTTCTCAGCCATTGCTACCTGGTTGCAGCTGAGGGCCAGGAGAATGGTCAGCACCTTGCACATGCAAGCGGAAAGCCGACCACGCCGAACCGCTTTGGTCGGTGCTCGCGCACGCATGCACCCATCATGCCGCCAGGATCAGCAGCAGTCAGGTTTCTCCAACATCCTCCAACAATGTCCTGACACTGCTGGGCAATGGCCTGCATTTCCAGCACCGGGTGTGCCTGATTGCAGCAAGCCAAAATGAGTTCACAAATCCGCCGTGCACGAAGTGCCTGCCTTTGTCATCTGCGCTGCTTCATTCCAACTGCCTCGCACATCCCATCTTGTGAGACAAGGCACTCAACATGTCTTGACAACACAGAATCCAACTCGGTGGCGAGCCATCCATCGCCAGGACCATGGCATTGAGCATTGCACAGCTCATGTCCTTGCAAAGCTGCAATCCAGCAGCCATATCCCAAAAAACGGATGCCCTTCCAGACTTGCGGCCTGCGTCTCCTTCGCCAGGGCTGCTAACCGCTCCTGCGTGAAATCTGGGGGGGAACACGGCGAGTTCGTTGCCTTGCGGCCTTGCGGCCTGGCCTTGGCCGATTTGACCTGAGCCTCGTTCCTGGACTTGGTGATCACGGCCAGCAAGGCCGCCTTCAGCTGCGCAAGCGCAAGGGTGCCTATGCTTATGCTTGGCATCGCTGGCATCGCTGGCCGCTAGCCAAGCAGCCGCTCGCTGACCGGGAATCTCGGAGTTTTGC